AGAACAATACAACTTATTCATACTCCAAGCGCTTGCTTACCTTTGTGTCCAGCGTAGCCTTCCTTGTGTTTGCCTTTAGTCGATGCACCTATATCGCATATAGCGTCAACATTCTTTGGCTGAAAACCAATTTCATTGTTACAAACTAAAATTCGCTGGTCGGAAAGAACAAAACGAAGTGTTGGTAAACAATCTGGCGGATAAGCGTTATCATCAGCGTTCTGAATAAGTTCCAAAACGAAATGACCTTGTTCGGAGTAGAGATCTTCCGAGAGCTTCTGCAAACTTCGTTCGACCTTCCCTTGAAGATTGTTCACAATCGACTGACTATTCGAATCTAAACTACTGCCCACACCGAAACCTCGTCGAATCGATTCGATGTGTTCGCACGCAGGCTGAACTGATTGATCTTTATTGCTAGGCTTGACTTCAATGGGAGCCGATTTGGATTGAAGAATTTCAGTTTCAGTCGCTTGGGTAGATGGCGTTGGTATTACTGTATGAACATCATCTATAAAGAAAATGTTTTAATAGAAATGGCCTTTCGGTAGTTCTTTTTCTTTACTCTGAACAGTGAACGTGTTTGAAGTTGTTCCAAGATGTAGTATTTGTTCCTCTGACGATGAAGTTCGTCCCAGCCATTTACTTTCGTTTTTCCAACTGTTGATATCAAGCATATATCCCCAGATTTCTAATTTATCCCTTTGCTGTTCATTGGCTAGCTTCCATATTCTTGTTCTTGCACTAACAACGTTCACTCCAACTTGTGGGAACACATCGTCGAGTGGCCCAAGAATAATCTCTTGTATCAATCGTGCTTGTCCAATCAACACAGGTAAATATGTTAAAAACTCGAGTATGTATCGCATTGGATCTTCTTGATGGTTCGTCATAGCTAACGATTGTAAGCGAATGAACCATGTGCGCATGGATGTTCGGTAGATATTCAACGGTATCAGAGTGGTCAAGCCATACTCACAAGTAATCAATGTGCATAGAAAGCCCACAGCTGAACGAACATGTAATTGTTCGAGCTCGCTCTCGAAACTTTTCAGAGTAGCTTCGGCAGGAAGATGCAGAAGTTCGTGATCCGATGTTTCGAGTAACAACATATTTCGCAACACGTATGCCTTCTTTTTCACAAATGCTTTTAGTTTGCCGTAAGTTGATTCAAAGAAATAGGACCATTTCGACCACGAATACAAATTCATCATAACTGGACATTGAAGAAGAAATTGACAAAGTTGATCTTCGTTTGTAATTGACATCGTTGGACACCGACCAATGCGATCGAGATGATTAAAATCCAGCACTGATTCTTCGAACCTGCAAGTCACTTGCATGCCGAATATAGAAAGAAAACGAAATATTCTTACCGAACAATTGAACACACTTCTTTGGTATATAATTGTTTGCTTTTTCGAAGCGCGTCGGTCATTTTTCGGAAACCGAGTAGACCGCCAAACTTTCTTGTCACTACGCTTTCCAATATCTGCAGGTTATCAGCGCTTATTTGAACATCTTCATTGGTGGACTCATTTTCCATGCTAATGGCTTGTTCGGACATATTTTGTCTGCCACTGTTCGATTCGATGACTTGATTGACGAGTTCATACAGCTCTCGTCGATCCGTGAAAGGTACGTTATGTCCGTAAACAGATAGCTCCTCATTTGGGTCCACTAATCTTCGGTTATTATGCAGAAATGAGATCAAATTGACATCTTCGCCATCATCACTCGCTTCTTCATCGAACTTGAAGTCAGCAAAGCTGCCCACATTATATTTAGTACACAGACGATTTTCAATGTGGACAAATTGTTTCACCGTAAGAGGTACTTCATGATTAAGCAGACTCTCAAATAGATACGAACAAAAGTCTTTTAAATTCACAGATAACCTTGATCTGTTCGAACTACTCGACATTAATGACGTTGAAAACGATGTACTTCCGATTGGAATAGGCAAAGAATCTGCCGATACTGACTACAATATGAAACAAAGTTATCGTGTTTATGTTTTTGATGAAAACAGCTTACATTTTGCCAAGTGGCCAAGACACTCTGTTGGTGTCCAATCAATGCTTGCAACTGTCTAGCGTCTACTCCACTTATGTTTGGACGAGTTCGAATTAATTCGTGAAACTCTGTCATATGTTGTTGCCTTGTGGAATTACTTTGATTGGAGAAAATGTTTTTCACTTCAGTACTTAGTAAAGTCGATGTTTCGATAGTACCCAGATAGATACTAATGTTCAATAAACATTGTAAGACTTCATTTTGTCGAAACTGAACCAACGTTAGATATAAAAACGACTGTTCAGGTATGAAGGAAAGATACTTTTCAACAATTGAGATAAGATGATTGAATACAGCTACAGGGGATTTTCTCTTATTGTAAGATGATAACTTCATTGCATCCTTGACTTCCGCTTGCAGCTGTGCTAAACGTTCGAGAACATCATTTGTCAAATTTTCTGTCGCTTTTCTATGCATTTCACCAGTATACACGTTAAAATGTCGCCATACGATATTTGAGACCTACAGATAATCTCACATGATGAGTCGACAACGCTCAATAAGATATTTCTCATACCTCTTGTAAATATGGAAATGATTTACAATACAACCCAAGTTCTCTTTGTGTTCTTAATTGGTAAAAGTTGACGAGCTCGTTAAGAAATTCACCATATTGAACGCGGCCTCTGAATCTTTGACGAAACTGGATAAACAACGTAATAACGTCACCGCTCACCAAAAAGGGAATTGGTTGATGTCGTTGGGTTGGCTCATAGCGGAACACTCGTTTTACATCCGGATTTTCATCAAGAGGACCCAAAAGTGCGTCTTCGTACGTATTCAACTTAAGAAATCCAGCTAGAAGCGGTCCAAGATCGTGCAAGGTGCATAACACGTAAATTTGTTCGAAAATTTGCATATAAAATGTTACTTTTCTTATTCGATCAGTTAGATTTACCAAAGGACTGAATTCACTGGAGCGAACCCCCAATTGGCTCCATGACGCGACACCATAGTGCTGGAACAACTCTAACTGAACACGTTCACGCGAGACAAACTCTCGTCTTCGATGAATGCTAATAATAATTTCGGATAGTTTTCTAGAAATTTCTTCCACATAAGCTGATCGCGATTGAGGCACATGGTATTGAGTTCTTGTGTTGAATTGAACGGGTATTGCCGGTGTGTAAGTATAGAAGGATGTAGGTGCTAATGCTGGAACGTTCATACGCGGCACCTGTGGAATTCGAGTCGTGGTCAGTGTTGCTGCTTGTGTTGGTCGGTTCTCATGCTGACTGCGGTGCTCAGTATCAAAATTATTCTTCTCATCTGTTATTATTTGGTGGACGGCATTTGAATACGAAGTCTAAACAACATAAATAATAATTAGAATCGAGAAAAGCTAATGCTACGATATACTTCTTTTGATTCAGTATTATGTCTCGAAGGTTGACTTGGTACTGATTCACCAAGCGCCGGGAACATTTCATTGTAGTTACCATTCAATTGGAATCCTGTTTGAGCAGTTGAAGCTGATCGTGGTGCGGTGCGAACCTGTTGAGGCCGTTGTCCTGATGTGTAATGCGCATTGTTTGATCTGCTCCCATCATCTTTTCGATTAACGGTATTCTTCATTGTAAATGTAATATCTAAACTAATATCAAAATGAGTTTTGTAAATTTTCAACTGAGAAGAGATTTTATGCTTGTAGTTATTGACTACGAGTTAGAAACATCAATGATGAAAATTAAAAATTTCATTCCATACAAAATTCTCGCATGTCGATGTAAAACAATAACCTCATTTCGACTGTTATAAATTCTCTTTTTTATACGCCTAATAAAAAGAAAAATAACATGAAAACGTATGTGTCTCTACTTCGGTAGTAGATTTCTGGTTAAGAGGACTGAGAATGTTTCATCGAGAAGAGAACGACAAAAGTTGCTTGGAAAAAAACGACATATTTTTTAACAGTGAAACATAATATAACAGATGTCACTTGTTTTTCCTAGAAAGACGAATAAAACATACATTGGCAAAATTTTTCAACTATAAATCATCGTAAGGATCCATAGTTTTCATTCAATAAGACGGAAAGAAAGGATATCTCACGAAAGAAATAATCTTCAGATTTACGTAGTATTGTTTATTCAATTTAAAAAAAAAACAAATTTGCATATCTTTCACAGTAATCATATCTCTCTGTTACTTGAATCAGTTATTTCAAAGCAATACCATTGCCATCAGGAAAGGAACCAGCTAAGATTCGAATCCAGTCGGTCAACCACCAAATACTTGAAGCAATACCAGCAAGTACTCGCAAACACCGGAAGAATGCTCCGATAGAACTCTCTTTCCCACACCCTGCCGCTAGCATACTACAGCAGCATCCGCATGATACCAGTATCTTGAAAACACCGGCCACTATGTATTTAGCAGTGCTACGAGAGAGATAGAACCAATCAGCACCAAAACTTCCCACAAACAAGGAGAGTAAAAAAGCAGTCCATTTCGATTTTTGCTCGTATGAACAAGGTTTTTTTTCATTTTGTGTCACCCAACCATCTACACATATACAAACTCGATCGCGACATTGTTCATGAGCGCTGCAGTCACCGTCATTATAACAGATTCGAGACTTTAATAATCGCTCGGTACTGTTACCGTGTTTATTTTGAATCGTTTCATTTCGAACTGTTGGTTTTGAGCATACTTGACCATAAAAGTAGACAAGTAAAATTAAAATATTGAAATAAACTAATTTCATATCTGAAATTCTTTGTCTTCTGCCAAGAAAAATAATACGAACTGTTAAAATGACTTCTCCTTTCGTTTATTTATATGGCAAATACTTTTATACGATAAGAAAAAGTTTATTTATCAACTGGAGGCGTTGCAAATTTCCAAGATATTTTTATCTGTCATGACGTCTTAAATATGAGAGATATGTCCACAGTTTATTGAGATATTCTTTAAATAGTTAGAATAAAAAACAAATACTCGACGACAATATTCTCATTATCGTTTCATCAATCTTGATCGACCAAGACATAAACTCACAATGATGAGCACTAGTGGAACTCATTTGAGTATATACTACTATTTCCTCGCAGAGAATTAGTATGCTGATCTGATTAAGGAAACCTTTTCAAGCAATTCTTGTGAAACGGTACCTTGCTTTTGGTACAAAATGAACTATGGAGCATCTGTATAGTCCAGATGACTTCATCTGCATTTGAATACTTTCAAGCAGACGAGATGTATAAATTTAAATATCCAATAATAGCGATTTTCTTTCGATACGGCGATTTCTATGTAGTAATCTGTCACGCTGGACATCTACACTTATGATTTCATCTTTTTTTATCGATGCCGGTGAATGTTCTTCTTCCTCATATCGCTGAAGAAAGAGCGAATAGATAACCACATGTCAATAAATAATGTTATTGTTGTTGTATGCTCTATGTACTGACCGGCAAGAAAAAACAGTGCAGCAAGACACGATTTTAATACCGAAAGGAAAAGAAAATGTTCGTTTCGACAATGTTCAGACAAGATACATATCACCAGAGAGAAACAGCTGTGCAATGATATCATTCACATGTGAGATTAGATAAAGAACGTGCTTTAGCCATACATTCGTCCATACGTATGGCGAATATATTTCTTCTCGTCTATACAATTCTATTCGATTCGTTCTTTTAATTTCTTCTCTGTTTTTCTTCACGTCTTGCCTATACAAACAATTCTCTTCGTTATCTTCCTATATAATATCGACTATCACTTGGTAGTAGTACAGTTTACTTGCACACAGCTCGGGGAAGATCAACAATGAATAACAAGGTACAAGAAACAGTGAACGTTATTGGTCGTTCTTATATTTTTAGTATTTGAGTTTAGGTTGCACCTGAGGATCTGGCTATCGAAATGGAAACAGCCGAGACGGCTCTGCTTACCGCAGAGACTGAGAAAGGTAATTTATTCATGCTACTGGTTCGATTTGTACCAGAAGTCATTGTACTCGTCTAGTATCGCTCGACACTCCAAAATCGTCCGGTCATTTGACGATGAAACGTCTCAGTCTAGTCCTGTTAGCGGTACAAAATGTAGTTCATATTCTACTTGTACGCTACGTGCGCACTCTGCCCGGTCCACGATTTATCAAATCAACTTTCGTGTTCGTTACGGAAATTCAAAGGACTATATTTAGTATTTTACTAGTTTGGCACGAAGAACGTAGTATTATTGCCGGTACAAAAAAGATTTTTAATCAGATCTTTGGAAATCCGCGTGATACATTGATGGTTAGCATTCCAGCATTTATCTATACAATACAAAACAATCTGATCATTATCGCTGTGTCAAACCTCGATGCCCCGACTTACATGGTATGTCATACAGACTACGTTGATCAAATCCATTGTAATTCACGCAGGTTACCAATCAATTGAAAATTTTCACGACGGCTATGTTTACGGTCACCATGTTGAATCGTCGACTAGGTCTCATTCAATGGTTGTCGTTAGTTTCTCTCTTCTGCGGTATCTGCCTTGTACAAGTCGACAGTATAACTTCGAAAGAACCGAAAAAGGATGTAAATGCCGTCGTGGGACTTCTGGCAATGGTCTGTTCTAGTGAGTAGAAAATAATGACTTGTTAAACTTCTCAGCACGTTTCTGCATTTAGGTATTTCCAGTGGCTTTGCAGGTGTATTTATAGAGAAACTACTGAAGAATTCTGATGTATCAGTATGGATTCGAAATATTCAATTGGGCATGTTCAGTGTGATCGGTAGCCTGTCGGTGATGTTTATAATAGACGGAAAAGAAGTGCAAGAGAAAGGTATTCTGTACGGTTACTCTGAGATGGTTTGGATGTCCACTATTGGTCATTCCCTAGGCGGGTTAATCGTCGCATTAGTTATTAAATACGCCGACAATATTTTGAAAGGTTTCGCATCAGCGTCAGCCATTATTCTTGCGTGCATTATTAGCGTAGCGCTGTTTGATTTTCAAATGACTGTTCCAATGGTGTTTGGTTCGCTATTGGTCATCGTATCTATTTTGGCTTATTCGAATGTGTGCATACTCGTTGACACGTCAGCGATTGATTTTACCATGATGGACAAGTTGAATTTTTTTGTAAAGAAAATGCCCATGTAATTCATTTTGTTAACTGTAGAAAAATGTTCATAAAGAACATTAGACTAGTCATTTGTGTGCAATTCGAATTAATATTCACTCTTAATTCATATTTTACTTTCTTTCTGTTTAGGATTATTCTTTCGTAACTAGATAAATGATCGTGCCATCAAGAATATTTTACATCTTCAGTAAACATGCAGTGGTACAGTTATTACTACCTACGATGGTGGGATTAATGATCGGTATGACGATAATGTATCATGCTTTACATCAGTCGAAGATGGCGCCGTTGATTGCGACGAAGTTACTTGAGGAGCGTTATTATCCGGAGAACAAGGCACTTCCTCTACCGCCAGTTTCCTCAGAATACAATGTGACCAGCAAAAAACGTATCTGTTTGGTGAACATCGACACGCGACCATTGCAACGATTCTCCGCAGTAGAAGGTGGATATAGGGATATGACTTTTTCTTCGCTTTCCACGTACAGCAATCTTCTCTATGGTATGTCGTCATCTAGATCTAGTAGAATGTGCTGCATGTGGATTTATTCTTTAGCACGTCTTCATGGTTACGATTATCAACGTATCGTTGTTCCTCCGTTTCAAAACCGATACCATACATGGTCAAAAGTGTACCACTTGTATGATATGGTTCAATCTATGGCCGAATCGCATGACGTTATTCTATTTCTCGATGCTGATGCTTATGTTGCCGATATTCGCATGCCTCTCGAACGATTATTGACAAAGTGGAAATTTGATGAGAAGGTACAGATTATCATTACTCACGGGCTAATTTCATATTTGATTCGTTTTCATTTAGGCTCAATTGCTCTTATCTCTCGATGTTTCCAGTCCGTATGCGAAAGATACACATGGTCGTACGGTACTCAATACTGGCGTGATCTTTCTTCGACCAGGCAGTCCGAAAGTCATCTCATTACTGCGCAACTTATCCGAATGTCTAGAGCGCACACCTGGCTGTGAACAATGGCGACACAAATGGGGTCACGAACAATCTGCTTTCAGCGAATATTTCCGAGATGCATTCATTCCCGATGTCGAATTGTTATCAATGCCGTGTAACGAAGGTCTTGGCTACAGTGAAGACCCATACAATTGTCATGGTATTTACATTTCACATGTTACTATGGACAAAGAATCACTCCGTGAACGGTATAAGCAACGGCTCATCTATGGTACTTTGTTATCACTTGAACGCGAACTCTTTCGGTCGCATGTTACGTATCCATCGACGAATGACATTGATTTGCTCGATATGATGCGACAACAACGTTCATCAACAACACCTACGATGGAGAACAGCACGTCAACTGATTAGATTGCAAGTGCGAAAAATTAATTATGCCAGACGAACATTTTGCTTCTTGTGCGTAGGTCGTTTGGCTGTTTTTCGTCCTGAAAACACATTCAATCTTTTCTTTCATGTACACACCCAGTAAATATTATGAATTAAAACTATAATCATGTTTCGAATATTCGATTTTCACCTGAACCATGTGTTTGGAGAGAAAAAAACAAGAAAAGAATGTTTCTGTTCTTAAGCGTTAAAGTGAAAGAAAGTGAGAAGAAAAAGAGGTTGATCAATATTATTCTTGCATCAAATGCTTCACATTTGAAACAAGCACATTCACAACGATATGCCAAAGATGAGGAATAATCTAAATAAAATCGACTTTTATAGTAAACAAGTTATACGCAAAGCCAAGAGAACACACCGGCGACTTTCTCGATCGGTTTATTCAGCAATTCATGGCAAAGACCTCATCGACGATGTGGACAATACCGATGAATACCAACCAGTTTCAATCTTGTCACATATCCCGTATCTGAATCGATATTGTTCACACTTTTGTATGGATTTCTGCGTTGTTATTTGTATTATCTTCTCACTAATCATGCTTTTCCTTGTAATAACATACTACTTAGTCTATGGATCTTATTTTTCTATTTAATTGAGATTTTCTACATAAATATGAGTTTCATCTCTGTGGTAAACCGGACCGAGTTTTTATTCTCTAGAAAAAGTTTAACAACGAAAGTACAAGACAACATCGAGAATATCTCATTCTCAATCAAATCAAACCAAATCCATGAGCATCACGTTCACGCCCTGTTGAAATAGCTTCTTTATAGATCGTTTCAGTGGATCTGTAAATTGAAATAGAGCAATCATAACGGAGACAGAAAACACATCGAAAAAGACGCAAGCAAATCGGCAATGATATTTAACAGTACGTTGAAAGAACGACATAACAACAAACACTCCATACGGAAAACCAACGATGAATAGAATCATTATAAGTACAACAATGCGCTGGACGATCGTCAACTGTCGTTCAGCACGAATAATTATATTCACTGGGACTATTCGTTTGTTCATTTCACGTATGTAAAAAAACAGTTTGAAATAAGTAATTATAATTAACAAAACAGGTATGATGTAACTACAATGTAGCATATAAATCAATGAAAAAGACAATTTTAATGGTAATTGGCAGATGTGATTATTCACATCATAGGATATTTCCCCTTTGAACATAAAGATCAACGGATATGTCAAACTGAACAGCCATGTGATAGAAATAAACAAGAGCTGAGTAGGGAAAGCTCGCCAATAGCGATAAGATGGATAGACAACGGAGATGTAGCGGTAAATGGCTTGTAAAAAATACGAGAAGTTTAGCATCGCACAGGAGGCGTACGCAATGTAAATTCGGAATACGCAAAAGTAATCTTTGTATTGAATGTACTTGGCATCATTGTGTAAACGCATCATAGCGATCCAGAATCGATCGAAAGCAAAGATGAAGTGTGATAGACATGAATTGGCAATTAGCATCATTGGAATTGTATGACAAGTCTTGTCAAAGAGTATGATGAACACGAATAGCAATGCACATGCGGTGATTAACATTGTGAAGAAAACGGATAAGACATCGAAGGGTATAAACCAGAACGGAATATAAAGAATAATTGTTTCGTTAGTTGAATACATCATCGTATCTAGAAAAAAAAACCCTAAAACTGTGAAAGTTCTTCCAGTTGCATCGCGGGGATATTCGTCTGATTGAGAGAAAATCTTTCATGTATGGAATTGAAGAAAAGCAATATCTTATAATAGGACATTTGTCAAATCAAAAGTATTAAGTTCAATACAAGTTGAAAGAAAATTTTAAATTAAGTCTCGAAATTCAAACTCATTGATTATGAATCTTCTTGTTTTAATATAGATTAAAATAACTCGAATGAGATATGAAGACTCGTCATGTTTCATACTTTTAATCGGAGTACCTGTTCGCATGATCTATTCTTAGTGAAGAAAAATAATTCTAAATTGAAATTCCTCTCATGAATGTGTCCCGACGATAATGGTCGCGAATTTTATCAGTAAAATGCTGATAGCAAAAGCAACTTTTCTCTATTGTATGAGAAAGATAGAACCTATGAACGTTATTGAGATACTCTCGTATAAAATTTATTCCCTTTCACCCTCAAGTACTTCTGTTCGCACACACGAAGAAAGTTGTTGTCTTCAAAAAAAAACCCTTACCCAACATATATAACATGTCATGCAATACGTCTTAGTCTCATCTTTCTTGATACTTTGGATGTACATAGATTTAAATATGACCCTAATGGCGATTAATTCGAATGCGACACTTACGTTTTTTTCATCTTTCGCACAACCCAGTGGAACCGATCATATTTCCTATTATCACAAATTATCTATCATATAACACTAATACAATGTGTTTTTCTTTCTCATTATTTACACAGCTGAAAACTTTGTTTTATAAAAAAAGTAAAGAACATCCTAATGTCACTTGATCTTAATTTAATTAAATCGAAATGTCCGTAAATGTTAGTTTGCTCGTCTACATGTCAATGATAATTCGCGAAGATGATACTATTGATGAGAATCCAGTGCGCCCCTCTTGAGTGCCGAGAAAACGAATGCTCTTGACTTTTCTAAGGAGAAAAACTCTTATTTCCTATTTGATGAGAAATTCATGTAGAGGAAGGAAACCACTTCTAAACACTATATCCGAAACTTAAAAAGTTATTTCACTTTTTTGAAAAAAATCATAGCAGAAACGTTCATGACAAATGTCAGGTGGTGATTAAGCGCTTGGCCGGGCGTCGGATCAGGACGTAATCTGGATGTTTAGGAAAGAAACGTCTCTAGCTGTCGAACATGATATTCTGCTTTTTTAAATTTAATGTAATAAACGTCATCTGAGTTTTAAATAGACGAAGAATCTAATATTTATTCGACGATATGCTTCACACTTAACTTTTCCGAACAAGAGAAGAATTATAGTTTGTATTATCATTCATTGTAACAATAGACTTCTCTGCACTGTTTAATATATTTATAAAGAGCACTTCTAAACTTTAATATTTGATTCACATTTATTTCTATAAAAAATGATGTAAATGATTAAAGACATATTTTTTATGTAGGCTTAACTGACTTTGTTGTTACAAAGAAATATCACATGATTTTAACGAAGTGAATTCAGAAATGAAATAATTCATTATGAATTTTGATATCAAGCTGATTGTGTCGCGAGAAGAGAAATAAGATGAAACGAACGTGTCAACTGCATGATGTATCGTTTCTCATGCGACACAATGATAGACACGTGTGTTCCGAGGTAAAAACAATCATCATGTTTGTTTTGATGTTTTTTCTTTCTTTTCTTCGCGTCAACAATTGTCTTTGGAAACGAAGTTTATACTGAATATTTATTTTTCAAATCTGTTTTCTCGACATTGGATACTTCTATTTTTATATGTCATTCCGTGTTGTTGTTGTTGTGAGTGTGCCCGTTGCTTTTCTTTTGGTACTTGTGACAAAATTCCACAATTCGTTCGCATGCATCTCGAACATTTTCAAAAGGAGCGACTGTGACCAGACGACAATAGTTCGAGATACCAAATGACTAAGAACAGCACGATCACATTTGAGTGTATTTAATACACGATTTCACTTACTGTGCACGGTACGCATGAAACTGCTTGTTCATCCATTAACTTTTTAGCAAAATCTATTTCGTTCTCAATTGTTCCGTCGAATTGATCAGGATTAATACGTATCTAGTCAAATAAATATTAATTGAGAGAATAGACGAGTTCGCTTTTTGCTCACGAGCATATAGAGAGCACCTTGTGATTTATGGGGTTCGATAGTAGGCTGTGCTTGTGACAAGATATCAAACATTAATTCCGCATTTTTCTATTCAACCCAAAATATGATTATAAATTATAGATTGTAACTGAATATTTACTTGAACGTATGCCATGTAATCTTTGAAATAGATTTTTGGAGTCTCGTTTAGAATGCGAGGTAGAGCAGCTTGAATGATCGAGTTTGGTCCAAGAAGTCGCACACTTAAATCAAATAAACAAGGCCGAACCGAATCTATATATACAAATGAAGATAAAATATCGCAAGTCGATACAAAAATAAGATGTTAACCGAATAAATAATTCATTGGATCATGAATAGCAATCCATCCACATCGCCAACCAGGACAACAGAATAGTTTGGAAATTCCACCACATGTCAACACGGGTACTCGTTCGGATAAAGTTGCCGTCGCATGGAATTTCACACCTTCGAATGTCTGTGAATACATGATCGTTGATAGATGGTGTTCGTTTTATGGTGACTCACCATTCCGGCGTAGATTTCATCTGAAATGATCGGCAAATGGTGTTCTTCACACACAGCGATCAAATCGAGAAGACGTTCTCGTGAGAAAACAGTGCCACATGGATTTGATGGATTGTTGATGAGAACAGCTCGTGTTCGCTCGTCGATGTTTTTTTTTTAAATCTTCAAAATCGATTTCCCATCCTTTGTCAGGGCGAAGATTATAGAAACGCGGTTCGATGTGACCGGCAGCACAGAGAGAATCGAATAACGAGAAACTTGACCGCGGGATAAGAATATTATCGCCTGGATCAGCCAAACATGTGAAACACGTTTCGATAGCTTGATTACAGCCACTTGTCATAATGATATCCTGCAAGAAGAAGGAAAACTTTGATCTAGTTAGAAAATATTTAACTCACATCGATTGTAAACTTGAGATTGCTGTCAGAAAGAAATTCAGCGACAGCTTGACGGGTGATACTATTTCCTAAATGCAGACAAGTTCCATTTGTTGCGCAAATCGCCCAATTGACTAACCGTATGAAATAGCATAACCATGTGCTGAAGATTCTTGAATTGCATCAACAATCGCTGCACGCGCTTCCGTAGGTGGGAGTAATTCACCTTAACATGTCGGATCACCTACATCAAATTTTACAGATATCAAACACTTCTTTCTTATACTTACCGATAGAAAGAGTAATTGTCGATTTACTTGGTACTGATTCGTCGGTAGATTTAGACTTTTTAGCACTTGCCATCCATCGTGCAGTAGCACTTGTTGCTAAAGCTGCCTGTGAACTTTTAATTTGCCAATTGTCATCTTTAGTTGAGCCGTTCTGTAAGATTTACAAAAGACGTCTTTCAAAAACAGTAAAAATGAAAATGTCTTTTGTCTGACCTGCATCATTGCTTTGATAATTTCAATAATTTACTTGTAGAATACTGCTCTAGAAAGAAAAAAAGTCAAATGACTACTGATTACCAGTGAAAGAGAGAAATATATGCTTCTATCGTCGGCTTTCAAGGAGACACAGCTCAACAAGATTGAGATCGAGATAGAAAACAGTAAAAGAAAGAGTCAGAGAGTGTTATACACACACGGCAGTTACTTAACATACACATAAAGTTATAATAAAAATCATCCAGATATCAGATAGTGGAGATAACGCGGTTGAAAAAGCAATTTTTGCAGTTGCCTGTAATTTATGTCGTGATATTTTCTTAATATTATCTCTCATCAGTGTGAATGATATGTATATAGAATAAAATATAAAAATTAATCAGACGAAAATCAATAGACTAAACTTTTCTGATGTTTACATAAATTGATAGAAAAAGTGAACACATTGTCGAGTAAACATCTTGTTGACGTTAAGATCGAATTGCGATCTAAATTTGAAGTGTATCAGAAGACACATAATGCCGTAAAAGAGTTGATTCTTTAATATGAGTATTTAGATTTGTTTTTTTTTGGATAAGAAATAAAATCATTGTTCGAAATAGACGGTATTCTGATTATTTCAATCATCGTGTTGATAATGAACTGTATATTCAAATGAATGAATATCACAGTCAATAATACTAGATTATAGTTCTTGTCAAATTGATTTAACATCGAAGAGTTCAATTTTCCGCATTTGCTGTGTATCCCAGTGGTTTTACAGGATGGTTCAAAGTGAAAAATCTGACATTTTTTTCTGAGTACAATGCGAAGTAGATATCTTTTTACGATCTCCCTCGCCGTGATAAAAAAAAAACTTTTGGTTCTCTTATTTAACGATCGATTTATGGACGATCATAAAACTACTGAGTTTTTTATATTCTTATTGTGTATAAAACAGAGTCGTTTGTTTCTAACAACATCAGAGAATAACAAAGTACACTCTCAGTATCTTTGTGAACGTTAACATGGCACTTCTCACGGTGTTATACGTTCTACTTGGTTCAATTTCTTTTATTATCTTCTATATTTACTGGAAATATATATATACTAAGAAATGTCTTTATCATATGTTTCGTAATCAAGGTATACCATGTGAACCGTTTGTTCCATTTGTCGGACAACTATCTGATATACGCCGTGCGAGCGTTAATGATAATGCCATGGACTATCGACTCGCTTTAGCGAAAAAACATGGTTACGTCTACGTTTCGGGATTCGGCCCATCGATACATTTGAATGTAATGGAACCAGACATGCTTGCTGATGTTTTTGGTCGGTCGCATGCACAAGATTATAATAAACCGGAAGATACCGTGGCAGTTTTTGAGCCTCTTATTGGTAAACACAATCTACTGACGAGTGAAGGAGAGGAACATGATCGTGCACGAAAAATGCTAAATCCTGCGTTTAACTTCATCAAATTACAATCCATGATTCCTATCATAGTCGATCAGACAAGTAGAGCTATCGATGATTTACTCTCATCGGCAAAGCAAGGTCAAGTGGTCGATTTACAAACAGAATTTACTAATCTCACTCTAGCAATTATTTCCTCAAGTGCGTTTGGTAAAAGTCTAGAAACCATGAAGAATGCAAAACAAATTGTCAGTCACGCATTCAATGATCTACTGGCAGCGATAGCTTATCGAACTATGCGAGCAATTAACGTGATGCCAATTATTTGTCGATTACCGTTTTGGCGTAAAAACATCGTCGATAAAGGCTCACGCGAGATTTTTCAGTTTGTCGATCAAATAATTGCTGACCGTCGATCTCATCGGTCAACTAGTTTATCTACCAACGAAGATCTTCTCGATCTCCTTCTCACAGCAGTCGATAACGAAGGAGAGTTTTTCAGTAATGAAGAAATTAAAGATCAAGCGTTAACATTTGTATTTGCTGGACATGAGACAACAGGCCATTTGATAACTTGGATTATGTACATATTAATGACACACAATGATGTACTACAAGTTTGTCGCGAAGAAATCGATCGAGTACTTCCAAATGGGACGCCACCTGACGCCGAACGTATAAGTAAATTAGTGGTATGCGAAGCGATCATACAAGAAACACTTCGTTTGTATCCACCAGCACCATTCATGATACGAAAATGTATCCGTGAACACATCATCGGTAGTAAAGAACATCGGCAAATACAAGTTCCTGTTGGTGCAACCATTCTACTTAATAGTTATGTTCTCCATCGACGCGAAGAGTTTTGGCCAAGACCAGAAGAATTTGATTATACACGTTGGATTCGAGATCCGATAACAGGCCTCAAACCTAAACTAACTCATCCATTCTGTTATTTACCATTCGCTGCTGGACCACGAAATTGTATTGGTCAGAACTTTGCTCTACTCGAAGCCAAGATCATGTTGGCGGCACTTGTCCAACGATGCCAGTTCGAACTAGAACCCGGCCAAAAGATTATCCCGGAAACTTGCGTCACTATGTCACCAAAGTACGGACTACGAGCAAAGATTGCTCAGCGATAATAAAAACAATATTGGTATATCAGTTTCTTTTCTTTACCAATGCTTACATCCTTCACTCGAAAATTAAAAGATAGACAAAGAACAATTTCGTCAACATGTGATTGACATGATTGTGATGCTTTTCTGTGTTTCAAAATAAACTAAATTAATACAACTAACAAATAGTAATAACATGATCATTTTCTTGTTGCACGTTTGTGAGATATGTTTGTAAAAGAACATATCGTTCTGTATACCAGTTGAATTAAAACAGGTCAAAAACGATAATTTTATTTCGAACCACATATATGGGACTCTTTCTAATATTTGAGCATAGACATCAACACCTAACTTTCTTCATTGAATATTCGTCTTGGTTTCTACGTCGTATTGCTGACCATGGTAATGATAAAATATAAAATGAATATTTATAGTTTCTTAAAGTAGGAAAATGGATCGTTCGATCAAACTACATGCACCCATGGAAGAACATGACTATAATACGTATTAGCATTGGTCACTCGAAACTATGGCGCTGCCTTTCAAGTTCCAACTAACTACCGCCTACTCGCAAAAACAGAATTCAACGAAAGTTATTGGCTGACAGTTGATGATATCGTTGCCTGGTTGGGCAAACTTGATACAGAGATGATGAACATTGATTATGATCTTCATTTAACTCACTTATTCAAGATCAAAACAGTTGAAGAATTATCTACTACTCGGTATATCGTGTGCAACCACTCTGATTGTCAATCTATCTGATTGAGACGATATCGAATAATGAAGCAACGGTTCAACGACCGATATTAACACCTATTTGGTCACTCGATGAAACTCGCTTTGCCGGAGAAACAAGCAGTCTAACATTGCACGACCACTATTTAGATTATTTGTGACAACAGCGCCGGATCAGTCACTTGGTTATTGAATCTTCGTGCAAATAATATGCAATGCGATCTCTTATTCTATAGTTTTATGATCGTTTTACCTGATGAATTTATCGTCTTCATCGACAATCCGAACGAGACAAAGGATTCGGACAGATGAGTTCACATGTGTGTTCGTCATCGATACTCTACATTCTTCATCCATATACATTTCGCATTCACCAATTCAATAAATGAAAGAAATTAAGAATTCCACTGAGTTAGACGGTTTTCTTCAATGTCATTATCGAGACTGCGCAGTAGTACGTGAAACATTTCAGTAACTTCAGTAATCCATTGATAATAATTCGCTTATAACTGAATATGACGTAGTCAAGTATCTCGAACAACGTCAGCGAAAAAAAAACAGTTGTTCATTAGAATTGCTTTCGATGCGATATCAGCCTGTGGAGCGAATACATTGCTCATTGAATATGCATTGTCAGGTAATAAATATGCAAAAACTATTGGGCAAGATTTATATTACCTTGATGGTAGCACTAATTACTACGATGGAACGACAGACATGACACGTACATTTCATTTTGGGCAAATCTCATAAAAACAAATAGAATGTTACATACTATTATTACGTGGCGTATTAGCTATATAGAAATGACCGTATTTCCGAGCAAAGATTTCATTATAGGATACCGAATAGATGCTCTTTTGCAACAATATCTTAATGCTTATCATTACGCAAGTAATCGTATCCTCGTTGGCCATGTATCACACGGTCAATGTGTTATCAAAGGTGGAGTTGTAATTTCTGATAGCTCTACAGTATCTAGTCGAATACCTATTCGACTAGGAATGATTATCACACTTGAACTAGGTATCTATGTCAATGGTGAATAGGATATTTGAATAAAAAATGTGTATGCAGTCGAAGATGATCAGATGGAAGGGATGCGTTTTGTTTCATTAACGTTAATATCCTATTCTCGTAAAATGATTGACCTTAACTCGCTTACGAAATAGGAAGGAATTAAAATGGATTCATAATTATCAGCACTTATGTTTGAAGAAAGTCAATGGTAAACAGTGGATAGTGAATGAAATCATTGCCTTCAATTAATCTAATTGTGATACGAACACGAAATACATGCCTTATTCTTGTAATTCATGAAAATAAAACTTTTTCTGTAGTTATTAAATTGATAAACCAAAGGAAATATGGATGCTAACATTGGAAAGACTAATACTATTACCTACTCATAGCCTTAGATATGATTGTTACTTTTGAGGATGAAGTTACATAGTAGAAATTTATTAAATAAAAAAAACAATCTCTTTTTCAATCATGACATACGTTACGCTTTGTAAACGATTTTTAAGTAAGGCAATGCCTGACCATAGCGATACACAATATATTCCGTCATTGTTGAGTGCTTGCCAATTATCGAATGGAATCCTAGTGGAGCTGATACCAATGTTTTATCTGTAGTTGTTAAGACCTTAGATTCACCCAAGAGCACCTTGTTATAAAACATGACGCGAGTGCCATCGGTGGGATTTACATCAGTATAGCCGTGCGATTTTTGTGGATTGTCAGCAAAATAAGCACCATGACCATATAAGCCATCTTTACTAAAATATCGATCGTCGTACCCGTCTTCGGTAATACCTTTAGCACCAAAACTTTTCGCACCGTGAAATAATTCTTGTTCATTTGGATTTTGATTTGGACACTGCTTGGAAGTGAGTTTCTTTATACCTTCGTAGATCTCTTCGAGAAAAGGATTTCGTATCTCTTCTATTGAGATAATTTGAACGGCACTAATGTTTGTCATCTTCGCTGAAACAGCAATATACAGAGTAGCACTCGTTGGTAGGGGCACTAGAATGGCATAATGTTGATGGTGAGGATTGGGCAAGATTGATATGACAGGTCCATCTTGAGCCCATCCACGACGTATCATTTTGTCAATACGCTGTTGAACGAATGTATCGGTTGGACGAAGAACTTGAAAACGTTTGTTTCTGATATGTTTAACAATCTTTTCTAAATCAATTTCGTAAGGTTTTCGTTGTATGTCGATACGCATTCCAAGTTCATGAGTATAATCTTTCTCTACGGATAGATTACTCACATCTAAATCAATTCGATCATGTGTCAATGCGACGTGTGGTTCAATCAAATCCATAGTAAATGGTCCTGTTGGTTCATTCAAATCGAATAATAAAACATATCTCCAAGTGTCACGTTTGACTTCGCATNCGAGAACATCATTCCTCAAATTTTCTGTCGCTTTTCTCTGCATTTCACCAGTATACACGTGAAAATGTCGCCATACGATATTTGAGACCTACATATAATCTTACATGGTGAGTCAACAACGCTCAATAAGATATTTCTCATACCTCTTGTAAATATGGAAATGATTTACAATACAACCCAAGTTCTCTTTGTGTTCTCAATTGGTTACGGTTGACGAGCTCGTTGAGAAATTCACCATATTGAACGTAGCCTCTGAATCGTTGACGAAACTGGATAAACAACGCAATAACATCACCGCTCACCAAAAATGGAATTGGTTGATGTCGTCGGGTTGGCTCATAACGGAACACTCGTTTTACATCCGGATTTTCATCAAGAGGACCCAGAAGTGCGTCTTCGTACGTATTCAACTTAAGAAATCCAGCTAGAAGCGATCCAAGATCGTGCAAGGTGCATAACACGAAAATTTGTTCGAAAATTTGCATATAAAATGTGACTTTTCTTATTCGATCAGTTAGATTTACCAAAGGACTGAATTCACTGGAGCGAACCCCCAATTGGCTCCACGACGCGACACCATAGTGCTTGAACAACTCTAACTGAACACGTTCACGCGAGACAAACTCTCGGCTTCGGTGAATGCTAATAATAATTTCGGATAGTTTTCTAGAAATATCTTCCACATAAGCTGATCGCGATTGAGGCACATGATATTGAGTTCTTGTGTTGGATTGAACGAGTATTGCCGGTGTGTAAGTATAGAGAGATGTAGGTACCAATGCTGGAACGTTCATATGCGGTACCTGTGGAACTCGAGTCGTGATTAGTGTTGCTGCTTGTGTAGGCCGGTTCTCATGCTGACTACGGTGCTCTATATCAAAATTATTCTTCTCATCTGTTATCAGTTGGTGTACGACATTTGAATACGAAGTCTAAGCAACATAAATAATAATTAGAATCGAGAAAAGCTAAAGCTACGATATACTTCTTTTATTTGAGTATTACGTCTCGAAGGTTGACTTGGTACTGGTTCACCAAGCGCCGGGAACATTTCATTGTAGTTACCATCCAATTGGAATCCTATTTGAGCAATTGAAGCTGATTGTGGTGTGGTGCGAATCTGTTGAGGTTGCTGTCTTGATGTGTAATGCACATAATTCGATCTACTCCCATCGTTTTTTCGATTAATGGTATTCTTCATTGTAAATGCAGTATCTAAACTAATATCAAAATGAGTTTTGTAAATTTTCAACTGAGAAGAGATTTTATGCTTGCAGTTATTGACTACGACTTAGAAACATCAAAGATGGAAATTAAAAAATTCATCCCATATAAAATTTTTGCATGTCGATGTAAAACGATAAAGTTATTTCGGTTGTTATGAATTGCCCTTTTCTGTGCGTCTGATAGAAAGAAAAATAACATGACATCGTATGCGTCTCTACTCCGGTAGTAGATTATTCATTAAGAAGACTGAGAATGTTTCATCGAGAAGAGAACGACAAAAGTTGCTTGGAAAAAAACGACGTGTTTTTTAACAGTGAAAGAGAATATAACAGATGTCACTTGTTTTTCTTAGAAAGACGAATAGAACATACATTGACAAAATTTTCCAACTATGAATCATCGTAAGGATCCATAGTTTTCATTCAATAAGACGGAAAGAAAGAATATCTCACGACAGAAATAATCTTCAGATTTACGTAGTATTCTTTATTCAATTAAAAAAAAACAAATTTGCATATCTTTCACAGTAGTCACATATCTCTCTGCTACTTGAATCAGTTATTTCAAAGCAATACCATTGCCATCAGGAAAGGCACCAGCCAAGATTCGAATCCAGTCGGTCAGCCACCAAATACTTGAAGCTATGCCAGCAAGTACCCGCAAACACTGGAAGCATGCTCCGATAGAGCTGTCTTTCCCACACCCTGCCGCTAGTATACTACAGCAGCATCCGCATGATACCAGTATCTTGAAAACACCGGCCACTATGTATTTAGTAGTGCTACGAGAGAGATAGAACCAATCAGCACCAAAACTTCCCACAAACAAGGAGAGTAAAAAAGCAGTCCATTTCGATTTTTGCTCGTATGAACAAGGTTCTTTTTCATTTTGTGTCACCCAACCATCTACACATACACAAACTCGATCGCGACATTGCTCATGAGCGCTGCAGTCACCGGCATAGTAACAGATTCGAGACTTTAATAATCGCTCGGTACTGTTACTGTGTTTATTTTGAATCNTCGCTGAAGAAAGAGCGAATAGATAACCACATGTCAATAAATAATGTTATTGTTGTTGTATGCTCTATGTACTGACCGGCAAGAAAAAACAGTGCAGCAAGACACGATTTTAATACCGAAAGGAAAAGAAAATGTTCGTTTCGAAAATGTCCAGACGAGATAGATATCACCAGAGAGAAACAGCTGTGCAATGATATCATTCACATGCGAGATTAGATAAAGAACATGCTTTAACCATACATTCGTCCATATGTATCACGAATATGTTTCTTTTCGTCTATACAATTCTATTCGATTCGTTCTTGTAATTCCTTCTCTATCTTTCTTCACGTCTTGCCTATACAAACAATTCTCTTCGTTATCTTCCTATATAATATCGACTATCGTTTGGTAGTAGTACAGTTTTACTTGTACACAGCTCGCGCAAGATCAACGATGAATAACAAGGTACAAGAAACAGTGAACTTTATTGGTCGTTCTTATATTTTAGTAATTGAGTTTAGGTTGCACCCGAGGATCTGACTATCGAATTGGAAACAGCCAAGACGGCTCTACTTACCGCGGAGACTGAGAAAGGTAATTTATTCATGCCATTGGTTCGATTTGTATCAGGCGTCATTTCGTTCGTCTAGTATCGCTTGACACTGCAAAATCGTCCGGTCATGTGACGATGAGACGTCTCAGTCTAGTCCTGTTAGCGGTACAAAATGTAGTTCATATTCTACTTGTACGCTATGTGCGCACACTGCCAGGTCCACGATTTATCAAGTCAACTTTCGTGTTCGTTACAGAAATTCAAAGGACTATATTCAGTATTTTACTAGTTTGGCACGAAGAACGTAGTATTATTGCCGGTACAAAAAAGATTTATAATCAGATCCTTGGAAATCCGCGTGATACACTGATGGTTAGTATTCCAGCATTTATCTATACAATACAGAACAATCTCATCATCATCGCTGTGTCAAACCTTGATGCACCGACTTATATGGTATGTCATACAGGCTATGTTAATCCAATCCATTGTAATTCACGCAGGTTACCAATCAATTGAAAATTTTCACGACGGCTATGTTTACGGTCACCATGTTGAATCGTCGACTAGGTCTTATTCAATGGTTGTCGTTGGTTTCTCTCTTCTGTGGTATCTGCCTTGTACAAGTTGACAGTATAACTTCGAAAGAGCCGAAAAAGGATGTGAATGCTGTCGTCGGACTTCTGGCAATGGTCTGTTCTAGTGAGTAGAAACTAATGACTTATTGAGCTTCTTAGCACGTTTCTTCATTTAGGTATTTCCAGTGGCTTTGCAGGTGTGTTTATAGAGAAACTTTTGAAGAATTCTGATGTATCAGTATGGATTCGAAATATTCAATTGGGCATGTTCAGCGTGATCGGTAGCCTGTCGGTGATGTTTATAATAGACGGAAAAGAAGTGCAAGAGAAAGGCATTTTGTACGGTTACTCTGAGATGGTATGGATGTCCACGATTGGTCATTCCCTAGGTGGATTAATCGTCGCATTAGTTATTAAATACGCCGACAATATTTTGAAAGGTTTCGCATCAGCATCAGCCATTATTCTTGCGTGCATTATTAGCGTGGCGCTGTTTGATTTTCAACTGACTGTTCCAATGGTGTTTGGCTCCCTATTGGTCATCGTATCTATTTTGGCTTATTCGAATGTGTGCGTATTCGTTGACACGTCAGCGATTGATTTTACCATGATGGACAAGTTGAACTTTTTTGTAAAGAAGATGCCCATGTAATTCCTTTTGTTAACTGTAGGACAATGTTCATAAAGAACATTAGAGCAGTCATTTTTGTGCAATTCGAATTAATATTCACTCTTAATTAATATTTTACTCTCTTTCTGTTTAGGATTAATCTTTCGTAACTAGATAAATGATTGTGCCATCAAGAATATTTTATATCTTCAGTAAACATGCGGTGGTACAGTTATTGCTACCTACGATGGTGGGATTAATGATCGGTATGACGATAATGTATCATGCTTTACATCAGTCGAAGATGGCGCCGTTGATTGCGTCGAAGTTACTTGAGGAGCGTTATTATCCAGAGAACAAGGCACTTCCTCTAGCGCCAGTTCCCTCAGAATTCAATGTGACCAGCAAAAAACGCATCTGTTTGGTGAACATCGATACGCGACCATTGCAACGATTCTCCGCAGTAGAAGGTGGATATAGGGATATGACTTTTTCTTCGCTTTCCACGTACAGCAATCTTCTCTACGGTATGTCGTCATCTAGATCTAGTAGAATGTGATATATGTGGACTTATTCTTTAGCACGTCTTCATGGTTACGATTATCAACGTATCGTTGTTCCTCCATTTCAAAACCGATACCATACATGGTCAAAAGTGTATCACTTGTACGATATGGTTCAATCTATGGCCGAATCGCACGACATTATCCTATTTCTCGATGCAGATGCTTACGTGGCCGATATTCGCATGCCTCTCGAACGATTATTGACAAAGTGGAAATTTGATGAGAAGGTACGGATTATCACTACTCATAAGCTAGCTCCATATTTGATTTGTTTTCGTTTAGGCTCAATTGCTCTTATCTCTCGATGTTTCTAGTCCGTATGCGAAAGATACACATGGTCGTACGGTACTCAATACTGGCGTGATATTCCTTCGACCAGGCAGTCCAAAAGTCATCTCATTACTGCGCAACTTATCCCAATGTCTAGAGCGCACACCTGGCTGTGAACAATGGCGACACAAATGGGGTCACGAACAATCTGCTTTCAGCGAATACTTCCGAGATGCATTCATTCCTGATGTCGAATTGTTATCAATGCCGTGCAACGAAGGTCTTGGCTACAGTGAAGATCCATACAATTGTCATGGTATTTACATTTCACATGTTACTATGGACAAAGAATCACTCCGTGAACGGTACAAGCAACGACTCATCTATGGCACTTTGTTATCACTTGAACGCGAACTCTTTCGGTCGCATGTTGCGTATCCATCAACGAATGACATTGATTTGCTCGATATGATGCGACAACAACGTTCATCAACAGCACCTACGATGGAGAACAACACGTTAGCTGATTAGTTTGCAAATGCGAAAAATTAATTATGTCAGACGAACATTTTGCTTCTTGTGCGCAGGTCGTTTGGCTGTTTTTCGTCCTGAAAACACTTTCAATCTTTTTTTTTCATGTACACACCCAGTAAATATTATGAATTAAAACGATAATCATGTTTCGAGTATTCGATTTTCACCTGAACCATGTGTTTGGAGAAAAAAAAACAAGAAAAGAATGTTTCTGTTCTTCAGTGCTAAAGTGAAAGAAAGTGAGAAGAAAAAGAAGTTGATCAATATTTTTCTTGCATCAAACGCTTCACATTTGAAACAGGCGCATTTACAACGATATGCCAAAAATGAGGAATAATCTAAATAAAATCGACTTTTATAGTAAACAAGTTATACGCAAAGCCAAGAGAACGCACCGGCGACTTTCTCGATCAGTTTATTCAGCAATTCATGGCAAAGACTTCATCGACGATGTGGACGATACCGATGAATACCAACCTGTATCAATCTTGTCACATATCCCGTATCTGGATCGATACTGTTCGCACTTTTGTATGGATTTCTGTGTTGTTCTTTCTGTTATCTTCTTACTAATCATGCTTTTTCTTGTAATAACATACTACTTAGTCTATGGATCTTATTTTTCTATTTAATTGAGATTTTCTACATAAATATGAGTTTCATTTCCGTAGTAAATCGGACCGAGTTTTTATTCTCTAGAAAAAGCTCAACAACGAAAGTACAAGACAACGCCGAGAATATCTCATTCGCAATTAAATCAAACCAAATCGATGAGCATCACGTTCGCGTCCTGTTGAAATAGGTTCTTTATAGATCGTTTCAGTGGATCTGTAAATTGAAATAGAGCAACCATAACGGAGATAGAAAACACATCGAAAAAGACGCAAGCAAATCGGCAATGATATTTGACGGTACGTTGAAAGAACGACATAACAACAAACACTCCATACGGGAAGCCAACGATGAAGAGAATTATTATAAGCACAACAATGCGCTGGACGATCGTCAATTGTCGTTCAGCACGAATGATTATATTCACCGGGATTATCCGTTTGTTCATTTCACGTATGTAACAGACCAGTTTGAAATAAGTAATTATAATCAACAAAACAGGTATGATATAACTGCAATGTAGCATGTAAATCAATGAAAACGACAATTTTAATGGTAATTGGCAGACGTGATTATTCACATCATAGGATATTTCCCCTTTGAACATAAAGATCAATGGATATGTCAAACTGAAGAGCCATGTGATAGATATAAACAAGAGCTGAGTAGGTAAAGCTCTCCAGGAGTGATGAGATGGATAGACAACGGATATGTAGCGGTAAATGGCTTGTAAAAAATACGAGAAGTTTAACATCGCACAGGAGACGTACGCAATATAAATTCGGGCTATGCAAAAGTAATCTTTGTATTGAATGTACTTGACATCATTGTGTAAACGCATCATAGCGATCCAGAACCGGTCGAAACCAAAGATGAAGTGTGATAGACATGAATTGGCAATTAGCATCATAGGAATTGTATGACAAGTCTTGTCAAAGAGTATAATTAACATAAATAGCAATGCACATGCAGTGATTAACATTGTGAAGAAAACGGATAAGACATCGAAGGGTATGAACCAGAACGGAATATAAAGAATAGTTGTTTCGTTGGTTGAATACATCATCGTATCTAAAAAATATAAAACTGTGAAAGTTCTTCTAGTTGCATTGCGGGGATATTAGTCTGGTTGAAAGAAGATGTATGAAATTGAAGAAAAGCAATATCTTAGGACATTTGTGAAATCGAAAGTATCAAGTTAGATACAAGCTGAAAGAAATTTTTAAATTAAGTTTCGAAATTCAGACTCATTGATTATACATCTTCTTGCTTTAATATAGATTAAAATAACTCGAATGAGATATGAAGACTCGTCATATTTCATACTTTTAATCAGAGTACCTGATCGCATGAACTATTCTTAGTGAAGAAAAAGAATTCTAAATTAAAATTCCTCTCATGAATATATCCCGACGACGATGAGAGCGAGTTTCTATCAGTAAAATGCTGATAACAAAAGCAAGTTTTCTCTACTGTATGAGAAAAGTAGAACCTATGAACGTTATTCAGATACTCTCATATGAAATTTATTCACCTTTCACCCACAGGTACTTCTGTTCGCACACGCAAAGAAAGTTGTTGTCTTCCAAAAAAAAGCCGTCACCCAACGAACATAAAATATCATGCAATAGGCCTTAGTCTCATCTTTCTTCGTACTTCGGATGTGCATATATTTATATATGACGATCAATTCGAATGCGACACTTACGTTTTTTTTATCTTTCGCACAACCCAGTGGAACAGATCATATTTCCTAGTAACACAAATTATCTATCACACAACATTATAATACAATGTGTTTTCTTTCTCATCATTTACACAGCTGAAAACTTTGTTTTATAAAAAGAAAAGAACATCTCATTGTCACTTGATCTTACTTTAATTAAATCAAATTGTCCGTAAATGTTAGTTTGCTCGTCTACATGTCAATGGCGATTCGCGAAGATGATACTAATGACGAGCATCTAGTGTGTCGCTCTTGAGTGCCGAGAAAACGAATGCTCTTGACTTTTCTAAGGAGAAAAACGCTCATTTCCTATTTGATAAGAAAGTCATGTAGAGGAAGGAAACCACGTCTAAGCACAATATCCGAAGATCAAAAAATTATTCCACTTGTTTTTGAAAAAAATCATAGCAGAAACGTTCATGACAAATGTCAAGTGGTGCTAAAGCGCTTAGCCAGGCGTCGGATCAGCGTGTAATCTGGATTTTTGGGAAAGAGACATCTCTAGCTGTCGAACATGATATTCTGCTTCTTTAAATTTAATACAGACAACATCATCTGAGTTTTAAATAGACGAGGAATCTAAATGTTCATTCGATGATATGCTTTACAGTTAAATTTTCCGGTCAAGAGAAACATTTGTACTGTGCATTATTATTCATTGTAATAATAGACTTCCCTTACTGTTTAATATATTTATAAAGAGCACTTTCGAACTTTAATATTTGATTCGCATTCATTTCTATAAAAAATGAAGTAAATGATTCAAGACATCTTTTATGTAGGCTTAACTGGCTTTGTTGTAACGAAGGAGTGTCACGTGAATTTAGCGAAGTTAATTCAGAGATGAAATAAGTCATTATGAATTTTGATATCAAACTGATTGTGTCGTGAGAAGAGATATAAGATGAAACAAACATGGCTACTGCGTGCTGTATCGTTTCTCTTGCGACACAAGGACAGACACGTGTGTTCCGAGGCGAAAACAATCATCATGTTTGTTCTGATGTTTTTCTTTCTTTTCTTCGCACTAACAATTGTCTTTGGAAATGAAGTTTATACTGAATATTTATTTTTAAAAACTGTTTTCTCGGCATGTGATACTTCTATTTTTACATATCACTCCGTGTTGTTGTGAGTGTGCCCGTTGCTTTTCCTTTGGTGCTTGTGACAAAATTCCACAATTCGTTGGCATGCATCTCGAACATTTTCAAAAGGAGCGACTGTGACCAGACGACAATGGTTCGATCACCTTTGAGTGTATTTAGTCTTTAACACGACTTCACTTACTGTGCACGGTATGCATGAAACCGCTTGCTCATCCATTAATTTTTGTGCACAATCTATTTCGTTCTCAATTGTTCCGTCGAATTGATCAGGATTAATACGTATCTAGTCGAATAAATATTAATTGAAAGAATAGACGAGTTCACTTTTTGCTCACGAGCATGTAGAGAGCACCTTGTGATTTATGAGGTTCGATAGTAGGCTGTGCTTGTGATAAGATATCAAACATTAATTCCGCATTTTTCTATTCAGCCAGAAATTCGATTATAAATTATAGATTGTAACTGAATATTTACTTGAACATATGCCATGTAATCTTTGAAATAGATTTTCGGAGCCTCATTGAGAATGCGAGGCAGAGAAGCTTGAATGATCGAGTTTGGTCCAAGTAGTCGCACACCCTCAATCAAATAAACAAGGTCGAACCGAATCTAGGTATGCAAATGAAGATAAAATATCGCAAGTCAATACAAAGATAAGATGTTAACTAAATAAATAATTCATTGGATCATGAATAGCAATCCATCCACATCGCCAACCAGGACAACAGAATAATTTGGAAATCCCACCACGTGTCAACATGGGTACTCGTTCGGATAAAGTTGCTGTCGGGTGGAATTTCACATCTTCGAATGTCTGTGAATATATAATCGTAAATGGATGGTGTTCGTTTTCTGGTGACTCACCATTCCTGCGTACATTTAGTCTGAGATGATTGACAAATGGTATTCTTCTCACACAGCGATCAAGGGTGTGTGGTGTGAGGGCGTGTGAGGGTGAGGGTGATATGTAGATAGAATAAAATATTAAAAAGTAATCAGACGAAAATCAGCAGACTAAGGCTTTTTTTAATGTTTATATAAATTGATCGAAAAAGCGAGCACATTTTCGAGGAAACATCTTGTAGATATTAAGATCGAATTGTGATCTAAATTTGAAGTATATCGGAAGAGAAATAATGACGTGAAAGAATTGATTCTTTAATGTGAGTATTTAGGTTTGTTTTTTCTTTCTGGATAAGAAATAAAATCACCGTTCAAAATAGACAGTATTCTGATTATCTGAAATCATCGTGTTGATAAGGAACTGTACATTCGAATGAATGAATATCATAGTCAATAATACCAAATTATAGTTCTTGTCAAATTGATTTAATATCAATGAGTTCAATTTCCCCCATTTGCTGTTTATTTCGGTGGTTCAAAGCGAAAAATCTGATAACCTTCTGGGTACAATGCGAAGCAGATATCTTTTTATGATCTACCTCGCCGTGGTGAAAGAAATGCTTTTGGTTCTCTTATTCAACGATCGATTTATGGACGATCATAAAACTATTGAGTTTTTTTTTTATATTCTTATTGTGTATAGAACAGAGTCATTTGTTTCTAACAACATCAGAAAACAACAAAGTACACTCTCAGTATCTTCGTGAACGTTAACATGGCACTTCTCACGGTGTTATACGTTCTACTTGGTTCAATTTCTTTTATTATCTTCTATATTTACTGGAAATATATATATTCTAAGAAATGTCTTTATCTTATGTTTCGTAATCAAGGTATACCATGTGAACCATTTGTTCCGTTTGTCGGACAACTATCTGATATACGCCGTGCGAGCGTTAATGATAATGCCATGGACTATCGACTCGCATTAGCGAAAAAACACGGTTACGTCTACGTTTCGGGATTCGGCCCATCGATACATTTGAATGTAATGGAACCGGACATGCTTGCTGATGTTTTTGGTCGGTCGCATGCACGAGATTATAATAAACCGGAAGATACCGTGACAGTTTTTGAGCCTCTTATTGGTAAGCACAATCTACTGACGAGTGAAGGAGAGGAACATGATCGTGCACGAAAAATGCTAAATCCTGCGTTTAGCTTCATCAAATTACAATCCATGATTCCTATCATAGTCGATCAGACAAGTAGAGCTATCGATGATTTACTCTCATCGGCAAAACAAGGTCAAGTGGTCGATTTACAAACAGAATTTACTAATCTCACTCTAGCAATTATTTCCTCAAGTGCGTTTGGTAAAAGTCTAGAAACCACGAAGAATGCAAAACAAATTGTCAGTCACGCTTTCAATGATCTACTGGCAGCGATAGCTTATCGAACTATGCGAGCAATTAACGTGATGCCAATTATTTGTCGATTACCGTTTTGGCGTAAAAACATCGTCGATAAAGGCTCACGCGAGATTTTTCAGTTTGTCGATCAAATAATTGCTGACCGTCGATTTCATCGGTCAACTAGCTTGTCTACCAACGAAGATCTTCTCGATCTCCTTCTCACAGCAGTCGATAACGAAGGAGAGTTTTTCAGTAATGAAGAAATTAAAGATCAAGCGTTAGCATTTGTATTTGCTGGACATGAGACAACAGGCCATTTGATAACTTGGATTGTGTACATATTAATGACACACAATGATGTACTACAAGTTTGTCGCGAAGAAATCGATCGAGTACTTCCAAATGGGACGTCACCTGACGCCGAACGTATGAGTAAATTGGTCGTATGCGAAGCGATCATACAAGAAACACTTCGTTTGTATCCACCAGCACCATTCATGATACGAAAATGTATACGTGAACACATCATCGGTAGTAAAGAACATCGGCAAATACGAGTTCCTGTTGGTGCAACCATTCTACTTAATAGTTATGTTCTCCATCGACGCGAAGAGTATTGGCCAAGACCGGAAGAATTTGATTATACACGTTGGATTCGAGATCCGATAACAGGCTTCAAACCTAAACTAACTCATCCATTCTGTTATTTACCATTCGCTGCTGGACCACGAAATTGTATTGGTCAGAACTTCGCTCTACTCGAAGCGAAGATCATGTTGGCGGCACTTGTCCAACGATGCCAGTTCGAGCTAGAGCCCGGCCAAAAGATTATCCCAGAAACTTGCGTCACTATGTCACCAAAGTATGGACTACGAGCAAAGATTGCTCAGCGATAATAAAACAATATTGATATATCAGTGTCTTTTCTTTACCAATGCTTACATCCTTCACTCGAAAATTAAAAGATAGACAAACAAAAATTTCGTCAACATGTGATTGACATGATTGTGATGCTTTTCTTTGTTTCAAAATAAACTAAATTAATACAACTAACAAATAGTAATAACATGATTGTTTTCTTGTTGCACGTTTGTGAGAGATGTTTGTAAAAGGACATATCGTTCTGTATACCAGTTGAGTTAAAACAGGTCAAAAACGATAATTTAATTTCGAACCAGATATATGGGACTCTTTCTAATATTTGAGCATAGACATCAACACCTAACTTTCTTCATTGAATATTCGTCTTGGTTTCTACGTCGTATTGCTGACCACGGTAATGATAAAATATAAAATGAATATTTATAGTTTCTTAAAGTAGGAAGATGGATCGTTCGAATAAACTACGTGCACTCATGGAAGATCATGACTATAATTTGTGTTAGCATTGGTCACTCGAAACTATGACGCTGCCTTTCAAGTTCCAACTAACTATCGCCTACTCCGCAAAAACAGAATTCAACGAAAATTATTGGCTGACAGTTGATGATATTGTTGCCTGATTGGGTAAACTTGATACAGAGATGATGAACATTGATTATGATCTTCGTTTAACTCACTTATTCATGATCAAAACAGTTGAAGAATTATCTACTATTCAGTATATCGTGTGCAATCACTCTGATTGTCAATCTACCTGATTGAGACGATATCGAATAATGAAACAACGGTTCAACGATCGATATTAACACCTATTTGGTCACTCTATGGAATTCGCTTTGCCGGAGAGACAAGCAGTCTAAAATTGCACGACCACTATTTAGATTCCAACGAAAAAGAATATGCATTTGTGACAGCAGCGCCGGATCAAGTCACTTGGCTATTGAATCTTCGTGCAAATAATATGCAATGCTATCTCTTATTCAATAGTTTTATGATCGTTTTACCTGATGAATTTATCGTCTTCCCGACAATCCGTATGAGGCAAAGGATTCGGACAGGTGAGTTCACGTGTTGTGTGTTCGTCATCGATACTCTACATTCTTCGTCCATATACATTTCGCATTCACCAATTCAATAAATGAAAGAAATCAAGAATTCCACTGAGTTAGACGGTTTCCTTCAATGTCATTATCGAGACTGCGCAGCAGTATGTGAAACATTTCAGTAACTTCAGTAATCCATTGATAATAATTCGCTTATAACTGAATATGACGTAGTCAAGTATCTCGAACAACGTCAGTGAGAAAAAGAGTCCTTCATTGAAATTGCTTTCGATACGATATCAGCCTGTGGAGCGAATACACCGGCTCGTTGAATATGCACTGTCAGGTAACAAAGATGCGAAAACTATTAGGCAAGATTTATACTGCCTTGATAGTAGCACTAATTACTAAGATGGAACGACAGATATGACACGTACATTTCACTTTGGACAAACTTCATAAAGACAAATAGAATGTTACATACTATTATTACGTGGCGTATTAGCTATATAGATATGACCGCATTTCCGAGCAAAGATTTTATTATAGGATACGGAATAGGTGCTCTTTTGCCACAGTATCTCAATGCTTATCATTACACAAGTAATCGTATGCTCTTTGGTCATGGAGTATCACACGGTCAATGTGTTATCAAACGTGGAGTTGTAATTTCTGATAGCTCTAAAGTAGCCAGTCGAATACTTATTCGACTAGGAATGATTATCACACTTGAACCAGATATCTATGTCGATATGGTGAATAGGATATTTGAATAAAAAATCTCTATGTAGTCGAAGATGATCAGATGGAATGGATGCGTTTTGTTTCATTAACGTTAATACCCTATTCTTGTAAAATGATTGACCTCAACTTGCTTTCGAAAAAAGGAAGGAATTAAAATGGATTCATGATTATCATCAGTTATGTCTGACGAAAGTCAATGGTGGACAGTGGATAGTGAATGAAATCAATGCCTTCAACTAATACAATTGTGATACGAACACGAAATACGTAGATGCATTATTCTTGTAATTCATGAAAACTAAACTTTTTCTGTAGTTATTACATTGATAAAATAAAGGAGATATGGATGCTAGCATTAGAAAGATTAATACCATTACCTACTCATAGCCGTATATACGATTGTTACTTTTGAGGATGAAGTTACATAGTAGAAATTTATTAAATTAAGAAAATCTCGTTCTCGCCTATGACGTTTGTTAAGCTTTGTAAACGATTTTTAAGTAAGGCAATGCCTGACCATAGCGATATACAATATATTCAGTCATTGTTGAGTGCTTGCCAATTATTGAATGGAATCCTAGTGGAGCTGATACCAATGTTTTATCTGTAGCTGTTAAGACCTTAGATTCACCCAAGAGCACCTTGTTATAAAACATGACGCGAGTGCCATCGTTAGGATTCGCATCAGTATAGCCGTGAGATTTTTGTGGATTGTCAGCAAAATAAGCACCATGACCGTATAAGCCATCTTTACTAAAATATCGATCGTCATACCCGTCTTCGGTAATGCCTTTAGCACCAAGACTTTTCGCGCCGTGGAACAGTTCTTGTTCATTTGGATTTTGATTTGGACACTGCTTGGAAGTGAGTTTCTTTATACCTTCGTAGATCTCTTCGAGAAAAGGATTTCGTATCTCTTCTATTGAGATAATTTGAACTGCGCTAATGCTTGCCATCTTCGCTGAAACATCAATATACAGAGTAGCACTCGTTGGTAGGGGCACTAGAATGGCATAATGTTGATGGTGAGGATTGGGCAAGATTGACATAACAGGTCCATCTTGAGTCCATCCACGACGTATCATTTTGTCGATACGCTGTTGAACGTATGTATCGATTGGACGAAGAACTTGAAAACGTTTGCTTTTGATATGTTTAACAATCTTTTCTAAATCTATTTCGTAAGGTTTTCGTTGTATGTCGATACGCATTCCAAGTTCATGAGTATAATCTTTCTCTACGGATAGATTACTCACATCTAAATCAATTCGATCATGTGTCAATGCGACGTGTGGTTCAATCAAATCCATAGTAAATGGTCCTGTTGGTTCATTCAAATCGAATAATAAAACATATCTCCAAGTGTCACGTTTGACTTCGCATGTAATTCCGTATCGATACAATTCATCTTGGAATTTCTCTATGTCGAAATATATATGCGAAGGTAGATGACAGTCCAGATCACCCGGAACGACTTCTTTTATCAAAGCGGGCATAGGATTGTTCGTGTCGATCCATTTCTTCGGATCCGTTATAGCAGTTGGCTTGCTCGCATTCCCATCAACGATCCAATCGCGAACAAAACCACCTTCTAGTTTGCAGTCAAATCTGCAAACTGCAATCCATGCCACGGCCTCCATTCGTGTTTCGCGCGTCGCTTTCTTACCTCGAACAGCTTTGAACAAATCGACTGGCGTTCGTTTTGAGTCAGTGACACGACTGATTCTTTCCTCCATCTCCCGAGTTTCCTTTTCTCTGCGCATTGCAGGATGAAGTACGCGTGGACTGACAACTAAAAATGTTTGACTAAAGCGAGTAGGCAAATGGTAATTCTTAACTTACAATCATTTGGATGCCGTATAACAGCACATCCTCTTAGCCAGCTGAGAAATGCTTGAAACTCCTTCTTTACCTTCTGATTATCTGAGTCTCTGCCTTTGATGACAATATCACACGTTTTCGCTGTTGTATTACTGTTTATAGTGATTTCTACTTGTCTTTCTGCAGCCCATCGCCACTTCATCGGATTGAAGATGTTAATTCTTTTCATAACACTTAATAGATTCAAGGAGAAGTTCGAATCATCGGTCATGTTCGCTGTGCCCACTAAATTGAAGGTCAACTCGGAAATCATCTGCTGGCGAAGATGGAGTTCAGCATCGAGAACAACACCTGATGGTCCTTTGAATTTCATTCGTTGGCTACCTAATGCCATGTTAATTCGATGAGAGAATTTTGTCTGAGCACCGGAATATCGATTTCCACTATTCAAATATGTTTCTTCGTCATTAGTCAACTCGAACTCTCGCTCGAGTGGATAGTCGAGCCATTCTGCTTTGATTTCACCAACGAATGAAATAATTCCCGTTGCTCGGACAGTCGTCGAATGACGAATATCTCGAGCTAGAACGAGCGAAACTGGTGCTATGCTAATCGGCCGTGTTAATGTTGATTGTAAATCTAATTTAACAACATCAGTTGGCTTATTGTAGCGAATGTATAGATGGGAGCGATCTTGTAATTCTTTCATGGAAACGAAAACGTTATCGTAGTAACCAGTCAATAAGGATTTAGCAATTAATTCCCAGTCTCCGGACTGAGTTTGAGCCGATGCACAGAAGCTCGGCGATTGATTGAACGCTTTTTCCAATGTTTGATAACGTCTCAGGGCTTGACGGATGATATGTTGAATTTCTCGTAAACCTTCTGCTTGACAAACTTGATCAAGGTTGAATTGATTCGCTGGTGTACTTTGTTTAATTAGAAGAATTCTGTTCATGACGTGCAATAAAGTCATAAAATCTCCATCCGAACTTTTCAGATGTTGTGGTAAACGTTTCAGTAGAGCTGTCGTGTTCAAAACCCCTAAAATAGCTGACAAACAGATTAGATCCCGTCCACATCCATATTGACCGAGAGCTGCCAACACCGCTTTGGACATTGCCAATGAACCAAAATCAGGCAATTTCGCTAGCTCCTCACCATGTTTCGTCAATTTATCGTTAGAACCTTTCTCCAAAATATCTAAACATATCGAATACAACAATCATACAGAGAACTGAAGTTCATTGAACATTGCTTACTCAAATCTTTTAACTGTGTAATGGTTATATCAATTGTTTTCTGTTCCGGTTTATCCGGCAGATATGTTTTCATATGGTTGAAGCCAGCTTTCAATGGAGACTTTCTCAAGGAAAACTCGATGCTCATCAGATCCGATTGGCAGATTTGAGGTACCGGATATGGAACGGCATCGGGCTTGAAATTGTACAATGAATAGTACTCACCGGGTTGTGTTCGGCCGAGACGACCCAATCGCTGTTTTATTGTTGAATGAGCAGCTGGAATTTCTTTTAGAACAGTCCGTTTCGATTGAAAATCATACATGGGAATGTTGATCATTCCTGTATCAACGACGTATTTCAGGCAAGGAAAGGTCAGCGATGTTTCTGCTATGGTGGTAGAGAAGAACACAGTGCCGTGTTCAATGTAATCTTGTTGAACGTTAGGATGTTGTGATTGGATCAATGGGTACGCGACAATTGTTTCTCGGCTAATTTCATTGATTTGTTTACATGATTGAGTGACTTCTCCAACGGAACTAACGAAGCAAAGAATTTGCTCATGACGTTTTCGTTTTTTACACAATTCTTGAATGATATCAATAGGACTTTCGTTGGGTCGTGCAATTTCCGTGACTTTGTATAATGTTCCCATTTGTGGCATTTGGAATTCGGCAAGACCAATTTTACTAAATAATCTCGGCACTGAAGCATCGAGTGTCGCAGATGAAACAACTACTTTTATTTTGGTTTTCAGTTCAGGTTGAGTCGTTAATGTTCGAGCTAGTAGAGCCAAACAAAGATCAATATTAACCGACCGTTCATGAACTTCATCGATAAAGAAAACGACTGATTTGTTGAGTTTCGTTTGTGTAGAGATCAGATTCGAATCGTAGAGCAGTCGTTCTTTCAGTAGACCGTCGGTCAAGTAAACGATAGCTGCATCAGGATGTCTTTCAGTACCACTGACGGCCCAGCCAGCTATTGGATTCTTCAGTGATTCCGAATCGTCGCCCATTGTTTGATTTACTCGTTTACAAATTAACTGGCATGGCAAACGTCGTGGTTGAGTGACGATAACTCTATCATAACCTTCGGCGATCAAAAGAGCTGGTAATAATGTCGACTTTCCTGATCCAGTCGATGTTGAAATAGTAACGACTGGACTCTTTTCGATTTTATCCAATAGGTCTTTAGACGATTCGTACAGTGGCAATTGAACTTTGAAACAACCATAGTAAAGAGTGAGTCGTTGAAGAAGTTTAGGAATGAGCGCGAAATGCTTCAGTTCATAACCTTGGTACAATTTGAGTGTTTGAAATTCTTTTTGTACTTTGTCGATAAACTCTTGAAGAACAGCAACAGATTTCGCCGACGGCTTCGTGACGAGTTTCGCACGTTGAACTAAGATATTTTCTTTGATAAATTGTTCCAATGCTGCATGTTTCAGAAGTTCTATTTCATTCATCAATGGCTGTTTCTGAAGAAACTGCTCCGTTGCTTTGCGAAGATCCTCCCAAGGCTTCGGTAGTTTGTCGGCAATGCATTGATCGATCAATGCGTTCGCTTGTTCATCAAGAAAGACTTCAAATTTCTTCTCATATTCCGTCTTCTTCGTCTCCAATAGTTCGCTGAAGGTTGCAACATATTGCTTCCAACTATGTGTTTGTGGTTTAACACGAAATACCGCTTCTTTCATCAATTGACTAGTATCTCGGCGGATGTACCGTTGATAATATTTTTTCGCCGACTGAATAACATTCATCAACGACCAGATTCGTTGTAAAAGGTCTTTGAATCCTTGCTGATGAGCAGAAAACCCAATGACAGTAACAACATATTGACTACCCTCTGTAGAGAACACGATTTTCGGTACGCGATCATCGAAAGATGGATCGATGTTTTTCAATAAACTTCGTAAATGAAGAATGATGATCGAATGTTTTGGTGCCAAGTACCGGTGGATGACTTCAACTTGAATGCTTTTGTAATCCGAGGTTTTGATGTTTTTATCCATTGCTTTCAATTTTTGTTTTTGTTGTTCATATTCTTTTTGGTTTTCTTCCATCTTCGTGATTCGATTTAACAATCGTTCGATTTCCTGCTCATGTTGGCTGCCTGAATCTAATAAGGCTTGTATCCGTTGTCTTTCGTTGGCTAAATCATTGTTCAATTTTTCGTTACTCTTCTCTAGCTCTCTCAATTGTTCGTTGATTTGTGCTGATTGTTTATCGTTATTCGATGAACCAGAAACAATGCTCTCCTCGAAATTATTCTGTTGCGGTAAGCGTACAGTTGCAGCTGCTTCATTGATGAAATCTTCCATTCGTTTTGCACCGAAATCTTCGGAGGTGTCGGATTTGCTTTCTATGTCCCCAGTAAGATCTTTCACAGACCAAACTTGATTGATAGGAGTCTTAGGCATCTAAAAAACATGAAATTGGTGACGATGTAAACACATCATAATGCAAATCTTTACTTCATTGATGGTTCTATGCACACTATCATCATCTTCAGCATCACTTTCTTCGGTATCCGAATCATAATCTTCGTCATTTCTGAACATGCCATCATCATCATCGTTAACAGTGGACATACGATCAGCACTGCTTTCGACTTGTCTCAATCGTGCTGTGGTTAATGGTATCGGATCTAAATGTGCCAATGCTTGAAAATCATCGATACCGATAATTTTGTTCTTATTGCGCGGATTGTTTGAAATCATCTTCGGAATCCAGCGAATATAGCCAGCGATACTTCCGCTTCCATTAGCAAACGAAAATGTTTGTAAATCAAATACGAGTTCGTCCTGGCATACACGAGGAAGCTCGAGACGAAGATACTTGCGACGATATTTCATGGTATGATCTAACTGAGTGTCGGTTTTAGCGTCACAGAAATACCACGAATGAAGACGAACTTTGAAATTGCTATCATATACCGTTGGTATGGTCAACATTGTTAAGGATGGCTCAGTTTCGGCCTTTGGATATTTCGTGAACATAATTTGCCAGAGACAGTAGCAATTGAAATTTACGATGGACGAGCCTCTGCAACGAACCCAAGCGATTCTTTGGGTGAAACTAGCATCCTTGCCCGATCGTAGGAATTGAATTAACGAAACTGCATAAGTTCCAGCGCGCACTCGTAAATGAATTTCATGTTTAAACTCGTTGTCCTCTTTGAATATCATGGATCCCTGAAGAGTGGTTGCCTCGGCTTCCGAAAACGGATACCATTGCTCATTGGTAAAGGGTTTATATTCCCAAAAACAATCGACGAGAGTATCTTCATCTTCCGTCGAAATCTGTAGATGTGGTAGATCATCGGTTTTGATCGAATAGCTGGGAACAAGGTTGTCTTTAAAATATTTAATAATACTGGGATGTTGTCGGGCATTATCAATGGGTGTTTCATCAGCATGATTTCGGAGAAAACAATCAGCACCGTGTTCAAAGAGGAATTCGACTATCTTCAAGTGATCACCAAAACAAGCGCCGTGTAACGCCGTTGAGCCAGCAGATGGATTTCGAGCAAAGTCCGGATCATCTTCGATTGCTCTGTCTAAGGCTCGCTTGATATGTTGTTGGTTTTGAGCATTGACGGAGCATCGAGCTTTGATCAAAAGAAATCGGACCAGATTGAAATGATTGTTTCGAGCTGCTGAGTATAGGATCGTAGTACCCCACAGACCAGGACTATCTTTCATTGTGGGATATTTCTTTAGAAAATCTTTTACATCGCCTTCGTCGCCAGTGAAAGCTGCTTGGAAAGCTTTGAGTGAAGCTAACATCTGTTGTGCATCATTCGCAAAAGCTTTCAGCATGCCAGTATTGAAAGGATTTGTGAACTCGCGAGTCTCTTGATTGTAATTGTACTGATGTAAAAAATTCAATAAATATTTACGAGATAGTGTCAACAACTTGGGTATGTTTTTTGATAGCACTTCTTCAAGTTGATATTTCATATCGTCCATCAAAGCGTTGACCTGAGGATCCAACGTAAATGTATAGATATTAATGTCTAACGTGCCATCCGTAGTGAAATGCCCTGATTGGTTTTGGTTCGTTAGTTTTCTCATAGTATCTTCAATAACTTTAACTATCGCTTCCAAACAACGTCGTAGTCGTCCTTCATCTTCTGTATTCGCCATACTTAATATGTTTAGTGAAATCTGGTTAAGTAAGCAATGAGGTTTTCTTGTATGTACGGGTTAATAAAAAGCGTAAAAAGAACTGTTGAAAAAGCGTAAAAAAATCATGCGGTCTGACAAAGCGCGATAAGATGGGTAAAAGCCAAGTTGCGAAAGAACAGCAAATAGAGTCAACATGGTGACCTCAATATATTGTTGTGATTCATAGTTTTATTACATTTTATTTTCGTAGCGAGGAAGAACAGAACAAGAGAAAACAATGTGCCGCGAGCCAAATTGCAAGTTGGTAAAAAAACATCGACCAATGTGAAAGTGTTCGATCTCACATGTTGATACTGTGTATCTAATTTGGAAATGTGTAGATGTCTTTAATACTTGAGTTCTTGTTGGACTAAACTGATCCAATAAGCTACACCATATGGAATAACTTCATCGTTAAAATCATATGTGGGTGAATGTAAATTTCGAAATCTGGTATCATCGTTCACACCCAAAAATATAAAAGCGCCAGGTCGTTCGACGAGCATGAAAGCAAAATCTTCACCAGCCATCGTCGGCTCTGTGTTTCGATCGACATTTTCTTCGCCAACTACGGCTTCAGCCGCTGTAATAGCTCGTTTGGTTTGTTCTGCGTGATTCACCAGGGGGGATGCAACTCGAACGTATTCTACTTCAGCTTCACAACCAAAATCAGCTGCGAGATTACTAGCAATTTCCTTCATGCGTCGTTCAATTGTACTACGCACGGATTCTGTTAAACTTCGAGTCGTGCCACCAATACGTAATGTTGATGGCATGACATTTAACGATTGAAATGAACCACATTCAATGGCACCTACGGTTATCACCGCTGAATCGGTTGCCTTAATGTTTCGACTGATAATGGTTTGTACTGCTAAAACAAATTGTGCTTGCAAAACGGTAAGATCACTGGCTCGATGTACGAGTGCACCTCCGTGACCACCTGTACCACGGAAAGTGACGAGCCAACTGTCACCTGCTGCCATCATCGGACCAGCACGTATTGCAAATTTCCCGAATCGTTCTGGATAGTTGTGTAGTCCGTAGACGGCATCCATGGGAAATCGATCGAATAGACCGTCCTTGATCATTGCTAAAGCACCAGTAAGCCCCTCTTCAGCCGGTTGAAATATAAAATAAATAGTTCCACAAAACGTATCACGATGGTGAGCGAGATATTTCGCTGCACCAAGCAACATAGCTGTGTGTCCATCATGACCGCAGGCATGCATCGTGCCCGATATTTTGGATCTGTAAGGAACATCATTTTGTTCGTTCAGACGAAGAGCATCCATATCAGCGCGCAGACCAATTGTATTATTGCCTGGCTGTAAACTTTTCAAGATCCCAACAACACCAAATTGACCAACACCTTCAATCGCCATTATACCCCATCCTTTCAATTTATTGGCAACTAACGCGGATGTTCGTACTTCTTCCATGGCCATTTCAGGGTGAGCATGAATATCCCGTCGAATTTGTTTTAGTTCTAAGTGCATCTCGCGCACTTGTTCAAGAAGTACAGTATTCATCTAAAGATATGAATAACAAGAACAAATCAAGTAACAACAAGTATGCATACGCTCTGTAGCTCATATCAATTGAAAACGAACAAGAGTGACCGACAGAACGATAACAAATGAGGTGTAAAGTTAAGCAATGATGTTCGTTTTCACATCATGCATGCATGAACAACTTTACATCGTTTTCTTTTCGACCATAATGCATTAATGTCCGTTGACCTTTCTACATACTTTTCGCTCAAATGGATGTGGGATTGTATTAATTATCAAAATATAGTAATATCAGGACATGTAGTAATCACTTTTTATCTTCACTTGTCTGTATTGCGCGTACTGATTCACACATTCACAATAGAACATACTCTATTCTGGTTTTCTTTTTTAACACGTGTGTCAAAGATAAATACCAAAACATGTTATCTACGCTAAGACATATTCATCACATTTTTTTTTCTGTTGCCCATAAACTACATAGTCGAAAATCATGTCGTTCGAAAAAATGACTACAAATCCATTTGTTGTTCGTCGTGCCACTAGCAGTGATAGTGATGCAATCGCTCAACTTAGTCGACAGACATGGCGTGAAACGTATCTGGAAGATTTGGCTCTACCTATTCCTGATCATGATGTTGAATCTTATTTGCGCACTGAGAAAAGTTCACAGTGGTATGCAAATAAAATTGCGGATCCACAGGAAGCGACTTGGGTGATGGAAGATACAACGACCGGAGAGATCGTTGCCTTTCTCATCGTCGGCCGATGTGAAGTGCCTCATCCAGAATTTTCTCGAAATAGGGATGGGCAAATCGAGTATTTATATGTCCGACGTGATCGACAATCACAAGGATTTGGAAAACAATTAATGAATATCGCTTTGTCATGGCTGGAAGAGCAATTTCCCGAACGGCCTGTGTGGCTGACAACATTAGCTTGCAATCTGAAGTCACAAAAGATGTACATGAATTACGGGTTTACTACAGTCGGTGAATTTATTTCAAAGGTTGGAAATACAGAAAGACATTTCATCGTTATGCGACGAGAGAGTCGCTCCGCTATTCAAAATCTTTGTTAAACATTTTTGCTGTAAATGAATAACTGTTCTCTCTTCTTCTTGTTCAATCTGTGTAATAACAAACGATGAATATGGTAGAAGCAATACTTCAGCTTCACTTTGAAATTCTGATATACCAGATATATCAATCGCCGTAGATTGATCGTTATTGATTATTTCATAAATACAGAAATAGGACTGTTTATTTGGATCAGTGGTTCCTTTGTCCGAAAACATCTCTGCCACATAGCGATTCGCCGAAGTTGAGAGAAATGTAGTTGTCATAATACAAGAGCCAACTTTGTAATGATCAAGAACGTTTCTTGGTAGGACAATACCGCGATACGATCTTCCAACGAAACTACGCTTTTGATATCTTTCGTAACGAAGAAGGATGCTTATGATTGCTCGTGTACCATCTTCTGTTGAATAGAGACAGTCGCATGAGAACTGACTACAACCATTTTTCAAATCATGTATGATATTACGTGCCATATCTTCATTTAACAATTTGGAAAACTTCTGAGAAATTGTATATGCAGCGATGATGTAATCAGGATCTTGTTTACGTAACGCACATTGTAGATAATTATGTACTTTTGTCATATTTTCCGAAAGAATATCATGCAAACGTGTATTGATATAGCCTTTTTCTATCGTATGAAGTTTTCGCTTTAGATCCTTTTCGTCCATGGGTGTCAATGATTTCAATTCATGACGAAATCTCAAGGATTTTTCTGCTGCGTCTTGATCGATTAGTTCCCATTCATACAAAGTAGTATCATCGACTAATGAACAAACTTTACATTTTACTTTCCATTGATCTTCAGAAACGGTGCTACCGGGTTCGAGTGCAAAGACGAAGCGATTTGATGATGGACGTTGGAACAAATCTTTAATTTCCTTTGTTCCAGCTAATTCATAAGCTTGCTGACTGTCTATATTGCTTAGCGATCGTCTAGCGCCGTGAAATAAGAGCATTTGAATAATTTCTTTATGTTGATTTCTAGTAGCAACATGTAAAGCCGTGTCGTTATTTGGTAGATGCTGATAATTGATTTCTTCATATTCCACCGTTTCCAAGCATGATTTTACACGAGCAACATCGTTCATCAGACAAGCTAAATAAAGCAATGGAGGTTTAGACGGCAGTGGGCGGAAATATTGCTGAAAGAATCGAGATAATCGACAATACTCTTGCCTCTCATCGTTGGAATTTGACAAGCCCGTAGTCGAGTGTGTCATATGTCGTGTAAAAAAGTACATATGAATGACAAGTCAGACATGATTTCCGCTGTTTCTCCACCATTGAGTCAACTAATTGGTAACGAAGATAAAAATAGTCATTTTTCATACAGGTAAACGAGTTTGGAATGAGTAATAAAACATGTTGGAAAGTATCTCTGATTGAAATTTCCATGAGAAAGTAAATTTGAAGAACATTTCTTGTTTCGCACAGTAATGAATGACTTTCAATGTGGACGAGATATTTCCTTTTGTTTAAGCGTTTGCAATTTAACTCTGTGTTCACCGGAGAACAATACCTGTGTAGCAGATCATGGATATTGTGTGTTTAGCGACAAAGTTCAACCGAAATGTATATGTTTACCTTGTTTTATTGGCAAGTACTGTGAGGACGAGAAGGTATCGCGAAATCTCTGGTCATTCTTTGCACCTTATGGTGAGATAGCGGAAAACGGCGCCTATATTCCGGCGATCATAATTATGATATGGGGTGCATTTCTTTTAATGAACGGAATCTGTTGTTTACAAACATATCTATGTCGGAAAATACGTGAAACTAACTTAGGAATTTATTTAATAATGCTTTCAATTGTGTCGCTGTTCATTGGACTAATATTGATCATATTTGCATCACTTTTTCTGCGCGTCAAAGATTTACCAGATCTAGATCTGTTTGCTGATTTCCATTGTATAATTTACGAGAAATTTGTTTATATTCCTTTGGTTTCTATGTACAATTGGTTCATCGCCTGTGTTGGCATCGAACGAGCGCTCGTTGCTTGTTCGAGAGACTACGAACTACACGATTCAAGACGTCGTTCAGTCATAGTTTCTGTTCTCGTTGTAATCATTTGTCCATTGACAGCCCTTCCAGGACTCTTCACCGTACGTCAAAATCAGCCCGCAGAACTACGACCCATGCAGTGCGTGAATTTTACACCAGTGGGATACATCTTGTACGTAACAATTACACGCATTCACTTACTGGCATTTTATATCATCTACATCGTGATGAATATAGCCGTGTTAACACATCTTCTCAGACATCGCCAGCGTTTTGTAGGTGCCGATTCATTATGCAGTCAACTGTATCTGATTTTACATAGACATAAAGACTTCTTTTTACCTTACTTAATTCAAGCTCTCTTCCAGTTGCCAAGTATTTTAATGGATTACATCATGACTTGCTCAACGGCGCACACACGATTAGTCGCACGGTTAACCATAGGATTTTCTGTCCTACAAATCCTTCCATTTATAATTACATTCTATTTGTATATTTATTTATCACCAGTGTACTGGTCAATATTCTTGCACGTATCTCCCATTGGTAAATGTTTTATGAAAATAAAAGAAACAGTTTTTCGACATGTTTGAGTGAAAAGAATAAAGCTGTAATCATCTGATCCTTTGGATATTGTTACAGCAATGGAAAAGATATGAGAAAATTCCTTAACAATATTTTATTAGACAGCGAATCTGCACTGATCAATTATTAGTGGGTGCAGATCATTCGTCGTATGAAAGTAGTCAACTACGATTAAATCTTGCATAACAAAATTTCAATATTTTTTCCAAGGTTTAACTATATTCACTGAATCCATATCTGGATGGGTCCAGATCGACGCCGAGCAATTGAACATGTATCTGGCAAAGAATTCTTCAGCCATTCGACCAAGTCATCGTTTGCACGATCGTCTTGACAATATATATGCAGTGCTCGAAGATTGCACATTTTTGGTATGAGATCAAGAATAATTGTTCGAGTTTCAATATAAATGAGAAGAACTTCGCATTGCTGTCCGAATGAGGAATCAGCCAGGAAAGAGCATTGAGTTGCATTTAAATAACGGTTTGTTTTCGAATGGTAAGGCAACAATTCAAGTTGACGTACTGATGCGTGATGAAAATTCATTCGTAACAATCTCAGAAATAGCAATGCATCGATATTTAGCATGTTGAGACGACGCGCTCGACCGAGTAAAGTTTTCAATTGATATTGTGATCGACTATCTTCTTTTTTCTCAATGACCTTCAATGAAGTTAACGAATCTAATTGTGGAATGATCGTCCAGAAGTTTCTATCGTGCGGTAAGATTAGCGTCAGGCGATGAATGTTTGGGTAACAAATCGTTGGTAAAGATAAATTAGGTTTACATCGTTTATAAAAGACATCTGAGATTTGATCAAAACAGTTGGAATTACCCAGCTGTGGAAGAGTCGTTTTCGACCACCGATTCTGATAAACAACGTGAGTTGAATCCGAACAGTAAGGTAAAGTATAGAAAATGAATAGTTTACCCGACTGCTGCGGTAAATCGCATCGAACGTACCAGTGATGTTCGTCGAGCCAAAATGAAGTTTGAAAAGTTTGAAAGAATTCTTCGAGATGTTCTTCGACATGATCGGATTTTAATGATAGAACTCGAATAAGAAATCGAAATGTTTCAATCTTGGATACATACTTCGTCAGAAGTTGTTGCCATTGGTTTCCGTTTAAATTGATCGATTCAGTTTCAAGTTTGAGATGTCGTAAATTCGGTGCACTTTGCAAAAGCTTTGTCAGAGTGAAGAGCGTACCGCCAAAATGAAGGTTTAGACGAGTAAGGAATAGCGCAGGAATGATATGTTGTGATTTAATATCGACGGTTTCTCCGATATTGATAGAAAGATGTTGAAGATACGGTGTTAAACTGAATAGATGACTAAGTTCCATTGAAGAAAATGTGTGACATTTTATTGAGAGATATTTCATTGTTTTAGAGATCATCGACAGTCCAGAAAATCTCGGACTGTGTTCGAATGTCATATCCAAAGTGCAATTTGTAAGAGAATTCAAATGCCAAATGTTGTTAAGTAGCTCTTTCGGAGCGCATTCACTGGTAAATTTACATTTGGTAATTTTCAAATGAGTGAGATATGGAAGGTAAAAACAATCGGATGTTATCTCCAGAAGAACATTCGCAGAATCGATTCTGTGAAGTAAAAGTACATGTAAATGTGTGAACTCGTCAACGGTAAGATTGAAATTGAGAAGGTGTCGGTACAATTGTGGAGTTTCACATTCGTTGGAAAGACAAAGTAAGTGAACTTGATCGATAATTCCCGGTAAGTATCGCGTACAGACCAGATTGAAATTCGACTTGGATATTGAACGGAAATCTAGACGATATGAATGGAAACTGGTGAAAAGAAGCTTGTTGAAACGAGAATTAAGGTTTCTGAAAGCATGGATAAGTTCGATGACGTTGAAATATTCGAATAGTTCGTGAAATACTTCATTCGGTAAATGTTCCAGATTTGTCATCGGGTTTTTTCCAATGTAAAATAAAAAAACACGGTGCTGCTCGTAGCGTATGCAAAAGAAAGAAACGCACGTGTTTGATGTTTTGTGCTCTTTTCTGTTTCCTACAAAATATCACTCATACATGAGTCATACTTTCTTTCTTACATCATTCAGAACAGGAGTCATTGTAGATGACGAAAGTTCATGTGTAAATATTTCTTAGCTTTTACAACAGACTCGTTTTTTATTCAAATCGATGCTGGTTGATCGAAAGTTCAAATGAATAGTATTGCTTAATCGGAGTAGTTGTCCTCAGGCTAAGGTTCAGTGTAATCGGAATTTTCATTTCCGACCCAGATCAAACCCAATTTCTTCGAAGTTGATAAGAATAGTTTTTAGGACGTGTTTCACATCAGAGAAGTTATCTTCCTTTTCGTCGTCGGAGATTTTATCGAAAGATGTTCAGCTCATTGTTGGAGTATATTACAGGAAACAACTGTTATGTGTACGGGTGAAATGAGATGCGGCAATCGCCCTCTAATGCATAAGTATGCTAATTACACCTGTGAAATCCAAAAAAAGGAAATAAATCCATCAAATAGCGAAGAATTACAACTTCAATGACACAGTTGCACACGAGTTTGGTAGTATAAAGCCAGCTGCATTCGGTTATTGATGGTATGTTATAACAAATTAAACTGACATTACGATTGGTTGATAAAGAATGACAAATTGTATGAAGACGTAGGGGCGTATCGACTATTTTTTGTACATTATACACAAATATATCTATATTTTGTTTTTATTATTATTATAGTCATGAATCTCGTCAACTCGTTGAAAGGACTATTTTTTTATTTATTCTTAACCATCGCTGCACTTTTTACTCTGATTTTCGCGTTTACACCAGCTGCTTCATTGATATTCATTCATCGAAAATTTCATTTTCGTGTATGCTCTTTCATTATCGGCCATTTTCTTCTAGTAATAACCGTAAGCACTGTATTTGCCCTTGAAATTCTCCACCAGAATCGTCGTCCATTTTAGTGTCTTTTGGAAGATTTCTTGAACATCAGAGTCGTTATCACCGGTGATGAGTTGACCAAACCGAACGTGCGCTCGATTATTCTATTAAACCATCGAACGCGACTCGATTGGATGTACATATGGATGTTACAAAGTCGATTTAAACTTCTTGATCAGTTGAAAATCGCTTTAAAATCGGAAATCAAACGTATTCCTATAATCGGTAAAAATTCCATCTTTTTACTTCGATTTTCTACATTTCTGCATATTAGGTTGGGGATGTTATCACAACGGTTTTCTTTTTCTTCATCGTCAATGGAAGAAGGACCAAGATGAAATGAAGAAGACTATTGAATACTACAAATCATCTCAAACGCCAGTCTCCGTATGCATTCTAACTGCTCTATTTTAACGCACATTAACGCTTATTATCTCTATTGAAGTGATCATGTACTTCGTACACGTTTATATGTAGTTATTGATTTTTCCGGAAGGAACGAATTTACATAACAAAACCAAACTGAAAAGTAATACGTATGCTTCAAAACAAGCAACTTTCAATCGACCTTACGAATATTGTCTTCATCCGCATACAACCGGTTTTACGTATCTGCTTAAAACAATGCGATCGAGTAAGACCTTCCTCAAAACAAGCATAGAATCCATGTTTTGTCTAATTTAGATGACATCATTGATACTGTTGATGACATAACCATTGGTTACGAAGGAGAAATCTCAGTAACAGAACTTGATTTACTCAAAGGCCATTTTCCGAAAATAATTCATTTTCACATTAAACGTTATGATGTGAATGAGTTACCAAAAGAAGATGAACAAGTCAGTGAGTGGTTAAAGAAATGTTGGGATGAAAAAGAAAATCGACTAGAGGAGTAAAACGAAGTTTTATGTCAAATTCTGATCCTTACTTTTTGTTTTGGTTAACTTAGATTTTATACTACATATCAATTCGACTTCCCATCAAAACGATTTCGCAATCATCGAACAGAAACGAACGTGCAAGTTGAACGTCGATTAGCTTTACTTGTATTAATCATATTCATTATATTTTGGTCGTACTGCTTCGTCGCTTATACATTGGTGAAATTGTATGTCCTAGCTATCGTTATCTTTCAGTCCATCGTGCAGATAATCATCAATGTTGATGATCAACGTCCTGCCGATCATCGACAAGACTAAATTAGAACTCATCTTTTTCCTCCAGACTCATGCGTGTTAAGGGATTTTTGTTTATTTATACATATTCATGCATTGCGCTCTTGATATCAAGTTTTATTACAATGACATTCAATGTACAGATTATATTTAGATCGTATATCTAAGTTTTGAAAGTATGTCCAGAGCAGTGGAATGACAAGTGGGTATAATTTACGAAACTGTCAATCAGAAATCATTTCGTATTCATCTATGCTTTGTAATTCTAAGATCTTTTTGTTGACAGAAACATATTTATGAGTATAGCTAGAACGAAAAAGAATCTTTCAATCGCAAAGATCAAACATTGCTATGTATAATCTTTCTTTCGTTTTGTAGAACAAAAGTGTGAGGATGGTTCGATGTCATATAAAAATCAAGTTACAGTTTCGAAACGATATATTCTCATTTTAGAAGTAAAAAGAAACAATAAGCTCAGCCCCGTCAACATATACAAGTGCAGGACTTCAAGAACTTCTCAAAGACAAGAATAAGGAATCGATTGTCAGTCTATAATATAGAAATGAAAACTTAAAATGGAAAGGCATGGAAATTTTCAATAATTATTTGCTGAAAAATAATACGGTAGTCATTCTTTTCTCAAAAAAAAGTTACGACTTATAACGAACGCTGCATGACATTCTCTGTTCGTTGGTGAAACATCTCGATTCTCAATGATCTTATTCTGGATGATAATCAAATCGAAGCTCAAGGTGCACAGTGCCTAAGTGATGGACTGCAACATAACAAAGTTAGTTAATGTACCTCTTTATTTAACTTGAATTCTGTCATCACAAATATTGTATAGACACTCGTTACACTTTGTCTTGAACATGATCAAATCGGGGGTAGAGTACGGCAAGTCCTTGGAAAACTGCAGAAAAAGAATAGAAAATTAAGTTTCACTGCATGAGGTGATTAAATACAGAAAAAAAACAGAATCAATAAAACATTTCAGCATACAAATATGACTTTCTAGCAACTACGCATATGAGTGTTAGTAGATCACGAATAGGCACACTTATTGCATCACAAAAGCATCAGTGTATAGAAAGGAAAATCAGATTGGTTAAATTTGGTTCTGGTAAAGTACTTCATCCACCGTGAGAAGATATCCACTTGAACCACCTTGCATTCCACCAGCACCAAAAGCTCCAGCGGCGAATGGTGGAAGGAATGGAAGGAAAATTCCTCTTAAACGTGAATGACCAGCGGTTCGAGGACGTCCATAGGCAGGATTACTGCTGCTTTCCACAACTTCAAACTTGCGTCTGTCGTCAATTTCGCGACCACTGGGTGAAAGTCTTTGGCCTGTTCCAAACTCGCCGATAGTAAATGTGGACATCTTCTTTTGAGTATGTAGATGCAATGAATGTTTGATTATCGAGTTGTTTTCTCAGTCTTTATATACGGGAGACGAAAGAACATTGCACGGGTCCTCTTCTATTACGCAGTTATGTGATGCAGTAATAGTTTTGTTTGAGGACATACTTGATGTGTTGTGAACCTGCGAAAACATCAAATGAAGGAAGAGTAAACACGCCATTTTGTCTAATTATGACGTCAAACAAATTAGAAAAATGCCTTGTATAATGAGGTAGAAAATCGTGAAACAAAAACGTAGCAAGAAAATACGAACAGGCGTGGCATAACGGGTGTTTTCATTTATTTGACTGAGAAAACATAAAGCAAAACATGTCTATGTACAACAACAACTAAGATAAAATAATACCAAAGTTCATTTTTGAGTAGAACAAAACGAATTCAGCTCAGTTTGTCACCTGTCTCGACGTAATGTTGAGCACATCTGATGATAACGATCGCTTTATTTTATTGTTATTGGAAAATGAGAGTGGTAGAAATCTTGCTGCCGACGAAGAATTTCGACGTTGATTATATTCACGTTTAATCTTTTCAAACTCAACAATGATTATTTGACAGACTTTTGGATGAAGACCTGAAGCGTTTGCAGCCACTCTAGCAACTGGAGAAACTTCCTGGTCACCATCGTTCTGTATATCTCTCGATAATGACGTGCCATCAAAGAGTTTCGATGAAATACGTCTTCCTTCCTTTCTATATTTCTCTACAACATTTTGCACACTTGCATAGACACCTCGACTGAGCCAGGTCAGCGATGAAACCGTGCTTATGCTAGGTTTCATTCCCATATTCACGACAGCTATTAACGATCCTGCTGCAGCACCAGGTACGCCATGACGTTTATACCCGGCACGAGGTTGAGTTATGACACCAGTAAAACCTTCCTTCCACCCCTTCCATAAGGTTATGCCAGCTGCCCTGGCACCCGATTTAAAATTAGTTACAACCGGTCTCGAACGCGTTTTGTTAGTGCTAATAGAATACGTATAACGAGAATGTTTATAATTTGAATGAAAAAGACTTCTCCTACCTGTACGGATCGTATAAATAAGGGACATGATGGAGTGCATCAGTTATTTCACCATACAATGACAAAGATCCAAGAGTCAAATGGCCTATACCTAAAGCCACGCCTTTAGCCACACTTCCAGCGCCATCGAGTGCTCTGTTTCTACTCAGATTGTCATTGCTCGCCGCTCGCTTTAATTCCGATGCAGTACCGATAAACATTTTCGAGATAGCCTTTTGCGAATGCTCAAAGAAGCCATGCATGATTATATGCTGATGATTATCGTGCTTGAAATGCCATTTTCGTGTGGCATGTGGCCGAAGTTGATCTTCTTCTAGAACATTTGCTGATACTAATACTTGTGCAACTGGTCGGGATATTTGTAAATGATATTTATCGGAACGATAACAGGCAGAAAATGTAGGTTCTAGATCGCTGTGCATGCGTGTCAAAGGTAAATTTGCATGAAATGCGCGCACCGCTGCTGCACATCCATCTTCCTTCAGAATCGCATCGCGAAGATGTTCAGCAGCAACGCGTGTTGTTGATTGATGGACAAAATGGAATGCTTGGATCAATTGTTCTGTCGTGATCGACTTGCCTGAAACTGGTTGAGGACCAGCACCACTCTTGGCGATAACTGTACCCCAAAAAAATTGATCACCAAAGAATGGAACCACAATGGTGGGTTTTCCGGCGCGTAGACCAGCGGCAGTGGTGCCCGCACCACCATGATGACAAACAGCTGATACTATACAGAAACGAGCAATAAATCGAAGTACTTGTCAACATAGAGAGAAATCAGTACTTACCATGTTGAAAAAGCCAATCATGTGGTACATTTCCGATTTTGAATATGTTAGGTGGCAATTGATCTGTTTCCGTAGCAAGACCAGATAGAACAGCGCGATATCCGGATTGAAGAAGTGCATCGACGACAACTTTAAGAATACGAAGAGAATCGTGTCCTGCAATAGAACCAAAGCCAATGTAGATTGGTTTTTGTTCACCAGAATGAAGGAAATCAAGTAGATCTTGCGGTGGATTTGTGTAGGCTGTTCCGAGATCCAAGAAGAAAAAGCCGGATACATCAATATGTTCTCCCCAATCTTTGGGTTTCTCCACAAGTGATGGCGACCAGCAGTAAGTATGAGGTACCCGCTCGTCATCTAGAGCATATACCGCTTGACTAGTATTTAGTATCGAAAGGCCCAGTGTTTTCTTTCGAAAGTTGTTGATAATATCGCCCATGCCCGTCCACGTCTAAAAGGAATTTATAAAGTGAACTCATCGTTCAATTGAAAAGATTATTGTGTATTTACCAGTGTATCAATAACATCATAGGAATATCGATTGATGATTTTGCTCGATCCAGTAGAGTTGTCAATATTGGATAGTGGATGTGGAAAAGCTGCTGTCGATGTCCAAGGCATTGTGAACATGATATGTAAAGGTATCTGTAGTTTTTCTGCACAATGAATATGACCAAATGATGGTGGATTCGCAATGATTGCTTCTGCAGTGAATGGCATATTCGTTTCATCATCATTTGCTATACAGGCTTGCCACGTCGAAGCAAGAATTTCAGATATTGATCGACGTTTCCTACCGACATCTCCCGCCATGATGCTATCTATTGAAGGAATGATGCCAGTATTTTTAACCATGAATGAAATCAAATCAACTGGATCACCACCTAATGGATAGAATTCCAGACCATTACCACGAACAAATGATCGAAATGTTTCGTGTGTTGCTAATCGGACACGATGACCTTTGGCTCGCAGTGCTTGACCAAGACTACGTTCAAATTTCTTAGATTGTTTAAAAAACGTTTTTGTTCAACTTACGCGATAAATGGTTGCACGTCACCTCGTGTACCAACGATGAGAATGACAATAGCCAAGCGAGGTATAAGAAGATCTTCATCGGTTGGAGTGTCTCTCCGAAGACATCCAGGTGTTGATGGAAGTGACAGGACAGGTGCTTTATATTTCTTTTTCGATTTAAATGTCAAATCGAGACGTCCACTAGTGTCGTCGACACTAACTGTATAATCCAGAACTTCGTTATCTTTCTGCTGACCAGTAGTAACATTTACTTCTCCAACGGCGCAGATGAATTTGTTGTGTTGAATAAGATCAACGTGGAGAGAAAGTGTAGAATTAAAACAACAAATCATCAGGCTATTTTCATTGTGTAAAAGTTTCGAAGGCAGTTCGATGGGATTCATTGATGACACAAGCGAACCAGAAAATATTTCGATGTTATTGAGTTGTATGACAGTATTAATATCAACACTGTCATTGTGATGATTATTCGATTCGAATACTAGATGCAATTGTTTGTCAACAGATGTACGCTCGAATTGTTTGCAATACCACCATTTACATAATTTTTTCGTATCAACAACGTGCGGTAAATTGACAAGAAGCCAATCATGGTGTGTACCTGTATTTTCTGCAGTCGATACCATGGTTTCGCTGTTCATACGTTGACAGTAACATCTCCAATCGGCATCAAAACTTATGCGGGTGAGATCTTCGTTATCAACCGCCATACTTTTTCTCAAAATCTACTTTTATGAGTAATAGTGCTTATAGCTTTCTTTCCTCCACTTTTTATACGGCCATATGTCGCTCGCACTTTTCTGACGTTCTGCTCCTTTCTTTTTCCTTCATCTATATTTCAAGTCATGTTTTACCTCTGTGAGGACGCGATGAGTAAGACAAAATAAAAAACAACCAGTGATTCATCAAGAACGTCATTTGTCAAAACAAAGTTCTTTGTACTTAGTTATGAATCATTGTTGTATTCAAAGAGTCATACAAATGCGTTCTGTGCTTTTTATCTTTCCAGATAGAAAATATTTATTTCAACGCGCATAGTCATGTAGATTAAAAATTTCTATCCATTTTGTGGAACTCGCGCGACTTTATCTTCTTCGTCAAAGAATACGCGTACACGATTAGGACGCACATCGAGTTTCATCGGACAATGAAGTGGCAGTTTTTCTACCTGGTAGTCTAGAAGAGTGGAAATCATCATAATTACATAGAAATTCGAAACGAATTACCTGGATTTTCACGTTTGATTTCTTCAATAGCCTCGTCTATTGGTTTACCAAGTAGATGCGGCCATGATTTACTCTCATATGGCGCAAGTTTCAATAGGTCCCTACAAGAAACGCTCTAAAACTTAAAAATCACTCTGGAAAGCAGCGATAGAAATACTTGCATTGTGGCACTTTCTATTTATCGGCAATCGCTGGGAGAAAAATAGATCGAATGTGGCAATTATAAGTCGAAAAACGAAGGATGTTGTTTTTTTGTTGAAACAGAACGAAAAACTGATTACCTGTTGTTGACAAACAGTATTGTCAGTAATCAAGGTTATTTGCATGATTTATGCATCAACATAGAACGAATCGAAATATTGTCTTTTCATCTTAAAGAGCTGAAATACATTTTTCCTTTTCTATCATACTATGTGACGCATTCCGTGCAGCATGAATAAACAGACGTAGTCAACGATAGTATTTCATGCTGTCTTTTGTGTTTGCCATATCTACTAAATCGAATGAATTGACATCATTTGTTTACGAAGATTTGATTCTTCATATTCAACTCATTCAATCTCAGATCATTGATCCATTCGGAAACGGTACGAGTTAGGAATGTATGGATCATGAAATGATCAGTATGATTTCGAAAGACTATGTTAAACATCATGTACGAAGACATCTACAGCAATATGTACAATCGGGCACAATGACCAACAATCGTAGATCACCATTGACAGATGTAGAACTTACATCGAACGTAGCCGAATTTGGTGATCGTTCTGGATTTGTTATTTATATTGAAGTAACGATTTCGATAAGTGAATACCAAAGTTTATTATGTAAACAACAGATATTACCAGTTCTTCTAACGGATAGAATCGAATCGATTAAGAAAGCAACTAAAACTTCATCCAAGATTTGCAAATGTTGAATTGAAATCATTATAAAATTCGATCGGACTGTACGGCCGAGTAGAGACAACTGAAATGAGGACAAAGCATTGATACCAGTGACAATATTCTATCAATTCAACTGTATTAAGCGGATTCAATCATGATGGCAAAACTAATTAAAGACCAAGTAAATCCTAATCTTTGATTTTACTTTTTTCGTTATTATTTATTTAGAATGGATCAACAAACTTCGGACCTACTATGGAAATATTTATCAGACTCCCTTTCGGACATACAATCACAAGAACGTCTAATGTTTTTCGGGACACAATTACAAGACGATAATACTTTAACGGACTATGCGATCCAAAGTGAATCACCGTTGATTATGGCACTTCGCTTACGTGGCGGAATGTATCATTTCCCCAGTGGTCGTCAAGACTTTCAAGTTTCGCCTTGTGATGATGGTGCGAATGCGATTATAAGTGTTCTCAAATTTGCATTTAAAAACGATAATTTACAAGTCCAAACACTTTTATTGAATTTATACAGAACATCTAAGGACTATTCGCTGGTAAATGGGATGATAAACATAAAAAATGTTGTACTTTTTGTGCAATGAACGATAATGACTAACTTTGTCTCTGTTGTGGATAAATTCTTCAGTAGTATAATCAAGAAATATATTCTGTTTTTCTTTATTCCTTCGGCGACGCAAATGATATAATCTAGGCTAACTATTGCCTGAGAAGGAATGTTATTTCGATGATGCTATTACAAATAAAATCATAAAAGTTTTTTTTTTCTCTCAGTATTTGAGTGTGTTAAACATTCATATTAATAAGCAACAAGACCTTCGTTGTTTTCAAATTGTAAAACGTTGGTGAAGAAATATTTCCAATAAGTAAATTGCGATTATTCGATTCGCTGTTCTCGTTTAGTATTTAAAATTGCTTGGGTTTTTTCTCTTTTCTTTTATAAAATCGAATGAGAGTGTTAAGTACCTGTTATTCATGCATTGACAAATCCCTCATTGCGGCAAATGGCTGTAAACATAGTGTTTCAAAGTAAATAAAATGACTTTCAGTGATTTTGTTCTCTTCTCAATAGGCGGATTGAGTCGCGTGTCAGTAAAAACTTTCTTCATCTTGCTGTCAAAAATATGTGAAGAGGATTGAAATTTACATGCGACATTCGAAGACATTACTGAAACTTGTAGATAATATTGTTGCCGACCGGGTAGCGCTCGCGTTTATACATCGTCAATGTTCGCATGTCTATCCAATGTTTATACTAAATTTCGAAAAATATCTTTCTTCCGAGATTGCATGAAGAAAAGAAGCTTGTGTGCTTGTTAGTCAATCTGATTTTATTCGTTTGTTCTGTCATTGATGCAGAAATATTTTGCGAGTTCGATTAATGTAAATATTGGAATGCACTTCAAAGAAGCTCTTGGTTTAGACAATGCATGAAGAACAAAACAACGCAGCTGAAATTATCGAACAAGAAATTTCGGCGACAAAAAAAGTTTGCCTTGACCATAGTTTTTATATTTAATGTCATTTTCTTACTACATGCTGGCAGTTGCTTGAATAGTTTTAGTGAAATATGTTTCGTTTTATTTAGATTAAAAACTAATATTGTGGCTTATTACTAATGGGAGACACTCATCTGAATTTTACGGATGTTTCGCGAAATCCATCATCACCGATTGCTCAACAGTCTTCGGTCACTGATGGAAGTCATCATGGAAGGAAATATCAACCAAACGCGTGAGTTATCTTCTGCTGAAAAAGTGAAAGAAAGGTTTTGCTAAAGTTATTTGTGTTGAATAGAAATGAGGAGAAAACGCCATGGATGCAAAGACCAGGAAATAAAAGGCTAGTCATTGGAGTATCAGTCGTCGTGGCAATAATCATAATAATTCTGATTATTGTTCTTCCCGCGGTTTTAACAAAGAAATCAGGCTCAGATGCAGCAGGTAAGAGTAGAACGAGTATGGTTTGGGAGTTTGACGTTTAGCTTCCACTATTCCACAAATATTGATTTGTAGAGAAACATGCGAATTGATGGATGCTAATCATGTACTTTAGGAGGCTCGACATCTCAAACAACTCCACAACCGTATATCTCCAAATGTCAATCTACAATGTCAAAAGGTTTGTCTGTTTTGCACTGAAACAAGATATACTCTAGTGCATTTTCTCTTTCATTATTCTTGCAGCTTTTGCCAAAACAGTGAAACTTCCATCTGTAAACGATCCTCGTCCGAAAGTAAAAATGGCACCGGCTCCAGAAAGAATTGGAAACAATGTTCTTGTCAAAAGGGCGTATCTCGTTGAATTCGCATCTGATTCTACTGACAAGAACCATGCTCGAACGATTACCAGATCTCTACGATTATCCAATGCTATTGATCCATCGACAGTTACAATACGCCGTTCAATTCAGACGTCGTTATTTTCTGGTGTCTCGTTTAGTATAGATCAAGATCATCCGATCGAAGCTGTTGAAAATATCGAGGGCGCAGTTGCTATCCATCCGATTTATACCTACTCACGTCCAAAACCTGTGAAAACTTTTGATTACAATGAATTGTACAATACCGGTAGTGATACAATTAATTCATACAACTTAACTGGGGTCAGACATATACACGATATCTATAAAAATTTCGGTGCGGGTGTCAAGGTATGTAGCTTAATTTCAGCATATTTTCTCAAAGATTGCTGAAATATTGTCTGTAGGTGGCTGTCATTGACACTGGTGTGTACTATTTACATCCAGCACTCGGAGGTTGTTTTGGAACGGGATGTAAAGTTGAGTTCGGCTATGGTATGACACGTAATGCATCTTGAACGAAAGATTATAAACGTAGAATGTCTCTAGATCTTGTTGGAAATAGCTATACTGATGACAATCCAGTGTTTATGCCTGATGCGGATCCATTGGATCCCTGCCCCGATGGATCCCACGGTATTTATCTTCTATAGAGTTACCTTTAGCGTCTTACCATGTCCCTTCGTATGAACTATACATAGGCACTCATGTTGCTGGAATTATTGCTGCAAATTCTACAGGAATCACCGATATAAGTTTTAGTTCATATGTGCCTTTCATTGGTGTTGCGCCACAAGCCACACTCGGCGCATGTAAGACTTTGCAATCTGTTCTATTTGAAAGTCATTTATCTATTTGACCTTCCTTTTCTGTGACAGATCGCGTATTCGGCTGTTCTAGTAGTGCGCCATCAGGTATGTGCAAAATGATGCAGCTGTATTTTCCGATAATTTTCTTACTTGTTAAAAGATGCAATTACTGAAGCTATTTATCGTGCACACAATGACGGGGCTGACGTTAGTAAGTGTCTTTTTACACATCTTTAAATTATGGATGCGTCGGAGATAATATTTCAATTTTAATATTATCGTGTAAAGTAGAATGCATTGAATAGAAATGCATAGGATAGATTGTCAGCTGATAATAACTTTTGTTATCTAAGTCACTTGAAAGGTCATTGATATGTTTAGTTAACTTATCACTTGGCGGCCCAGGTCCATATTCAGGCTCTGCTGAAGGACTAGCAATCCAACGAGTGACTGATGCTGGAGGTACCAATCCTTTTCGCTTTTCTTTTATGACTCCTAAGGGTGATAATTCATTCTTAGTATATGTTGTTGTTGCGGCGGGTAATAGTGGACGTGGTGGTTTTCAAACGACTGGCGACATAGCCAATGAGCCAAGCTCGTTGTCTACTTGTTCTGTAGACAATAAGTATAATCTATTGATGAATTCATCTGTTATAATTGGACCTGATAACACGAAAATTCTTTATCAACCTGGAACGAACTATGGTGGTTGGAGATCAATTACAAATTCGACGATCGTCGTAAATGGTTAGGCCAGATTAGCTCTATAGGATTTTTCAACTTATACTGATTATTTAGATCCCACTGGATTGAATAGCAATGATGGTTGCAACGGCCCATCAGTCACAATCATGGGAGCTGTGGTTTTGTTTCACTTTCAAGACAGTGACGAATGTGATACTGGTACCCGTTGTAACAAAGCATCAGTTCAAGGAGCCATCGGTTGTTTAATATACAATGCCAATAATATTGCCGGTTGAGAGCTGCTTTGCTAGTATAGAATGTTTTCATTAGTCGACCATTATCTATTTAGGTTCATCAAATATTCCCAGTGGAAGCATCAGTTTGATTGATGGACTGAATATTATATTGACAGTTGCTGCCAATTCATCGGCTATGTACATGTTCACAGATCGGCTTGAGCCTGTCACAATAGTAAGGCGTCTAACATAGAATATATACTGATGTCAGTAGTGCACGGGAATAAGATGAATACTATCGATGTTGATCATCAACTTTTGCTGTGTTTTCCTATGCATAGAGCACAGGTGGAACAGTCTCTGACTTCTCATCGATTGGCCCAAGCGGTGATCTTTTCTTGAAGCCTCGCCTTTGTGGTATTGGTGGAAGTGTTTATTCCACAATCTCACCAATAGCTGCTGCCGCCGTAAATTTCACGAGAGCATATGCTGTCTACTCCGGCACAAGTATGGCTTCACCTTACCTCGCAGGGTATGCTTCACCGTCCTATTAAGACTGTAACATATTCGTGTCCATGTTTGTTTTTCAAGGACTTTGGCTCTCTTTCTTGCCAGTTTAGGCAATCCCGCTCCGAGTACAGTTAGTGGTGTTGCCGGTAATGGAATCTGTCGACCCTCCTTTTCTATGGCTATGAACATCTTTCAATCGACTGCGCAAACTGTAAACAACTATGGATCATCTGTTCTTTCTTCTACTCTTCAGCAAGGCGCAGGATTAGTCGATATCCGTCGTACTATCGCAGCTACAACCATGCTTTCACCTAGCGAGCTCTCCCTGAATGATAGCGTTCGCATAGCTTCATCATATACAGTGAAAGTTATTAACATTGGCACGACAGCAGCGTCCTATGTAGTTACACATGGTGGAGCAGCATTGGGCACGCCAAAGAATGGAAATTATGATCAACTTTTACTTGTTCCATCGTATTCAGCAAATTATGCTGTAAGATTTCTTTTTCTTATCTCGTGCACAAGAGATTAGTTCTTATAATCGTAGAATGTGACAATTGTACCTAGTAAATTTGTACTCCAACCTGAACAATCGCTCAACATCACTCTTCGTTTCACACCACCCACTGGATTAAATACAACGTTATTACCATTCTATTCGGGTTTTATATATGTAACTAATCAAAACAATGGAGACGTTGTTCATCTGCCATGTAAGCATGAATTTTATTAAACTTGATGTTGAGGTATTTTTGTAGATGCTGGAGTTGTTGGTGACTATTCCAGTGCTCGTATTATTGTACGCACAGCTTCAAGCACTGTCGTTACAAGAATTACTTCCCAATCTGGCGTTTATATTTCTGATACGCAACAGGCAGCATTGAATGCTACGTTAGGAATACGACTCATCTTGGTAGCAGCATGGTCCACTCGTCTCTTCATTGCTGAAGCTATTTCAGTTAATGACACCAGTTTACCGGGTCAAAATCAAAGGTAATATCGCCGTAAGAGAGACTAGTCCAACGTCAGTTTTCAAACATTGTTTACTAATCTGTGCGTCATTTTCTCTTTACAGTTTGGGAATATTGAAAGATGAGGCATACAATACATTTGTATACATTTCCGATATATCAAGAAATACCGCTGTTGAAACTCAAACATTTAGCGATAGTTATCAACTCTTATGGTACGGAAGCGTATGTGCGGCAAAGAGTATCAAGAATTGCACGACTACAACAGTATCTCGCCTTCCTCGAGGCCAATATCGACTTCGATTTTCGGCTTTGAAACATTTCGGAAATATTTCGAATCCCAACGACTACGACGTTTATCGTTCTCCGTCCTTTTTACTCACTTACTAGTCTGCTACAACGTTGGCTGATTTAATTCTCCAATTAATAATTAAGTTTTATTGAATCAAATCTTTTCTTTTCTATGCAAATTTTTATCGTATTATTTACTAATAAAAAAATCCGATTGCTGATGAATCAGCTTAGTACTATTGTTTCTTTAGATCTTGAAATGTGAACGTCTTAAGTTATATAGGATGTCTTTGAACAGCATCAGTGTTCTTACTTTCATCACATGGATTTCGGTCCGTTGCAGTTGACGGTTTTAATCCTAGGTAATCCGATATCATCCGTCCAATCGTCGTCGCATACCATTCTCTTGAATAAAATGACGAAGGTAGAATATAAAGCATAAAGCTGGTCAATTGAGGAAGAAATGAAACGAAGTAAGATACGATTAGAACATATCTTATCAAATTGCTTTCCAAATTTTGGCAATACAATGTAAATGAAATGATAAAGAGTGGTAATGAAAATAACTGTGGAACTAAAGTTATTCCAGGACCAATGACTAGTTCCTTATTTTCATTTAAAATTTGTAAAATAAAGTGAGAACGTATTTGAAATTTGATCAAAATTGATTGATGAGATTTCGTGAGAATCTTTCGAGCATTGATCTTATTTCTTGCGACTATAAAACTAATCATAATCGTTGAACAGAAATTGATCATTAATGGCAAAATCGAATTGATAATCGACACAAACGAATGATAAAAATTCCAGATTCTTCGATGACGATTGGGAAATTCCATCACACACATTGCATCGTTCGTATTCGTAATTTCTACAAGTGATTTGACAAAAATCAGTTCATGAATATTAGTACCTAAAATACCGATCGCTGTAATGAACATTACACGACGCGCAATGTGCGGTTTTCGAAGCCATTGCCTTCTAAGAAAAAGTGTCGTATAAACCCGTTCAATTGCAATCAATGACGAAAGCCAATAGACAAATCGACTTGACGTAACGAGAAAATAGTTGAATATTTTACATAGATAATCATTGAGTTCAATTGACGAATAAGAACCGGTCATGTTGATTGATAAATGTAATAGCCGGGCAGCGAGGAACGTTAGATTCACTTGATTGGTAATACTCATGTAAAATAAATACTGTCCGATGCCATGTCGAAGCGAATTTTGTCGACGGAAAGTGACGAGAGAAAACAGATTGTTTGGTATTCCTAACAGAAACAAAAACACCGAAATAACGATGAGAAAGCGAAAGGTAAACTTTTGATTGGCCGAGTTCAAATCAGTATAGAAGAGTTGATCCAGCGTGAATATAAACGAATTGGAGTTGAACTGACATTTTCTTCCGGAATAGCATTTCGGACATAAACAGAGAAATTGTTCGCCTTTTAAACAAATTCCATTGGATAAACAAGAAGAGCATCGATCGAGATGAAAATCGTATTGAAAACATTGAACTCGCGTATGATTTTCATTGCAAATGCATAGGTAATGTTCATCGTAAAAACAGAATAAATTCGTAGAATTTTCACAGAGAAAATGATATTTTATAGGAGAGATTTGTTTTTGCCGAATTGACATACATTGGGTTCGCGTATTTAATTGCGTTATTCCGTGAATTGATTGAATATCAATTTGAACCGAAATTACATAGATGTTTGGAGAACTCTCGTTAGAATATAGTTTAACCACAACAATTTCAGGGATAGTTCCATATTGATGTCGATATTCAATGAAATTCGGAAGAACTCGATGAACTTTTTGATGAACAAGGTGTAAACTTAAGGAAACAAAATCAATATCGAAATATTGTACAACAGCTGCTAAATATTTCACTGTCTCATTGATGAATAATTTAATTTCCGGTTTTCTAAATTCACATTTGTCACCATGATAACCATCCGTACATATACAAGAACTCGCTTCAGGTTTCGACGTCGAAAAACAGGAACCATTGTTTCGACAAGGATTTGATTGGCATCGATCATGTTCGATAGAGCATTGTTCACCGTATCGATTAAACGAACATATGCAATAAGGTAGATGATTTCCATGTATTAAACCTCGATATCCGGGTTTACACAAAGATCCGTACGAGCAATAGCCATTTGCGCATCGTTCATCTTTCAATGAACAATTTTTGCCGGTAAAATTTGCCTTACAAAGACAAATGTATTGTGATTTTTCGTTGAGAATGGCTTGACAATCTTGATTTGTATTACAAGGGTTACTTGCACATGGATCATCTTGTTTGACAAATCGTAGAATTTTAGCTAGACGTAAGACAGGTAGATAATCAAAGTCAATCGGGTATTTCCATACAGCGAAGAGTTTCGGTCGATCGAAATCGACTTTTTCATACATTTCAATTTGAATTGAGTAAAGATGATCATTTGAATAGTTCAAATATCGTTCTAGTTTATGTCGAAGAAATCGTTTGGAACGAGAGTAGACGTAATGAGCGAACTTTTTCGTGTAAGTCGCTAATTCTGATACAGCTCGCGCATGAAAGAAATAATTGGTCAGAACTTCATTCTCAAACATGAACAAAATCACGATCTTGAAGACAATGTCGATATTTTTCGTCGTCGAATATGTTGATTCAGAAAGATCAAGATGAAAAAGTAAACTTATCCGATCACTGTGATATTGACATTTATCGCCATGATACTGTGGAGGGCAAAAGCAAACGATGGACTTATTGTAGAGATAAACACCGATACCTCGATTACACCAATAGGCAACCGGATCTGTAGGATCTAACGAGACTATCGATGATTTCACTGACGGATTCGTCGAAGGTAACGATAATGTGATGTTCGAATCGATTGGAAATTGAATTAATTGAATTTTCTGATGGGAATTTTTTACAATGATCTCTTTCTCTTCACGATATTGAAATCTGGTTAATTGAGAAATATGTTGATATTCGCACATATATTCATCTTCACCCATGGAACAATCAAACTTTTGATCGCATCGGCCACTTCTGACACAACTTCCGTTAAAACAAACTGCATCGTAAACTCGATTACAAAATGAAACATTAATTCGATAATTACACCAAAGGTCGTCATCAGATTGATTGTGACACCGTTCTCCAACACAATGGTTCCAATAAGGAATACATTGTTCGTTGGATGAACATTTGTAATTATATCCAAGCATAGTTTGTTGATTACAGTGTAAAATAGTATTTCTCTCGTCTATTCCTCCGTAACAATCAATAATTCTGTTTCCGATTTGCTGCCATGTAATACATGAAATCGTTTTTTGATGTGTAAAACAAGCAAACTCGGTTGTTTTATTACAAATTGTAGAAAATGGGACTGATTGATTGAATGAGTTTGGTTCATCTGAGGCGTCCTCGCAATCCCATTGATAGTCCGATACCCATTTCCGATCAATACATTGTCCACTACGACATTGCCATTGATCGTCCGAACATTTCCACCATTGCTTACATTCTGTTGTATTTTCATCGTGTTTTGAAGGTAAATTCCAAAACGTGTTGCAATAATATCGAAACGGTATATAGGTTTCTCCAGAAGCATCAGTGCTTCTATTCGACAACCAGGATTGCTCAATATATTGTCGGAGAAGATAACATTGATCTTTTTTCTTAAAGTTACAACTCATATCGGATAATTTTTGACTTGTGCCTAACCAATATTCATCGAATGCGTTTCTACAATCAGAGTGTGAATTACCAAGAGCAGTAATACTTAAACAAGTTGGTTCATCTAGCGAACAACGAAAATGATATCGAGAGCATGATGTATTTGTTGTGTGTTGATTGACCGTTGAAGATGTATTTAACGCCTGCTGACAAACGAAATGTTCGATTTCGTGAAGTTTGGTTAGAAATGAAAGATTCATCGCAATAATATCAGTGGATATCCCGTGACATTTGATTGTTCCATTAACAAGAAGAAAGTCTGGTCGCAGTTTATAGTATTTCGGATAGAAAAAGAAAACATATGGAGCCATAATTCCTTTTTTAGAAAATTGAATCGAGTTCGAGTGGCACGCCGAATGTAATTCTTCGGTACAAAAAGTATTCTCTTCTCCACATGGACAATCAACATGTACGGCTCCGGATAAATCGCAAAGAAGAATAAATCGACATTGATCTTCGATTGTTAAATTACTCATTTTTGTCCCATTATAGTCATACTTTTCATAGCATCGTCCGTTCGGTAATGTCCACATATCGTTGATATAATGTGTTTCACAAATGAAGGCTTGTTCACGCTTACTTCGACATTCCGATTTGAATCGTGTCATGGTCTGAAAATCGAATCGATCGATAATGCATTGTCCATCACCGCACGAATATTGAGTCGGCGGACAAATTCGATCATCGCACGGAGTATAGACTCCATCTGATGAGCATCTAATATCATCATAAAACTGCATTTCATCACTCCAATCCAAGCAATCAAAATCTCCATCGAGGAAATATGTGTCAGGAATACACATTCCATTCGTACACCGATATTCATCTTCTTCACATTCCTTCGATTCTAAATGATGACAATTTTCTTCATCAAATCCGAACATACACTGTTGAACGCCATCACAGATATCTCTCCAATCTAGGCACAACAAACCGAAGTTACACTGTAAGGTTTCGTAGCAGATTATATCCCCATACAATTGAACATAATGAGAATTAGCCATTCGCAGATTATTCTCAGCATAGAAGGTATCTGTCAGTGTTCTTCCTATTGGTAATAAATATTCACACGTTACACCAAATGATTGTGAATTAACACATTTACATATATGTCCGTTCATTTGCTCGATTGGATTCGTTAGATACCGAATATAGTCTTCAACTTTTTCAATACTTGATCTCCATTGGTGCAAAACAGTACCAACACTTATATTCATTCTTCGAAGATCAGCTAATAGATACGGCACTCCATTGTTATGGCAATACCCTAAGTCGTTACTCCTATTCAGAACAATGGGTTCTATCGGCCGACGACAAAATGGTAAACTTTTATGGAAAATACAATCATAAAACTCTACCGAAGGACTATCGATGGTATTGTAAACATATATTGTTGAATCGACGAATGATAAAATAAAAAGGACGAATACTTTTCTCATTTGTGATTATCATATACCAAACCAAGTATTTCAACGATGCAATAGAGAAAAAAAATCAAAGAACGTGATTTATAATAGAGCATGACTTAAAAGTGATATTAAAATATTTCATTTCAAGATCACACTTAGTTGACATTAAACATAGAGAAAAATGACAGACGTGTCTGTGAATATCATTTTTGAGGATGGAGATTTGCGTCGTGATATTATGCCATGAGAATGTCTGTCTAAAAAAAATGCAATTCATTTGTTACAATCGAAATGAGCGTATTTATCTCGTTCGATGATAAGTGAACTTTGCTATACTCTACAATAATCTTTCAATCTGTGTATGTTGATTATATATATATTGACTGTTTTTTATTGTTTGATCGATAGACAAATAGATGGCAAGAAGCAGGAGTCACTAATGATTTGTTCTACGATCGTTGTCGTTTACAAATACGAGAAAATGATTCTTTGAAAGCGTTTCTATAAGAACTCGAAGGAACAACGAATATGACAAACATAAATATCGGCGGTAGAAATGAGATAAAGTAAGCGGAAAGATACAACCATGAATAACGAGACACGTCGATACATCCAGATAACAAAGAGATGACTAAGCGTGGAGACGATAAAAGAAGTAGAATGATAGGACTGATGACAAGTTGCCTATGTTCATTCCACTGTTCTCGCATATGCTGCGTGAAATTTTGTCGATTTTGAGCTTCTGCTCGTCGTCGAGCAGTTCCAATGATGATCAATACGGCAGAAAGAAGATTTATAATGAATGGTCCAAGAAGATGAACGAACAGAATACTTGTATTGTAATCTTGTATTGGTTGAGGATACGAAGTTATACACCAGGTGTGCCATGTTCGTGTTTCTGATAGGNGTCCTGTTTAAAACCCCTAAAATGGCCTACAAACAGATTAGATCCCGTCCACACCCATATTGAACAAGAGCTGCCAACACCGCTTTGGACATTGCCAATGAACCGAAATCAGGTAATTTCGCTAGCTCCTCACCATGTTTGGTCAGTTTATCGTTAGAACCTTTCTCCAAAATATCTAAACATATCAAATACATCAATCATACAGAGAACTGAAGTTCATTGAACATTGCTTACTCAAATCTTGTAACTGCGCAATGGTTGTATCAATTACTTTCTGTGGCGGTTTATCCGGCAGATATGTTTTCATATGGTTGAAGCCAGCTTTCAATGGAGACTTTCTCAAGGAAAATTCGATGCTCATCAGATCCGATTGGCAGATTTGAGGTACCGGATATGGAACGGCATCGGGCTTGAAATTGTACAATGAATAGTACTCACCGGGTTGTGTTCGACCGAGACGACCCAATCGCTGTTTTATTGTTGATTGAGCAGCTGGAATTTCTCGTAGAACAGTCCGTTTCGATTCAAAATCATACACGGGAACATTGATCATTCCTGTATCGACGACGTATTTCAGACAAGGGAAGGTCAGCGATGTTTCTGCTATGGTGGTAGAGAAGAACACAGTGCCGTGTTCAATGTGATCTTGTTGAACGTTGGGATGTTGTGATTGGATTAATGGGTACGCAACAATTGTTTCTCGGCTAATTTCGTTGATTTGTTGACACGATTGAGTGACTTCTCCAACGGAACTAACGAAGCAAAGAATTTGCTCATGACGTTTTCGTTTTTTACACAATTCTTGAATGATATCAATGGGATTCTCGTTGGGTCGTGCAATTTCCGTGACTTTGTATAATGTTCCCATTTGTGGCATTTGGAATTCGGCAAGGCCAATTTTACTAAATAATCTCGGCACTGAAGCATCGAGTGTTGCAGATGAAACAACTACTTTTATTTTGGTTTTCAGTTCAGGTTGATTCGTTAATGTTCGAGCGAGTAGAGCCAGACAAAGATCAATATTAACCGACCGTTCATGGACTTCATCGATAAAGAAAACGACTGATTTGTTGAGTTTCGTTTGTGTAGAGATCAGATTCGAATCGTAGAGTAGTCGTTCTTTCAGTAGACCGTCCGTCAAGTAAACGATAGCTGCATCAGGATGTCTTTCAGTACCACTGACGGCCCAGCCAGCTATTGGATTCTTCAGTGATTCCGAATCGTTGCCCATCGTTTGATTTACTCGTTTACAAATTAACTGGCATGGCAAACGTCGTGGTTGAGTGACGATAACTCTATCATAACCTTCGGCGATCAATAGAACTGGTAATAATGTCGACTTTCCTGATCCAGTCGATGTTGAAATAGTAACCACTGGACTCTTTTCGATTTTATTCAATAGATCCTTACACGATTCGTACAGTGGCAATTGAACTTTGAAACAACCGTAGTAAAGAGTGAGTCGTTGAAGAAGTTTAGGAATGAGTGCGAAATGCTTCAGTTCATAACCTTGGTACAACTTTAGTGTCTGAAATTCTTTTTGTACTTTGTCGATAAACTCTTGAAGGACAGCAACAGATTTCGTCGACGGCTTCGTGTCGAGTTTCGCACGCTGAACTAAGATATTTTCTTTGATAAACTGTTCCAATGCCACACGTTTCAGATGTTCTATTTCATTCATAAATGGTTGATTCTGTAGAAACTGATCCGCTGCTTTGCGAATATCCTCCCAAGGCTTCGGTAGTTTGTCGACAATGCATTGGTCAATCAATGCGTTCGCTTGTTCATCAAGGAAGACTTCAAATTTCTTTTCATATTCCGTCTTCTTCGTCTCCAATAGTTCGCTGAAGGTTGCAACATATTGCTTCCAACTATGTGTTTGTGGTTTTACACGAAATACAGCTTCTTTCATCATTTGACGGGTCTCTCGGTGGATGTACCGTTGATAAAATTTTTTTGCCGACTGAATAACATTCATCAGCGACCATATTCGTTGTAAAAGATCTTTGAATCCTTGCTGATGAGCAGAAAATCCAATGACGGTAACAACATATTGACTACTCTCTTTGGAGAACACGATTTTCGGTACGCGATCATTGAAAGATGGGTCTATGTTTTTCAATAAACTTTGTAAATGAAGAATGATGATCGAATGTTTTGGTGCCAAGTACCGGTGGATGACTTCGACTTGAATGCTTTTGTAATCCAAGGTTTTGATGTTTTTATCCATTGCTTTCAATTTTTGTTTTTGTTGTTCATATTCTTTTTGGTTTTTTTCCATATCCGTGATTCGATTTAACAATCGTTCGATTTCCTGCTCATGTTGGCTATCTGAATCCAATAAGTCTTGTATCCGTTGTCTTTCGTTGGCTAAATCATTGTTCAATTTTTCGTTATTCTTCTCTAGCTCTCTCAATTGTTCGTTGACTTGTGCTGATTGTTTATCGTTATTCGATGAGCCAGAAGCCATGCTCTCCTCGAAACTCTCCTGTTGCGATAAGCGTACAGTTGCAGCTGCTTCATTGATGAAATCTTCCATTCGTTTTGCACCGAAATCTTCGGAGGTGTCGGATTTGCTTTCGATATTCCCAGTAAGATCTTTCACAGACCAAACTTGATTGATGGGAGTATTAGGCATCTAAAAAAACATGAAATTGGTGACGAGAGTGAACACATCATAATGCAAATCTTTACTTCATTGATTGCTCTATGCACACTACCATCATCTTCGACATCACTTGCATCGGTATCCGAATCATAATCTTCGTCATTTCTGAACATACCATCATCATCATCGTCATCATTAACAGTGGACATACGATCAGCATTTCTTTCGACTTGTCTCAATCGTGCTGTAGTTAATGGTATCGGCTTTAAATGTGCCAATGCTTGAAAATCATCGATACCGATAATTTTGTTCTTATTGCGCGGATTGTTTGAAATCATCTTTGGAATCCAGCGAATATAGCCAGCGATACTTCCGCTTCCATTAGCAAACGAAAATGTCTGTAAATCAAATACGAGTTCATCCTGACAAACACGAGGAAGCTCGAGACGAAGATATTTGCGACGATATTTCATGGTATGATCTAACCGGGTCTCGGTTTTAGCGTCACAGAAATACCACGAATGAAGACGGACTTTGAAATTGCTATCGTATACCGTCGGTATGGTCAACATTGTTAAGGAGGGCTCAGTTTCGGCCTTTGGATATTTCGTGAACATAATTTGCCAGAGACAGTAGCAATTGAAATTTACGATGGACGAGCCTCGGCAACGAACCCAAGCGATTTTTTGGGTGAAACCAGAATCCTTGCCCGATCGTAGGAATTGAATTAACGAAACTGCATAAGTTCCAGCGCGCACTCGTAGATGAATTTCATGTTTAAACTCGTTGTCCTCTTTGAATATCATGGATCCCTGAAGAGTGGTTGCCTCGGGTTCCGAAAACGGATACCATTGCTCACTGGTAAATGGTTTATATTCCCAAAAACAATCGACGAGAGTATTTTCATCTTCCGTCGTAATCGGTAAATGCGGTAAATCATCGGTTTTGATCGAATAGCTGGAAACAAGGTTGTCTTTAAAATATTTAATAATACTGGGACGTTGTCGGGCATTATCAATGGGTGTTTCAGCAGCATGATTTCGGAGAAAACAATCAGCACCGTGTTCAAAGAGGAATTCGACTATCTTCAAATGATCACCAAAACAAGCGCCGTGTAACGCCGTTGAGCCAGCAGATGGATTTCGAGCAAAGTCCGGATCATCTTCGATTGCTCTGTCCAAAGCTCGCTTAATATGTTGTTGATTTTGAGCATTGACGGAGCATCGAGCTTTGATCAAAAGAAATCGGACCAAATTGAAATGATTGTTTCGAGCTGCTGAGTAGAGGATCGTGGTGCCCCACAAACCAGGACTATCTTTCATTGTGGGATATTTCTTCAGGAAATGTTTTACCTCACCTTCGTCACCATTGAAAGCTGCTTGGAAAGCTTTGAGTGAAGCTAACATCTGTTGCGCATCATTCGCAAAATCTTTCAGCATGCCAACATTGAAAGGACTTGCGAACTCGTGAGTCTCTTGATTGTAATTGTACTGATGTAAAAAATTCAATAAATATTTACGAGATAGTGTCAACAACTTGGGTATGTTTTTTGATAGCTCTTCTTCAAGATGATATTTCATATCGTCCAGCAAAGCGTTTACTTGAGGATCCAACGTAAATGTATAGATATTAGTGTCTAACGTGCCATCCGTAGTCAAATGTCCTGATTGGTTTTGGTCAGTTAGTTTTCTCATAGTATCTTCAATAATTTTAACCATCGCTTCCAAACAACGTCGTAGTCGTCCTTCATCTTCTGTATTCGTCATACTTAATATGTTTAGTGAAATCTAGTTGTGTAAGCAATGAGGCTTTCTTGTATGTACGGGTCAATAAAAATCGTAAAAAGAACAGTTAAAAAACGTTGGAAAAAAACCATGCAATGCGACAAAGCGCGATAAGGTGGGTAATAACCAAGTTGAGAAAGAACAGTAAACAGAGTCAACATGAAGACTTCAGTGTATTGTTGTGATTCATAGTTTTAATACGTCTTATTTTATTAGCGAGGAAGAACAGAATAAGAAAAAACAGTGTGCCGCGAGGAAAGTTGCAAGTTGGTAATAAACATCGATCAGTGTGAAAGTGTTCGATCTCACATGTTGATATTGTATTCAAATTTCGAAATGCGTCGATGTCTTTAATTTTTGAGTTCTTGTTGGACTAAGCTGATCCAATAAGCTACACCATATGGAATAACTTCATCGTTAAAATCATATGTGGGTGAATGTAAATTTCGAAATCTGGTTTCATCGTTCACACCCAAAAATATAAAAGCGCCAGGTTGTTCGACGAGCATGAAAGCAAAATCTTCGCCAGCCATCGTCGGTTCTGTGTTTCGATCGACATTTTGTTTGCCAACGACGGCTTCAGCTGCGGCAATAGCTCTTTTGGTTTGTTCTGCATGATTCACCAGGGGGGAGACAACCCGAACGTATTCTACTTCAGCTTCACAACCAAAATCAGCTGCGAGATTATTAGCAATATCCTTCATGCGTCGTTCAATTGTACTACGCACGGATTCTGTTAAACTTCGAGTCGTGCCACCAATACGTAATGTTGATGGCATAACATTTAACGACTGAAATGAACCACATTCAATGGCACCTACGGTAATCACAGCTGAATCGACTGCTCTAATGTTTCGACTAATGATGGTTTGTACTGCTAAAACAAATTGTGCTTGCAAAACCGTCAGATCACTGGCTAGATGTACGAGTGCACCTCCGTGACCGCCCGCTCCACGAAAAGTGACGACCCAACTGTCACCTGCTGCCATCATCGGACCAGCACGTATTGCAAATTTTCCAAATCGTTCTGGATAATTGTGTAGCCCGTAGATGGCATCCATGGGAAATCGATCGAATAGACCGTCCTTGATCATTGCTAAAGCACCAGTAAGTCCCTCTTCAGCCGGTTGAAATATAAAATAAATAGTTCCACAAAACGTATCACGATGGTGAGCGAGATATTTCGCTGCACCAAGCAACATAGCCGTGTGCCCATCATGCCCGCAGGCATGCATCGTACCCGATATTTTGGATCTGTAAGGAACGTCATTTTGTTCGTTCAGACGAAGAGCATCCATATCAGCGCGCAGACCAATTGTACCATTACCTGGTCGTAAGCTTTTCAATATTCCAACAACACCAAATTGGCCAACACCTTCAATCGCCATTATACCCCATCCTTTCAATTTATTGGCGACTAACGCGGACGTTCGTACTTCTTCCATCGCCATTTCAGGGTGAGCATGAATATCTCGTCGAATTTGTGTTAGTTCTAAGTGCATCTCGCGCACTTGTTCAAAAAGTACAGTATTCATTTAAAGATATGAATAACAAGAACACATCAAGTAACAACAAGTATGCATACACCCTGCAGCTCATATAAATTGAAAACGAACAAGAGTGACCGACAGAACGATAACAAATGAGGTGTAGAGTTAAGCAATAATGCTCGTTTTCACATCGTGCATGCATGAACAACTTTACATCGTTTTCTTTTCGACCATAATGTATTAATGTCCGTTGACCTTTCTAATTACATACTTTTCACGCAAATGGATGTCGGATTGTATTAGTGATCAAAATATCGTCATATCAGGACATTCAATAATCACTTTTTATTTTCACTTGTCTATACAGCACGCATTGATTCACATATTCACAATAGAGCATTCTTTATTCTAGTTTTCTTCTTAAGCACGTGCGTCGAAGATAAATACCAACACATGTTATCTACCTTTAGACACATTCATTATATTCTTTTTCTGTTGCCTATAAACCACGTAGTCAAAAACCGTGTCGTTCGAAAAAATGACTACAATTCGATTTGTTGTTCGTCGTGCCACTAGCAGTGATAGTGATGCAATCGCTCAACTTAGTCAGCAGACATGGCGTGAAACGTATCTGGAAGATTTGGCTCTGCCTATTCCTGACCATGATGTTGAATCTTATTTGCGCACTGAGAAAAGTTCACAGTGGTATGCAAATAAAATTGCAGATCCACAGGAAGCGACTTGGGTAATGGAAGATACGACGACCGGAGAGATCGTTGCCTTTGTCATCGTCGGCCGGTGTGAAGTGCCTCATCCAGAATTTTCTCGAAATAGGGATGGTCAAATCGAGTATTTATATGTTCGACGTGATCGACAATCACAGGGATTTGGAAAACAATTGATGAATACCGCTTTATCGTGGCTGGAAGAGCAATTTCCCGAACGGCCTGTGTGGCTGACAACATTATCTTGCAATCTAAAGTCACAAAAGATGTACATGAATTACGGGTTTACAACAGTCGGTGAATTTATTTCAAACGTTGGAAACACAGAAAGACATCTCATCGTTATGCGACGAGAGAGTCGCTTCGCTATTCAAAATCTTTGTTAAACATTTTTGCTGCAAGTGAATAACTGTTCTCTCTTCTTCTTGTTCAATCTTTGTAATAAGAAACGATGAATACGGTAGAAGCAATACTTCAGCTTCATTTTGAAATTCTGATATATCAGATATATCAATCGCAGTAGATTGGTCGTTATTGATTATTTCATAAATACAGAAATAGGACTGTTTAGTTGGATCGGTAGTTCCTCCGTTCGAAAACGCCTCTGCGACAGAACGATCCGGCGAAGTTGACAGAAATGTAGTTGTCATGATGCAAGAGCCAACTTTGTAATGATCGAGAACGTTTCTTGGCAGGACAATACCGCGATACGATCTTCCGATGAAACTACGCTTTTGATATCTTTCGTAACGAAGAAGGATACTTATGATTGCTCGTGTACCGTCTTCTGTTGAATAGAGACAGTCGCATGAGAACTGACTACAACCATTTTTCAAATCATGTATAATATTACGTGCCATGTCTTCATTTAACAATTTGGAAAACTTCTGACAAAGTGTATATGCAGCAATGATGTAATCAGGATCTTGCTGACGTAATGCACATTGTAGGTAATTATGCACTTTTGTCATATTTTCCGAAAGCATATCATGCAAACGTGTATTGATATAGCCCTTCTTTATCGTATGCAGTTTTCGCTTTAGATCCTTTTCGTCCATCGGTGTCGATGATTTCAATTCATGACGAAATCTCAAGGATTTTTCTGCTGCATCTTGATCGATTAATTCCCATTCATACAAAGTGGTATCATCGACTAATGAACAAACTTTACATTTTACTTTCCATTGACCCTCAAGAACTCTGCCACCGGATTCGGGTACAAAGACGAAGCGATTTGATGATGGACGTTGGAACAAATCTTTAATTTCCTTTGTTTCAGCTAATTCATAAGCTTGCTGACTGTCTATATTGCTTAGCGATCGTCTAGCGCCGTGAAATAAGAGCATTTGAATAATTTCTTTATGTTGATTTCTAGTAGCAACATGTAAAGCCGTGTCATTATTTGGTAGATGCTGATAATTAATTTCTTCATATTCCACCGTTTCCAAGCATGATTTTACACGAGGAACATCGTTCATTAGACAAGCTAAATAAAGCAACGGAGGTTTAGACGGTAGTGAGCGGAAATATTGCGGCAAGAATCGAGATAATCGGCAACATTTTTGCCTCTCATCGCTGGAATTCGACAAACTCGTAGTTGAGTGCGTCATATGTTGTGTGAAAAATTACATGTAAATGACAGGTGAGGCATGATTTCCGCTTTTTCTCCGTCACTGAGTCAGCTAATTGGTAACGAAGATAAAAACAGTCATTTTTCATACAGGTAAACGAGTTTAGAATGAGTAATAAAACCATGTTGGGAAGTATTTCTTATTGAAATTTCCATCACAAAATAAATTTGAAGAACATTTATTTTGTGTCATACAGTAATGAATGACTTTCAATGTGGACGAGATATTTCCCTTTGTTTAAGCGTTTACAATTTAACTCTGTGTTCACCGGAGAACAATACGTGTGTAGCAGATCATGGATATTGTGTGTTTAGCGACAAAATTCAACCGAAATGTATATGTTCATCTTGTTTTATTGGCAAGAACTGTGAGGAAGCGAAGGTATCGCGAAACCTCTGGGCATCCTTTACACCTTATGGTGAGATAGCGGAAAACGGCGCCTATATTCCGGCGATCATACTTATCATATGGGGTGCATTTCTTTTAATAAACGGAATCTTTTGTTTACAAACGTATTTATGTCGGAAAATACGTGAAACTAACTTGGGAATTTATCTAATAATGCTTTCAATTGTGTCAATATTCATCGGACTAATCTTGGTCATATTTGCATCACTTTTTCTGCGCGTCAAAGATTTACCAGACCTAGTTCTGTTTGCTGATCTTCATTGCATAATTTACGAGAAATTTGTTTATATTCCCTTGGTTTCTATGTACAATTGGTTCATCGCCTGCGTTGGCATCGAACGAGCGCTCGTTGCTTGCTCGAGAGACTACGAACTACACGATTCAAGACGTCGTTCAGTCATAGTTTCTGTCCTCATTGTAATCATTTGCCCACTGACGGCCCTTCCAGGGCTCTTCACAGTCCGTCAAAATCAGCCCGCAGAACTACGGTCCATGCAGTGCGTGAATTTTACACCAGTTGGATACATCTTGTACGTAGCAATTACACGCATTCACTTACTGGCATTTTATCTCATCTACATCGTGATGAATATAGCCGTGTTAACGCATCTTCTCAGACATCGCCAGCGTTTTGTAGGTGCCGATTCATTGCTCAGTCAACTGTATCTCATTTTACATAGACATAAAGACTTCTTTTTACCTTACTTAATTCAAGCTCTTTTCCAGCTGCCAAGTATTTTAATGGATTACATCATGACTTGTCCAATGGCGTACACACGGTTAGTCGCACAGTTAACCATCGGATTTTCTATCCTACAAATTCTTCCATTTATAATTACATTCTATTTGTATATTTATTTATCACCAGTATACTGGTCAATATTCTTGCATTTATCTCCCATTGGTAAATGTTTTATGAAAATAAAAGAAACAAGTTTTCGACGTGTTTAAGTGAAAAGAATAAAGCTGTAATCTTCTGTTCTTTTGAATTCAGTTACAAATAGCGAGCAATGAAAAAGATATGAGAAAATTACTTAAAGGTATTTTATTAGACAGCGGAGCTGCACTGATCACTTATTAGTGAATGCATCAGATTATTCGTTATATGAAAGTAGTCAACTACGATTAAATCTTGCATAACAAAATTTCAATACTTTTTCCAAGGTTTAACTATATTCACTGAATCCATATCTGGATGGGGCCAGATCGACACCGAGCTATTGAACATGTATCTGGCAAGGAATTCTTCAGCCATTCGACCAAGTCAGCGTCTGCATGATCGTCTTGACAATGTATATGCAGTGCTCGAAGATTGCACATTTTTCGTATGAGATCAAGAATAATTGTTCGAGTTTTGATATAAACGAGAAGAACTTCACATTGTTGTCCGAATGATGAATCGGCCAGGAAAGCGCATTGAGTTGCATTTAAATAACGGTTTTTTTTCGAGTGGTAAGGCAACAATTCAAGTTGACGTACTGATGCGTGATGAGAATTCATTCGTAACAATCTCAGAAATAACAATGCATCGATATTTAGCGTGTTGAGACGACGCGTTCGGGCGACTAAAGTTTTCAATTGATATTCCGATCGATCATCTTCTTTTTTCTCAATGACCTTCAATGAAGTTAAAGAATCTAGTTGCGGAATGATCGTCCAAAAGTTCCTATCGTGCGGTAGGCTTAGCGTCAGACGATGAATATTCGGGTAACAATTCGTTGGTAAAGATGAGTTAAGTTTACATCGTTTATAAAAGACATCTGAGATTTGATCAAAACAGTTCGACCTATCCAGCTGAGGAAGAGTCGTTTTCGACCATCGATTCTGATAAACAACGTGAGTTGACTTCGAACAGTAAGGTAAAGTATAGAGAATGAATATTTTACCCGACTGCTGCGGTAAATCGCATCGAACGTACCATTGATGTTCGTCGAGCCAAAATGAAGTTTGAAAAGTTTGAAAGAATTCGTCGAGATGTTCTTCGACATGATCGGATTTTAATGATAGAACTCGAATAAGAAACCGAAATGTTTCGATCTTGGATACATACTCCGTCAGAAGTTGTTGCCATTGGTTTCCGTTTAAATTGATCGATTCAGTTTCAAGTTTGAGATGTCGTAAATTCGGTGTACTTCGCAAAATCTTTGTCAGAGTGGAGAGTGTACCGCCAAAATGAAGGTTTAGACGAGTAAGGAGTGGAGCAGGAATGATGTATTGTGATTTAATATCAGCGGTTTCTCCGATATTGATAGAAAGATGTTGAAGATGCGGTGTTAAACTGAATAGATGACTAAGTTCCATTGAAGAAAATGTGTGACATTTTATTGATAGATATTTCATTGTTTTAGAGATCATCGACAGTCCAGAAAACCTCAGACTCTGTTCGAATGTCATATCCAAAGTGCAATCTGTGAGAGAATTCAAATGCCAAATGTTGTTAAGTAGCTCTTTCGGAGCGTATTCACTGGTAAATTTACATTTGGTAATTTTTAAATGAGTAAGATGTGGAAGGTAAAAACAATCGGAGGTAATCTCAAGAAGAACATTCGCCGAATCGATTCTGTGAAGTAAAAGTGCATGTAAATGTGTGAACTCGTCAACGGTAAGATTGAAATTGAGAAGGTGTCTGTACAATTGTGGAGTTTCACATTCGTTGGAAAGACAAAGTAAGCAAACTTGATCGATAATTCCCGGTAAGTATTGTGTACACACTAGATTGAAATTCGTCTTGGATATTGAACGCAAGTCTAGACGATATGAACGGAAGCCGGTGAAAAGAAGCTTGTTGAAACGAGAATTAAGGTTTCTGAAAGCATGGATAAGTTCGATGACGTTGAAATATTCGAACAGCTCATAAAATACTTCATTCGGTAAATGTTCCAGATTTGTCATCGGGTTTTTTTCCAATGTAAAATAAAAAAACACGGTGCTGCTCGTAGTGTATGCAATAGAAAGAAACGCATGTGTTTGATGTTTTGGGCTCTTTTCTGTTTCCTACAAAATATTACTCATACATGAGTCATATTTTCCTTCTTACACCATTCAGAACAGGAGTCATTGAAGGTGACGAAAGATCATGTGTAAATATTTCTTAGCTTCTATACAAAAGGCTTTTTTCTATTCAAGTTGACGCTGCTTGATAGACATTTTAAACGAAGAGTATTGCTTAATGAGAGTAATTATCTTCAGGCTAAGGCTCAGTGTAATCGGAATTTCCATTTCCGACCCAGATCAAACCCAATTTCTTCGAAGTTGATAAGGATAGCTTTTGAGACATGTTTCACATCAGAGAGATTATGTTCCTTTTCGTCGCCGGAGATTTTCTCGAAGGATGTACAGCTCATTGCTCGAGTATATTACAGGAACCAACAGTTATTTGTACAGATCAAATGAAATGCGGTAATCGCCCTCTAATGCATAAGTATGCTAGTTATACCTGTGATATCCGAGAAAGGAAATAAAACCATCAAATAGCGAAGAGTTACAACTCCAATGGCACAGTTGCACACAAGTATGGTGGTGTAAAGCCAGGTGCATTCGATTATCGATATTATGTTAAAACAAATCAAATTGGCGTTTCGATTGGTTGATAGAGAATGACAAATTGTATGAAGACGAAGGGGCGTATCGATTATTTTTTGTACATTATACGCAAATACGTCTGTCCATTATTTTTATTATTATTATTATAGCCATGAATCTCGTCAACTCGTTGAAAGGACTATTTTTTTATTTATTCTTAACCGTCGCTGCACTTTTTACTCTGATTTTCGCATTTACACCAGCTGCTTCACTGATATTCATTCATCGACAATTCCATTTTCGTATATGCTCTTTCATCGTCGGCCATTTTCTTCTAGTGATAACCGTAAGCACTGCATTCGTCCTTGGAATTCTCCACCAGAAATGTCGTCCATTTTAGTGTCTTTTGGAAGATTTCTTGAACATCAGAGTCGTTATCACCGGTGATGAGTTGACCAAACCGAACGTGCGCTCGATTATCCTATTAAACCATCGAACGCGACTCGATTGGATGTACATATGGATGTTACAAAGTCGATTTAAACTTCTTGATCAGCTGAAAATCGCTTTAAAGTCGGGAATCAAACGTATTCCTATAATCGGTAAAGACTCCATCTTTTTACTTCGATTTTCTACGCTCCTACATATTAGGTTGGGGATGTTATCACAACGGTTTCCTTTTTCTTCATCGTCAATGGGAGAAGGACCAAGATGAAATGAAGAAGACTATTGAATACTACAAATCATCTCAAACGCCAGTCTCCGTATGCATTCTAACTGCTCTATTCTAACGCACATTGACGCTTATTATATCTCTTGAAGTTATATCATGTACTTTGTACGCGTTTATATGTAGTTATTGATTTTTCCGGAGGGAACGAATTTACATAACAAAACCAAACTGAAAAGTAATACCTATGCTTCAAAACAAACAACTTTCAATCGACCTTACGAGTATTGTCTTCATCCGCATACAACCGGTTTTACATATTTGCTTAAAACAATGCGATCGAGTAAGATCTTCTTCAAAACAAGCATAGTATCTATGTTTTATCTAATCTAGATGACATCATTGATACTGTTGACGACATAACCATTGGTTATGAAGGAGAAATCTCAGTAACAGAACTTGATTTACTGAAAGGTCATTTTCCGAAAATAATTCATTTTCACATTAAACGTTATGATGTGAATGAGTTACCAGAAGAAGATGAACAAGTCAGTGAGTGGTTAAAGAAATGTTGGGATGAAAAAGAAAATCGACTAGAGGAGTAAAATGAAGTTTTATGTCAAATTCTGAATCTTATTTTTATTTTTTTTTTGTTAACTTAGATTTTATACTACATATCAATTCGATCTTCCATCAAAACGATTTCGCAACCATCGAACAGAAGCGAACGTGCAAGTTGAACGTCGATTAGCTTTACTTTTATTAATCATATTCATTATATTTTGGTCGTACTGCTTTGTTGCTTATACTTCGGTGAAACTGTATGTACTGGCTATCGTTATCTTTCAGTCCGCCGTGCAGATAATCATCAATGTTGATGATCAACGTCCTGCCGATCATCGACAAGACTAAATTAGAACTGATCTTTTACCTCCAGACTCACGCATGTTAAGAGATTTTGTTTATATATACATATTCATGCTTTGCGCTCTTGATATCAAGTTTTACTATACGATGACATTCAATGAACAGATTACATCCGGATGAGGGTGTGGGTGTGAGGGTGTTTCGATTTCATATAAAAGTCAGGTAAGAGTTTCGAAACGACACATTCGAATTTCAGAAGTAAAAAAGAAACAATGAGCTAAGCCTCAAGATGGATGATAATCAAATCGCAAGTTCAAGGTGCACAATTTATGACTATTGTGAATAGACACTAACAACGCCATGTTTTGACAGGAACCAAATTAGACCGCAAGGAATACAATATTTGACTGAGGCATTTGCAGGCTAAAGCGGTAGAAAGTTTCATGACTGAAGGATCTGTTTCTACCGAAGCGTTTCTTCTAGACACTGACGACATTTTGGATTAATCACAAACAAGTCGACGCTGAAGGAGCTCACTATTTATGCAATGCATTGAAATTGAACAAAGTATACAGAAAATGTGTTGCATAGAGATATTTCTTTGTACGTATCTCGTGTAGACATTGACTGATCTCAGTATTTATCACAATCGAATTGAAGTTCAAGGTGCACAGTGCCTAAGTGATGGACTGCAACATAACAAAGTTAGTCAACGTTCCTCTTTATTTAACTTGAATTCTGTCATTACAAATATTGTATAGACACTCGCTACACTTTGTCTGGAACATAATCAAACTAGGAATAGATGACGACAGGTCTTTGGAAAACTACAGAAAAAGAATAGAAAATTACGTTTCACTGTATGAGGTGTTTAAGCGCAGAAGAAAAAACACAGTCAATAAAACATTTCAACATATGTGTATGACTTTCTAGCAACTACGTATACGAGTGTTAGTAGATCATGGATAGACACACTTATTTCGTCACAAAAAGCATCAGTGCATAGGAAGGAAAATCAGATTGGTTAAATATGGTTCTGGTAAACTACTTCATCCACTGTGAGAAGGTATCCACTTGAACCACCTTGCATTCCACCAGCACCAAAAGCTCCAGCGGCGAATGGTGGAAGGAATGGAAGGAAGATCCCTCTTAAACGTGAATGGCCAGCAGCTCGTGGACGTCCGTAGGCAGGATTACTGCTGCTTTCCACAACTTCAAATTTGCGTCTGTCGTCGATTTCGCGACCACTGGGTGAAAGTCTTTGGCCTGTTCCAAACTCGCCGATAGTAAACGTGGCCATCTTCTTTTGAGTATGGAGAAACGATGAATGTGGAAAGAATGTTTGATTCTCGAGTTGTTTTCTCAGTCTTTATATACGGGAGACGAAAGAACATTGCACGGGTCCTGTTCTATTACGCAGTTACATGATGCAGTAATTGTTTTGTTTGAGGGCATACTTGATGTGTTGTGAACCTGCGAAAACATCGCATGAAGAAAGAGTAGACAGGCCATTTTGTATAATTATGACGTCAAACAAATTAGAAAAATGCCTTGTATAATGAGGTAGAAAATCGTGAAACAAAAAACGTAGCAAGAAAATGTGAACAGGCGTGGCATGACGGGTGTTTTTATTTATTTGACTGAGAAAACAAAAAAAGTAAAATATGTCTATGTACAATAAAAACTAAGATCAATGATACAACAGTTCGTTTTTGTGTAGAACAAAGCGCATTCAGCTCAGTTTGTCACCTGTCTCGACGTAATGCTGAGCACATCAGACGATAACGATCGCTTTATTTTATTGTTATTGAAAAACGAGAGTGGTGGAGATTTTGTTGCCGACGAAGAGTGTCGATGTTGATTATATTCAGCTTTAATCTTTTCAAACTCAACAAGGATTATTTGACAGACTTTCGGATGAAGACCTGAAGCGTTTGCAGCAACTCTAGCAACTGAAGAAACTTCCTGGTCGCTGTCGTTCTGTATATCACTCGAAGATGACGTACCATCAAAGAGTTTCGATGAAATTCGTCTTCCTTCCTTTTTATAATTCTCTACAACATTTTGCACACTTGCATAGACACCTCGACTGAGCCAGGTCAGCGATGAAACCGTGCTTATGCTAGGTTTCATTCCCATATTCACAACAGCTATTAAGGATCCTGCTGCAGCGCCAGGTATGCCATGACGTTTATAACCAGCACGAGGTTGAGTTATGACACCAGTAAAACCTTCCTTCCACCCCTTCCATAAGGTTATGCCAGCTGCTCTGGCGCCCGATTTAAAATTAGTTACAACCGGTCTCGAACGTGCTTTCTTAGTGCTAATATATATGTATAATGAGGATGTTTATCATTCGAAGGAAAGAAATTTCTCCTACCTGTACGGATCGTATAAATAAGGGACATGATGCAGTGCATCAGTTATTTCACCATACAATGACAAATATCCAAGAGTCAGATGGCCTATACCTAAAGCCACGCCTTTAGCCACACTTCCGGCGCCCTCAAGCGCTCTGTTCCTAGTCAGATTGTCATTGCTCGCCGTTCGCTTTAATTCCGATGCAGTATTGATAAACATTTTCGAGATAGCCTTTTGCGAATGCTCAAAGAAGCCATGCATGATTATATGCTGATGATTATCGTGCTTGAAATGCCATTTTCGTGTGGCATGTGGCCGAAGTTGATCTTCTTGTAGAACATTTGCTGATACTAATACTTGTGCAACTGGTCGAGATATTTGCAAATGATATTTATCGGAACGATAACAAGCAGAAAATGTAGGTTCTAGATCGCTGTGCATGCGTGTTAAAGGTAAATTTGCATGAAATGCGCGCACCGCTGCTGCGCATCCATCTTCTTTCAGAATCGCATCGCGAAGGTGTTCAGCTGCAACGCATGTTGTTGATTGATGAACAAAGTGGAATGCTTGGATCAATTGTTCTGTCGTAATTGATTTGCCTGGAACTGGTTGAGGGCCAGCACCACTTTTTGCAATAACTGTGCCCCAAAAAAACTGATCGCCAAAGAATGGAACCACAATGGTAGGCTTTCCGGCACGTAGACCAGCGGCAGTGGTGCCCGCACCACCATGATGACAAACAGCTGATACTATAAGAAAAAGAGCGATAAATCGAAGTCATTGTCAACATAGAGAGAAATCAGTAGTTACCATGTTGAAAGAGCCAATCATGTGGTACATTTCCGATTTTGAATATGTTAGGTGGTAATTGATCCATTTCCGTAGCAAGACCAGATAGAACAGCGCGATATCCAGTTTGAAGCAGTGCATCGACGACAACTTTAAGAATACGACGAGAATCATGCCCGGCAATAGAACCAAAGCCAATATAGATTGGTTTTTGTTCGTCGGAATGAAGGAAATCAAGTAGATCTTGTGGTGGATTTGTGTAGGCTGTTCCAAGATCCAAGAAGAAAAAGCCGGACACATCAATATGTTCTCCCCAATCGTTGGGTTTCTCCACAAGTGATGGTGACCAGCAATAAGTATGAGGTACCCGCTCGTCATCTAGAGCATATACCGCTTGACTAGTATTTAATATCGAAAGACCCAATATTTTCTTTCGAAAGTTGTTGATAATATCACGCATACCTGTCCATGTCTAGAAGGAATTCGTAAAGAGAACTCACCGTTCAATTCAAAAGATTATTATGTATTTACTAGTGTGTCAATAACATCATAGGAATATCGATTGATGATTTTGCTCGATCCGGTAGAGTTGTCAATATTGGATAGCGGATGTGGAAAAGCTGCTGTCGACGTCCAAGGCATTGTGAACATGATATGTAAAGGTATCTGTAGCTTTTCTGCACAATGAATATGACCAAATGACGGTGGATTCGCAATGATTGCTTCCGCAGTGAATGGCATATTCGTTTCATCATCATTTGCTATACAGGCTTGCCACGTCGAAGCAAGAATTTCAGATAACGATCGACGTTTCTTACTGACATCTCCCGCCATGATGCTATCCATTGAAGGAATGATACCAGAATTTTTAACCATGAATGAAATCAAGTCAACTGGATCACCGCCTAATGGATAGAATTCCAGATTATTACCACGAACAAATGATCGAAATGTTTCGTGTGTTGCTAATCGGACACGATGACCTTTTGCTCGCAGCGCTTGACCAAGACTACATTGGAATTTCTTAGATTTTGTTTTGAAAAACGTTTTTGTTCAACTTACGCGATAAATGGTTGCACGTCGCCTCGTGTACCAACGATGAGAATGACAATAGCCAAGCGAGGTATAAGAAGATCTTCATCAGTTGGAGTGTCTCTTCGAGGGCATTCAAGTGTTGATGGAAGTGGTCGCATAGGTACTTTATATTTCTTTTTCGATTTAAATGTCAGATCGAGACGTCCACCAGTGTCGTCGACACCAACTGTATAATCCAGAACTTCGTTATCTTTTTGCTGACCAGTAGTGACGTTTACTTCTCCTACGGCACAGATGAATTTGTTATGTTGAATAAGATCAACGTGTAGAGAAAGTGTAGAATTAAAACAGCAAATCGTCAGACTATTTTCATTGTGTAAAAGTTTTGAAGGTAGTTCGATAGGATTCATTGATGACATAAGCGAACCAGAAAATATTTCGATGTTATTGAGTTGTATGACAGTATTAATATCAAAACTGTCATTGTGATGATTATTCGATTCGAATACTAGATGCAATTGTTTGTCAACAGACGTACGCTCGAACTGTTTGCAATACCACCATTTACATAAATTTTTCGTGTCAACAACGTGTGGTAAATTGATAAGAGACCAATCGTGGTGTGTACCTGTATTTTCTGCGGTCGTTACCATGATTTCGTCGTTCATATTACGTTGACAGTAACATTTCCAATCGGCATCAAAATTTATGCGCGTGACATCTTCGTTATCAGCCGTCATATTTTTTCTCAAAATCTTCTTTTATGAGTAATAGTCCTTGTAGTTTTTTTCCTCCACTTTTTATACGGCCATATGTCGCTCGTACTTTTCTGACGTTCTGCTCCTTTCTTTTTCTTTCGTCTATATTTCAAGTCATGTTTTACCTCTTTGAGGACGCGATGAGTAAGACAAAATAAAAAATAACAACAGTGATTCATCAGGAACATCGTTTGTCAAAGCAAAATTCTTTGTACTTGATTATGAATCATTGTCGCATTCAACGAGCCATAAAAGTGCGTTCTGTGCTTTATTTTTCTAGATGGAAAATATTTATTTCAACGCGCATAGTCATGTGGATTAAAAATTTCTATCCATTTTGTGGAACTCGCGCGACTTTATCTTCTTCGTCGAAGAATACACGTACACGATTAGGACGCACATCCAGTTTCATTGGACAATGAAGTGGCAGTTTTTCTACGTGGTACTCTAGAAGAGTGGAAATCATCGTAATTACAAAGAAATTCCAAACGAATTACCTGGATTTTCACGTTTGATTTCTTCAATAGCCTCGTCTATTGGTTTACCAAGCAGATGCGGCCATGATTTACTCTCATATGGCGCAAGCTTCAATAGATCCCTGCAAGAAACGCTCTAAAACTTAAAAAATCACTCTGAAGAGCAACGATAGAAATACTTACATTGTGGTGCTTGCTGTTTATCGGCAATCACTGGGAGAAAAATAGTTCGAATGTGACAATTAGAAGTCGAAAAACGAATGATGTTGTTTTTTTGTTGAAACAGAACGAAAAACTGATTACCTGTTGTTGACAAATAGTATTGTCAGTAATCAAGGTTATTTGCATGATTTATGCATCAACATAGAACGAATCGAAATATTATCTTTCCATCTTAAAGAGCTGAAATACATTTTTCCTTTTCTGTCATACTATGTGGTGCATTCCGTGCAGCATGAATAAACAGACGTAATCAACGATAGTATTTCATGCTGTCTTTTGTGTTTGCCATATCTACTAAATCGAAAGACTATGTTAAACATCATGTACCAAGATACCTACAGCAATATGTACAATTGGGCACAATGACCAACAATCGTAGTTCACCATTGACAGATGTAGAACTTACACCGAACGTAGCGGAATTTGCTGATCGTTCTGGATTTGTTATTTATATCGAAGTAACGATTTAGATAAGTGAATACCAAGGTTTATCATGTAAACAATAGATATTACCAGTTCTTGTAACGGATAAAATCGAATCGATTAAAAAGCAACTAAAACTTTATCCAAGATTTGCAAATGTTGAATTGAAATCATTAGAAAACTCGATCGGACTGTACGGCCGAGTAGAGACAACTGAAATGAGGACAAAGCATTGATACCAGTGACAGTATTCTATCAATTCAACTGTATTCAGCGGATTCGATCATAATGGCAGATCTAATTAAAGACCAAGTAAATCCTAATTTTTTATTTTACTTTTTTCGTTATTATTTATTTAGAATGGATCAACAAACTTCGGACCTACTATGGAAATATTTATCAGACTCCCTTTCGGACATACAATCACAACAACAAGATGATAATACTTTAACGGACTATGCGATCCAAAGTGAATCAACGTTGATGATGACACTTCGCTTTAAGTGATAGAATGCATCATTTCACCAGTGGTCGTCAAGACTTTCAAGTTTCGCCTTGTGATGATGGTGCGAATGCGATTATAAGTGTTCTCAAATTTGCATTTAAAAGCGAGAATAATTTATCGCCAACTGAATTACAAAACGATAATTTACAAGTCCAAACACTTTTATTGAATTTATATAGAACATCTAAGGACTATTCGCTGGTAAATGTAGGGATGATAAACATAAAAAGTGTTGTACTTTTTGTGCAGTGAACGATAATGACTAACTTTGTCTCTGTTGTGGATAAATTCTTCAGTAGTATAATCAAGAAATATGTGCTGTTTTTCTTTATTCATTCGGCGACGCAAATGATATAATCTAGACTAGCCATTGCCTGAGAAGAAATGTTATTTCGACGATGCTATTACAAATAAAATTATAAAAGTTTTTCTCCTCTCACGAGGGAACCACCCGAGCCCCAGGTGTCAAAAAGCTTTATGGCTCGGAGTGTGATGGGTAGATAGGGCATACATAGATATGATATATCCTAAGGTGGTTCGTGCGCAAGTCGCCTTTAGCAAATGTTATCAATTTTTCAAGTTACAAGCGATATTTGCTGTTTTACCGAAAATTCAAATTTTTCCTATATAAGAAAATGAGTGCAGTTTAAAAACTTTTTATTACATTATCAGACATGGATCCAGCTCGTTTTTTTCCAAGTCGAGATGATTCCAGTCTCGCGATTTTATTTTACCAGCTAATTAGAAAATGTCGGTTTGAAAAATGCTACAGATCCTACTGGAATTAATTAATTATTTGCTATTGAAAACTACACCATTCGACTCAGAATTAATTCTGCATCGAATGGTGTAGTTTTCATGGACGGGACATACTTAGTAAGAAAGTTTTTAGCTAACACATCATTTGTTCGTGCTAGCTTCACACCGATGATAAATAGTTTCTTTCACACACTCTCCTTCTTTATTTGATATTCACACATGTACAGAATAGGATAAATTCATTTCATTCTCAAAAATATACCCATCAGACGAATAAACACTTTTTCTTATATAGAAAATTTTGAATTTTTGGTAAAACTGCAAATATCGCTTGTAACTTGAAAAATTGATAAGATTTGCTAAAGGCAACTTGCGCACGAACCAACTTAGGATATATCATACCTAGGTATGCCCTACCTACCCATCACTCTCCGAGCCATAAAGCTTTTTGACACCTCGGGCTCGGGTGGTTCCCTCATCAGTATTTGGGTGTGTTAAGCATTCATATTAATAAGCAACATGACCTCTCCTATTTTCAAATTATAAAACGTTGGTGAAGGAATATTTCCAATAGGTAAATTGCAATTATTCGATTCGCTGTTCTTGTTTAGTATTTAAAATTGCTTCGGTTTTTTCTCTTTTCTTTTATAAAATCGAATGAGGGCGTTAAATACCTGTTTTTCATGCATTGACAAATCCCTCAGTGCGGCAAATGGACGTAAAAATAGTATTTCAAAGTAAATAAAATGACTTTCAGCGATTTTGTTCTCTTCTCAATAGGCGGGTTGAGTCGCGTGTTGGTAAAAACTTTCTTCTTCTTCTTCTTGCTGTCAAAAATATCTGAAGAAAATTGAAATTTACATGCGACATACGAAGGCATTATTAATACTTGTAGGTAATATTGTTGCCGACCGAGTAACGCTCGCGTTTATACATCGTCGATTTTCGCATGTCTATCCAATTGTTATACTAAATTTCGAAAAATACCTTTCTTCCGAGATTGCATAAAGAAAAGAAGCTCGTGTGCTTGTTAGCCAATCTGATTTTATTCGTTTCTTCCGTCATTGATGCAGAAATGTTTTCGAGTTCTAAATTATTAATGTAAATATTGGAATGCATGAAGAAAAATACAACGCAGTTAAAATTATCGAGCAAGAAATTTCGTCAACAAAAAAATTTTGCCTTGACGATTGTTTCTATATTTAATGTCATTTTCTTACTACATGCTGGCAGTTGCTTGAGTATTTTTAGTGAAATATGTTTCGTTTTATTTAGATTAAAAACTAAGACTGTGGCTTATTACTAATGGGAGACACTCATCTGAATTTTACGGATGTTTCGCGAAATCCGTCATCACCGACTGCTCAACAGTCTTCGGGCACTGATGGAAGTCATCATGGAAGGAAATATCAACCAAATGCGTGAGTTTTCTTCTGGTGAAAAAGTGAAAGAAAGGTTTTGCTAAAGTTATTTGTGTTGAATAGAAATGAGAAGAAAACGCCATGGATGCAAAGACCAGGAAATAAAAGGCTGGTCATTGGAGTATCAGTCGTCGTGGCAATAATCATAATAATTCTGATTATTGTTCTTCCCGCGGTTTTAACAAAGAAATCAGGCTCAGATGCAGCAGGTAAGAGTTGAACGAGTGGTTTGGGAGTTTGACGTTTAGCTTCCACTATTCAACAAATATTAATTTGTAGAGAAACATGCAAATTGATGAATGCTAATCATGTACTTTAGGAGGCTCGACATCTCAAACAACTCCACAACCGTATATCTCCAAATGTCAATCTACAATGTCAAAAGGTTTGCATGTTTTGCACTGAAATACGATATACTCTGGTACCTTTTCTTTTTCACTATTCTTGCAGCTTTTACCAAAACAGTGAAACTTCCATCTGTAAACGATCCTCGTCCGAAAGTAAAAATGGCACCGGTTCCAGAAAGAATTGGAAACAATGTTCTTGTCAAAAGGGCCTATCTCGTTGAATTCGCATCTGATTCCACTGACAAGAACCATGCTCGAACGATTACCAGATTGCTAAGATTATCCAATGCTATTGATCCATCGGCAGTTACAATACGGCGTTCAATTCAGACGTCGTTATTTTCAGGTGTCTCGTTTAGTATCGATCAAGATCATCCGATCGAAGCTGTTGAAAATATCGAGGGTGCAGTTGCTATCCATCCGATTTATACCTACTCACATCCACAACCTGTGAAAACTTTTGATTACAATGAATTGTACAATACTGGTAGTGATACAATTAATTCATACAACTTAACTGGGGTCAGACATATACACGATATCTATAAAAATTTCGGTGCGGGTGTTAAGGTATGTAGCTTAATTTCAGCATATCTTCTCAACGATTGCTGGAATATTGTCTGTAGGTGGCTGTCATTGACACTGGTGTGTACTATTTACATCCAGCACTCGGAGGTTGTTTTGGGCCGGGATGTAAAGTTGAGTTTGGCTATGGTATGACACGTAATGCACCTTGAACGAAAGATTATAAACGTAGAATGTTTCTAGATCTTGTTGGAAATAGCTATACTGATGATAATCCAGTGTTTATGCCTGATGCGGATCCATTGGATCCCTGCCCCGATGGATCCCACGGTATTTATCTTCTATCCAGTTAACTTTAGCGTCTTACCATGTCCCTTCGTATGAACTATACATAGGTACTCATGTTGCTGGAATTATTGCTGCAAATTCTACAGGAATCACCGATATAAGTTTTAGTTCATATGTGCCTTTCATTGGCGTTGCGCCACAAGCCACACTCGGTGCATGTAAGACTTTGCAATCTATTCTATTTGAAAGTCATTTATCTAGTTGATCTACCTTTTCTGTGACAGATCGCGTATTCGGCTGTTCTAGTAGTGCGCCATCAGGTATGTGCAAAATGATGCAGCTGTATTTTCCGATAATTTTCTTACTTGTTAAAAGATGCAATTACTGAAGCTATCTATCGTGCATACAATGACGGGGCCGACGTCAGTAAGTGTCTTTTTATACATCTTTAAATTCTAGACGCGTCGGAGATGATATTTCAATTTTAACATTATCGTGCAAAGTAGAGTGCATTAAATAGAAATGCATAGGATAGATTGTCAACTGATGATAATTTTTGTTGTCTGAGTCACTTGAAATGTCATTGATATGTTTAGTTAACTTATCTCTTGGCGGCCCAGGTCCATATTCAGGCTCTGCAGAAGGACTAGCAATCCAACGAGTGACTGATGCTGGAGGTACCGATCCTTTTCGCCTTTCTTTTATGACTCCTAAGGGTGATAATTCATTCTTAGCATATGTCGTTGTTGCGGCGGGTAATAGTGGAAGTGGTGGTTTTCAAACGACTGGCGACATAGCCAATGAGCCAAGCTCGTTGTCTGCCTGTTCTGTAGACAACAAGTATAATCTATTGATGGATTCATTTGTTATAATTGGACCTAATAACACGAAAATTCTCTATCAACCTGGAACGAACTATGGTGGTTGGAGATCAATTACAAACTCGACGATCGTCGTGAATGGTTAGGCCAGATTAGCTCTATAGGATTTTTCAACTTATACTGATTATTTAGACCCCACTAGATCGAATAGCAATGATGGTTGCAACGGCCCATCAGTCATAATCATGGGAGCTGTGGTTTTGTTTCAGTATCAAGACAGTGACGAATGTGATACTGAAACCCGTTGTAACAAAGCATCTGTTCAAGGGGCCATCGGTTGTTTGATATACAATACCAATAATATTGCCGGTTGAGTTGCGTTGCTAGTATAGAATGTTTTCATTAGTCGGCCATTATCTACTTAGGTTCATCAAATATTCCCAGTGGAAGCATCAGTTTGAGTGATGGATTGAGTATTATATCGACAGTTGCTGCCAATACATCGGCTATGTACACGTTCACAGATCGGCTTGAGCCTGTCACAATAGTAAGGCATCTAACATAGAAAATAGACTGATCTCAGTAGTGCACGGGAATGAGATGAATACTATCGATGTTGATCATCAACTTTTGCTGTGTTTTCCTATGCATAGAGCACAGGCGGAACAGTCTCTGATTTCTCATCAATTGGTCCGAGCGGCGATCTTTTCTTGAAGCCTCGCCTTTGTGGTATCGGTGGACGTGTTTATTCCACAATCTCACCAATAGCTGCTGCCACCGTAAATTTCACAAGAGCGTATGCTGTCTACTCAGGCACAAGTATGGCTTCACCTTACCTCGCAGGGTATACTTCACCGTCCTATTAAGACTCTAACATATTCGTGTCCACGTTTGTTTTTCAAGGACTTTGGCTCTCTTTCTTGCCAGTTTAGGCAATCCCGCTCCGAATACAGTTAGTGGTGTTGCCAGTAATGGAGTCTGTCGACCGTCATTTTCGATGGCTATGAACATCTTTCAATCGACTGCACAAACTGTAAACATCTATGGGTCATCTGTTCTTTCTTCTACTCTCCAGCAAGGGGCGGGATTGGTCGATATCCGTCGTACTATCGCAGCTACGACCATGCTTTCACCTAGCGAGCTCTCTCTGAACGATAGCGTTCGCATAGCTTCATCATATACAGTGAAAGTTTTTAACATTGGCACGACAGCAGCGTCCTATGTAGTTACACATGGTGGAGCAGCATTGGGCACGCCAAAGAATGGAAATTCTGATCAACTTTTGCTTGTTCCATCGTATTCAGCAAATTATGCTGTAAGATTTTTTTGCTTATCTTGTGCATACGAGATTCGTTTTTATATTCGTAGAATGTGACAATTGTACCTAGTACATTTGTACTTCAACCTGAACAATCGCTTAACATCACTCTTCGTTTCACACCACCCACTGGATTAAATACAACATTATTACCATTCTATTCGGGTTTTATATATGTATCTAATCAAAACAATGGAGACGTTGTTCATCTGCCATGTAAGCATGAATTTTATCAAACTTGATGTTGAAGTATTTTTGTAGATGCTGGTGTTGTCGGTGACTATTCCAGCGCTCGTATTATTGTGCGCACAGCTTCAAACACTGCCGTTACAGGGGTTGCTTCTCAGTCTGGCGTTTATATTTCTGATACACAACAAGCAACATTGAATGCTACGCTAGGAATACGACTCACCTTGGTAGCAGCATGGTCCACTCGTCTCTTCATTGCTGAAGCTATTTCAGTTAATGACACCAGTTTACCGGGCCAAAATCAAAGGTAATATCACCGTAAGAGAGACTAGTTCAACGTCAGTTTTCAAACATTGTTTACTAACCTGTGCGTCATTTTCTCTTTACAGTTTGGGAATATTGAAAGATGAGGCATACAATACATTTGTATACATTTCCGATATATCAAGAAATACCGCTGTTGAAACTCAATCATTTAGCGATAGTTATCAACTCTTATGGTATGGAAGCGTATGTGCGGCAAAGAGTATCAAGAATTGCACGACTGCAACAGCATCTCGCCTTCCTCAAGGTCAATATCGACTTCGATTTTCGGCTTTAAAACATTTCGGAAATATTTCGAATCCCAATGACTACGACGTTTATCGTTCTCCGTCCTTTTTACTCACTTACTAGTCTGCTACAACGTTGACTGATTTAATTCTCCAATTAATAATTAAGTTTTATTGAATCAAATCTTTTCTTCTCTATACAAATTTTTATCGTATTATTTACTAATAAAAAAGCCGATTACCGATGAATCAGCTTAGTACTATCATTTCTTTAGATCTTGAAATGTGAATGTCTTAAGTTATATAGGATGTCTTTGAACAGCATCAGTGTTCTTACTTTCATCACATGGATTTCGGTCCGTTCCAGTTGATAGTTTTAATCCTAGGTAATCCCATATCATCCGCCCAATCGTCGTCGCGTACCATTCTCTTGAATAAAATGATGAAGGTAAAATATATAGCATAAAGCTGGTCAATTGAGGAAGAAATGAAACGAAGTAAGATACGATCAGAACATATCTGATCAAATTGCTTTCCAAATTTTGGCAATACAGTGTAAATGAAATGATAAAAAGCGGTAATGAAAATAACTGTGGAACTAAAGTTATTCCAGGACCAATGACTAGTTCCTTATTTTCATTTAAAATTTGTAAAATAAAATGAGAACGTATTTGAAATTTGATCAAAATTGATTGATGAGATTTCGTGAGAATCTTTCGAGCATTGATCTTATTTCTTGCGACTATGAAACTAATCATAATCGTTGAACAGAAATTGATCATTAATGGCAAAATCGAATTGATAATCGACACAAACGAATGATAAGAATTCCAGATTCCTCGATGACGATTGGGAAATTCCATCACACACATTGCGTCGTTCGTATTCGTAATTTCTACAAGCGATTTGACAAAAATCAGTTCATGAATGTTAGTACCTAAAATACCGATCGCTGTAATGAACATTACACGACGCGCAATGTGCGGTTTTCGAAGCCATTGACTTCTAAGAAAAAGTGTCGTATAAACCCGTTCAATTGCAATCAATGACGAAAGCCAATAGACAAATCGACTTGACGTAACGAGAAAATAGTTGAATATTTTACATAGGTAATCATTGAGTTCAATTGACGAATAAGAACCGGTCATGTTGATTGATAAATGTAATAACCGGGCAGCGAGGAAAGTTAGATTCACTTGATTGGTGATACTCATATAAAATAAATACTGTCCGATGCCATATCGAAGCGAATTTTGTCGACGAAAAGTGACGAGAGAAAACAGATTGTTTGGTATTCCTAACAGAAACAAAAACACCGAAATAGCGATGAGAAAGTGAAAGGTAAACTTTTCATTTGTCGATTTCAGATCGGTATAGAAGAGTTGATCCAACGTGAATATAAACGAATTGGAGTTGAACTGACATTTTCTTCCGGAATAACATTTGGGACATAAACAGAGAAATTGTTCGCCTTTTAAACAAATCCCATTGGACAAACAAGAAGAGCATCGATCGAGATGGAAATTGTATTGAAAACATTGTACTCGCGTGTGATTTTCATTGCAAATGCATAGGTAATGTTCATCGTAAAAACAGAATAAATTCGTCGAATTTTCACAGAGAAAATGATATTTTATAGGAGAGATTCGTTTTTGTCGAATTGACATGCATTGTGTTCGCGCATTTAATTGCGTTATTCCATGTATTGATTGAATATCAATTTGAACCGAAATGACATAGATGTTTGGAGAACTCTCGTTAGAATATAGTTTAACTACAACAATTTCAGGGATAGTTCCATGTTGATGTCGATATTCAATCAAATTCGGAAGAACTCGATAAACTTTTTGATGAACAAGCTGTAAAGTTAAGGAAACAAAATCAATATCGAAGTATTGTACAACAGCTGCTAAATATGTCATTGTCTCATTGATGAATAATTTAATTTCCGGTTTTCTAAATTCACATTTGTCACCATGATATTCATCCGTACATATACAAGAACTCGTTTCGGGCTTCGACGTTGAAAAACAGGAACCATTGTTTCGACAAGGATTTGATTGACATCGATCATGTTCGATAGAGCATTGCTCTCCATATCGATTAAACGAACAGATGCAATAGGGTAGATGATTTCCGAGTATTAAACCTCGATATTCGGGTTTACATAAAGATCCGTAAGAGCAATAGCCATTTGCGCATCGTTCATCTTTCAATGAACAATTTTTACCGGTAAAATTTGCCTTACAAAGACAAATGTATTGTGATTTTTTGTTGAGAATGGCTTGACAATCTTGATTTGTATTACAAGGGTTACTTGCACATGGATCGTTTTGTCTGGGAAAGCGTAGAATTTTGGCGAGACGTAATACAGGTAGATAATCAAAGTCAATCGGGTATTTCCATACAGCAAAGAGTTTCGGTTGATCGAAATCGACTTTTTCATACATTTCAATTTGAATTGAGTAAAGATGATCATTTGAATAGTTCAAATATCGTTCTAGTTTATGTCGAAGAAATCGTTTCGAACGAGAGTAGACGTAATGAGCTAACTTTTTCGTGTAAGTCGCTAATTCTGATACAGCTCGCGCATGAAAGAAATAATTGGTCAGAACTTCATTCTCAAACATGAACAAAATCACGATCTTGAAGACAATGTCGATATTTTTCGTCGTCGAATATGTTGATTCAGAAAGATCAAGATGAAAAAGTAAACTTATCCGATCACTGTGATATTGACATTTATCGCCATGATACTGTGGAGGGCAAAAGCAAACGATGGACTTATTGTAGAGATAAACACCAATACCTCGATTACACCAATAGGCAACCGGATCTGTAGTATTTAACGAGACTATCGATGATTTCACTGTTGGACTCGTCGAAGGCAACGATAATGTAATGTTCGAATCGATTGGAAATTGAATTAATCGAATTTTCTGATGGGAATTTTTCACAACGATCTCTTTGTCTTCACGATATTGAAATCTGGTTAATTGAGAAATATGTTGATATTCACACATATATTCATCTTCACCCATGGAACAATCAAACTTTTGATTGCATCGGCCATTTCTGACACAACTTCCGTTAAAACAAACTGCATCGTAAACTCGATTACAAAATGAAACATTAATTCGATAATTACACCAAAAGTCATCATCAGATTGATTGTGACATCGTTCTCCAACACAATGGTTCCAATAAGGAATACATTGTTCATTGGATGAACATTTGTAATTATATCCAAGCATAGTTTGTTGATTACAGTGTAAAATAGTATTTCTCTCGTCTATTCCTCCGTAACAATCAATAATTCTGTTCCCGATTTGCTGCCACGTAATACATGAAATCGTTTTTTGATGTGTAAAACAAGCAAACTCGGTTGTTTTATTACAAATTGTTGAAAATGGGACTAATTGATTGGATGAGTTCGATTCGTCTGAAGCGTCCTCGCAATCCCATTGATAGTCCGATACCCATTTTCGATCAATACATTGTCCACTACGGCATTGCCACTGCTCGTCCGAACATTTCCACCATTGTTTACATTCCGTTGTATTTTCATCGTGTTTCGAAGGTAAATTCCAAAACGTATTGCAATAATATCGAAACGGTATATAGATTTCTTCAGAAGCATCAGTGCTTCTATTTGACAACCAGGATTGCTCAATATATTGTCGGAGAAGATAACATTGGTCTTTTTTCTTAAAGTTACAATTCATATCGGATAATTTTTGACTTGTGCCTAACCAATATTCGTCGAATGCGTTTCTACAATCCGAGTGTGAATTACCAAGAGCAGTAATACTTAAACAGGTTGGTTCATCTAGCGAACAACGAAAATGATATCGAGAGCATGATGTATTTGTTGTGTGTTGATTGACCGTTGAAGATGTATTTAACGCCTGCTGACAAACGAAATGTTCGATTTCGTGAAGTTTGGTTAGAAATGAAAGATTCATCGCAATAATATCAGTGGATATCCCGTGACATTTGATTGTTCCATTAATAAGAAGAAAGTCTGGTCGCAGTTTATAGTATTTCGGATAGAAAAAGAAAACATATGGAGCCATAATTCCTTTTTTAGAAAATGGAATCGAGTTCGAGTGGCACGCCGAATGTAATTCTTCGGTACAAAAAGTATTCTCTTCTCCACATGGACAATCAACATGTACGGCTCCGGATAAATCACAAAGAAGAATAAATCGACATTGATCTTCGATTGTTAAATTGATCATTTTTGTTCCATTATAGTTATACTCTTCATAGCATCGTCCGTTCGGTAATGTCCACATATCGTTGATATAATGTGTTTCACAAATGAAGGCTTGTTCACGCTTACTTCGACATTCCGATTTGAATCGTGCCATGGTCTGAAAATCGAATCGATCAATAATGCATTGTCCATCACCGCACGAATATTGAGTCGGCGGACAAATTCGATCATCGCACGGAATATAGATTCCATCTGATGAACATCTAATATCGTCATACAACTGCATTTCATCACTCCAATCCAAACAATCGAAATCTCCATCGAGGAAATATGTGTCAGGAATACACATTCCATTCGTGCACCGATATTCATCTTCCTCACATTCCTTCGATTCTAAATGATGGCAATTTTCTTCATCAAATCCGAACATACACTGTTGAACACCATCACAGATATCTCTCCAATCTAGGCACAACAAACCGGAGTTACACTGTAAGGTTTCGTAGCAGATTGTATCCCCATACAATTGAACATAATGAGAATTAGCCATTCGCAGATTATTTTCAGCATAGAACGTATCTGTCAGTGTTCTTCCTATTGGTAATAAATATTCACATGTTACACCAAACGATTGTGAATTAACACATTTACATATATGCCCGTTCACTTGCTCGATTGGATTCGTTAGATATCGAATATAGTCTTCAACTTTTTCGATACTTGATCTCCATTGATGCAAAACAGTACCAACACTTATATTCATCCTTCGAAGATCAGCTAATAGATACGGCACTCCATTGTTATGACAATGCCCTGTGTCATTACTCCTATTCAGAACAATGGGTTCTATCGGCCGACGACAAAATGGTAAACTTTTATGGAAAATACAATCATAAAACTCTACCGAAGGACTATCGATGGTATTGTAAACATATATTGTTGAATCGACGAATGATAAAATAAAAAGGACGAATACTTTTCTCATTTGTGATTATCATATACCAAACCAAGTATTTCAACGATGCAATAGAGAAAAAAAATCNTTGAGTATTACACGAACCACCAACATGACAATACGTGGAGTTGTCAACTAAACAAAGCAACAAACAAACAATAGTACTTTCGCTGAATATGCGTGGTAACTGCGCCGTCTTTTATGAGTACAGTTTTACATTCAATCATCTATGAATTGTTGTGAACACTTACTAAAACGATCGAGATTGACATCCGTTAAGCCAAGTACCCCGACTGTGAAGTGTGTGTTCCTTAATTTATTTTTATTTGATACAAGTATTATGTATCTGATGTCAGTATGAAGGTTAATTGTGAATCTGAATTCTTGTTCACCACGACACTGACGGTCGTGGAATCGAATAGAATTTTTTTTTGGATTCAATGGATCGAATTGGTTTTCATAGAGATAAATATCTACACGATTGCCTGCATCAATTGAAATGGCATAGTATTCATTTCTAGGCACGCTTAGCTGCGTAGTTTCGTAGTGGTAGAGTGAACCGGTACATGTTTTATCATATGTTGGACTATTGCCTGTTAATTTTGACTGATGATCAGTGTAAACAGCTGGTGAATCATCTACTTAAAAAACAATCACCTGTTACTATATCATGAATTTTGGAGACAAAATATGACTTACTTGTGCTTTGAAAACTGACATGACTACTACCAAGTACTTTGACAGAGAATTCTCCTGTTACCTTTGGGACACAGGTTGACACTATCAGAATGTATGAAACGTTCGTCTCTAATTGCACGGTAATTTGGTATGGATTACCATTGCAGCCATTACCTTCATTCGAGAATAAATTTATTGATGGTATGACTGAGTAGAATTTCTGTTTATATATATAACTGGATATGTCGATATTAGAACTGCTGCTAAGAATAGTATAGAAGCCACTTTCATTCACGTACATTTGCAGTGCTTCGTAATAGTACTTGCTGGTTTTTGTACAAATATCACGGGCATATGTTGGACGATCTGTTGTCAATGCAGACGAGTATACTGATTCGACAACGGATTCAGAATCTATTTAGGTTTAGAATTATGTTACAAGTGTTCTTACGTGAATCACTGGCATTCGTTACTCACTCGTGCGTTGAAGATGAACTGTGTTAGAACCGAATACAGTGATCGAGAATGGACCTGTCACATTTGGATTATACGTTGTTACAACCAAGATATATTTCGTGTTGAGAAGAAGTTCAAGGGTGAATTTAAACTGATCTCTGTTGCAGCATTTGCCATACCACGCAATAAGGTTGTGTATCGGATTGAATCGATCAAAATGATCTTTGTATACATGACCATACAGATCGATACTACTGTTGCCGGTGAGAACGTAAAAGCCCTTCTCACGGACAATGATTTCAATGTCTTCATAGTGATATTGCAAGTTATTGAGTGTAGCACGTGAAAACATGGTGTGGTTTGCTGTTAAGATCGATGAGTATTGCGTTTGGACGCTTGATGGAACATCCGCTGAAAAACTAATTAGTTAGTAGCTTTCACGAAAATATTTCAAACTATTACCACAAGAATCTTTTTGTAGATGGAATTTCTGTATTCTGACATTACTCATAAGACAAACAAATATGTTTCCGTACACATCAAAGCTAAAACTTCGGGGATACTCGAATTGTTTGAAATCAATAATTTTCTCATCGCATCCAACCAAACATCGAAAACCATTTGGTCCTGATCCAACGATGCGTTTAGTTCCATATTCCGTGATAAAAATGAATTTGTCAGCGTCCAATACGACAGCAACTGGAGCGTAGAGTATTATTGTAATATCGGATGAGTCCTGTCCTGCTACTGTTTTTCCGCGTGTTTGTCCTGGATAAAATAGTTGAATTCGGTGATTGTTATAATCCGCCACATATAAGTCAAAATTGATGTCAACAAAGATTCCTCTAGGACCATCCAATTGATCCGGTTTCCAACCGTTTTTTCGTGTACCAGCAATAATCATTTTATTCTCCTCATCATTAGTGTTCAAGAATCTCTTTAAGACTATATGATCTCCAAACATAGAACAGTACAGATTATTGTCAACATCTACAAACAGATCAGTGCATGGATCATATATGCCGGTGAAAGCAAGGATATTTTTCGCATCCGTCGTCCATTTGTAAACGCGACCCTGGTTAGCAGCAATGTAAATATCACCATTGTTCGAAACAAATATAGAGTCAGCCACCGAAAAATCTACGTAGCTAATCGTTTTCAGATCCATGGTACCGTGAGACCTGACTATAACTTGACTTTTATTGTCAGAAGTAATATAAATTGTGTTATTTGCATCAATGAATATGAGCACAGCATACTCTTCGATTCCGACGTCATGTACACCTGCAAAAGGCGACGCGTCTTGATTCCACTTTGCTGTTGGACACAGTTTTGGCTGATCGTACGAGAGAGCTACAGTAGAACGAGAGAAAATACATCAACTGCTAAACACATTCGCAAAAGTGTAATCTATTATCAATAGGAATTGAACATATAAATGAATAAACTCTTGAAGGTGAGGACGATTGCATTTTTTGAAGAAGTAAAAACTGTTACCTGATATTTCGTAGAGCAGAATCAGTAGAATAACAAGGTGCATAGTTATATCCTTATTTATCTGCATATTTAATGACATGCAAGAAGACAGAATGAATACTGCATGCTTTTTCCGATATATATAACTTCATTACTCTCTATTATTTATCATCTCCGAACATCTCGACGAATTAGAGATGATTGATATAAAAAAATATTCCTTTTGCTCACGACTAATACTTATGAATAAAAAGTTGATTTAAGTATAATATTTGAAGGATTATATTGATATTACGTGATTTAAATATCTGAACATGATCGTGCTTTCTGCATAGGCACACTCAGTTTTGCATTGTCTATTATGAATGGCGTAATTTAGAATAGTCACATTCCCAGGTTATTATGGCACGGTCGGTTCCGGCTGGTTAGGTTTGTTTTCCGACCATTTCCTTGCCGCCGGAATGATCGACCTGGGAATGTTACTGATTACTTGGTATTGTGTGGAGTCGATGAACCCTGGACGAAATCGATTATATACTTAATTTAGTGCTGGCAACCATATTGTGCATTTGATCCAAAAAGAATTTACTGGAAAACCAAATATTTTGATGCGATATTGAATTAGAGAATTAATATTCATTCTGCACGATGCTTCGGAATGTCGAACAATTTCCATTACAAATTCAGAATGGGATATTTTCTTCGGCACATTAGTAGAATGTATCAAAATCACTGGCAAACAAAAAACGTAACAAACTGACGCGATTACGGCAATGAATCTCTGTATCGTGAACACTAACATAGATTTTGGTTTCTAAATCATGTTCATTTATTTAACACATTATGAATCGATATGTTGTTTACATACTCCGCTTCTGAATAGATTACTTATAGTTAAAAACGCCTGCTGGACAGTGTGAATTGCGCAGGAGTGACTTTCGTTAGACGATGAAACTGGAATTGATTACCAAAGTCAATGAATGACTTTGTCGTAGATCTGATATTAATAAGAATTTAGTAAAAGAATACGACGAACTACTGTACAATCAAGTCTCTTTGCTTTCGCGTCTATTGGGTCTTGGCGAAATTTCACGCACAAGACGCCCTGATTACCTGAATCGATTAATAACTGTAGAAAAGTCCATATTAGTATAATAAATTAGACGAGAGAAAACAATGCGATGGCACGGATATTGAGAAAAGTAAAATCGAGTGAAATAGTACACTTCCCAAAACTCCATAGAATCATGCAGAAAGTTTCTATCTACGACGATTGTGGTCTATTCGATTGATTTGTGGAATTGAAGTAAATGACGATTCAATTTCTTTGTCGGTGTGAAGCTAGCACCAGATAACGAAAAATCATGAAAATCTTATGTTCAACTGAATTCCCATCCGCAGAAATAGGCTCATTCGACGCAGAATTTAATTCTACATAGAATGATGTCGTTTTTATCGACGGGGAAACGACTGAGAAGATTCTATTTAGATTTTTTCCTTCCAGACACAAACGTATAGAAAAATCTGTATAAAATGTTCTCAATCGTTTTCCCGTCGATAAAAACGACACCATTCTATGTAGAATTAAATTCTGCGTCGAATGAGCCTATTTCTGTGGATGGGAATTCATTTGAACATAAGATTTTTATGATTTTTCGTTATCTGGTGCTAGCTAAATGGTGCTAGCTTCACATCGATACGATGATTGTTTTATGGATTATAATGATCGGGATTCGAGCGGGAGTGAAGATGATGATAATGATATTGTACTTGATGCAAAGTCAGTTGAATTAGCACTTCGGAGTTTATCTTTACCACCTGAACGTGATCATATAAATGTATCAGAAGAAGATTTACCTCCTTATGCTATTCATTTATTAGCAACTACGTACAACCATGAATAACGAGACACGTCGATACATCCAGATAACAAAGAGATGACTAAGCGTGGAGACGATAAAAGAAGTAGAAGGATAGGACTGATGACAAGTTGCCTATGCTCATTCCACTGTTCTCGCATATGCTGCGTGAAATTTTGTCGATTTTGAGCTTCTGCTCGTCGTCGAGCAGTTCCAATGATGATCAATACGGCAGAAAGAAGATTTATAATGAATGGTCCAA